GTCTCTGCAGAAAGACGGAAACATTTGCACAAACATCAGCATTCATATCTTCTAATGGCGCTTCTGCTTGTCATATAAGAGGTGTCTCTTCACGCTAAAAAGTTGTGCTTGTGTGCCAGCCTGTTGCAGTATTACAATTTAAGAAATTTAATTCTGATAATTCAATTCAATTTTATTTGTATAGCGCCAATTCATAACAGAAGTTATCTCAGGACACTTTTCAAATAGAGTAGGTCTAGACCGAACTCTTTAAAACATTAATTACAGAGACCCAACAGTACCACCATGAGCAAGACCTTGGCGACAAGGGCAAGGAAAAACTGCCTGTTAAAAGGCAGAAACCTAGGACAGATCCTTCGGCTCTAGGTGGGTGGTAATAAGATAAGGGAACACCACTCATCTGGGAGACACCAATGGTTTCTGTGTTTCCAGCATGGACATGGAAAGTCTGACAGTAGCTGCTGGTTATCTCTGACTACCAGCCCACTGTTCATGCTACACTGCTGTGGTCAGTCTGTCAACCATAGATCTCAAGAACCAGAGCTTTTTGGTGGAAAAACACTATCTGGTTGGTGTTGAGGCCACGCCCCCAAAAGTCTTTTGCAGGTCTCTGATGCATTCTGCTGGGAGAGAGATAGCAGAATTAAGGGCTGTAGGTGGCTGTGGCTCAGGAGGTAGAGCGGATCGTCCACTAATCAGAAGGTTGGCGATATGAATGTTTATGAATGAGTTAGTTTCTGTTTGATGGCCTTTGCCATCACTGTATGAATGTGTGTGAAAGGGTGAATGTGTCATGTAGTGTAAAAGCGCTTTAAGTGGTCAGAAGACTAGAAAGGTGCTATACAAGTACAGGTCCATTTACTTAATACTTTAATTAAGTGGAGGTGCTATATTAATCTGATCTGTGTTTGACTCCGTTTTACCGAAAATGTCTTTAATAACTTATTCAGACTTTTTAACTACCATTTCCTTACTTACAGCCTCCCTCAAGTCTTGGATGTACTCTTAAAACTTCAAAAATGTCCAATCTTCAACCAATGTTCTAGGGTGAGTAGCAGAAAACATGCAGCATCTGATCTTATTTAGCTAATTTGGGACGAGCTAAATAAATTTCCCCTCTTTTGTAGTCACTGAAGCCTGACCATCACCTACAGGTGGCCAGTTTGAGTCAGACATGCAGATGGAATTTAATGAAATTTTCTGTGTGCTTACATGTTAGTCCCTCCTCTTAGCTTTATCCAGCCTGACTGCAGAGCAAATTCTGCATTCTACATATGAATAGCTACCAGGAAGATGGATGGAGAGAAGTCTAATTTCCCCACTGAATACCTGAATGTCAGCTGTTTTTACTAGGTAAAATGACTGCGGTCCACTCAGAGCTCTTTGTGATGTATGGTAAATGGACCTGTACTTGTATAGCGTCTTTCTAGTCTTCCGACCACTCAAAGAGATTTTACACTCCATGCCACATTCACCCATTCACACACATTCACTCAGTGATGGCAAAGGCCATCAAACAGAAACTAACGCATTCATACACATTCACACACCGATGCAAAGCATCGGGAGCAATTTGGGGTTCAGTATCTTGCTCAAGGATACTTCGACATGTGGCAGGATGAGCCGGGGATCAAACCAATACCTTTCCTATTAGGGGACGACCCGCTCTGCCTCTGCACCTCAGCTGCCCACATGAGGTAGTTGGCAGTAAAGATATGGTCATAAATAGTGTTTCATAAACTAGCATAAATAGCATAGACTTCTGCTGAAGTAAATGCCTTAACAGTGCCTTAACACGCTTCTGTTGGAGTCAACCAAGTGGTTTCAGTGATGATTCCCATCTCAGGAGAATACAGCATTAAATCACTCTCACGTATTATAATAATACCTATACAGTGTGCATGAGAGTGGCAGCATAAATGTAAAAGCACTGTAACAGACTACATGCTCTCAGTGTAAATATCAAAGAAGAAATTCCTCTAGTTCTTCTGTAATTAGAGAACCATTACAGGTTATATATTAATTATTAGTTTTATCTTCATTCTATACATTCACATTTTCCAGAGAAATATTCAGGGAGTCATGGATACTCTAAAGGTCCGGCGTGTAGGATTTAGTGGCATCCAGTGGTGTAGTTGCAGATCCCTCACTTTACCCTGCCCTTACAGGCATAAAGGACAAACTACGGAAAGCATACAAAACACAAAAGGCCTTGTCTCGAACCAGTGTTTTAGTTTTTCCATTCTGGGCTACTGTAGAAACATGGCAGTTCAACATGGTGGACTCCATAGACGGCGACGCGCAGAATCTGTAGATAAAAACAGCTCATTCTAGGGAAACACAAACACGACTACTCCTAAATTCAGGTGTATAAACACTAATGAAAACATACCTATGAATATTATATTCCATTTCTGCCAATAGATCCTCCTGAATGTTACACACTGCACCGTGGCAGAAATACATGCTGATTTAATCACAATCAATCACATATGTGAGTATTTACTTGGAGAAGCCCCCAAATAAAGATATTTGAACTCAGAAACATTATTGTGGCACATTAGTAAAGCATTGTATAGAAATGTCTAAAGGTGGCATTAGAAATCACAATTGACAAATCTTATGATTTTTCATTGAACTTTAGCCACTCAGTCTAACTTTAGGGCATAACAGATCATCACATTAAATTACATTTTTTAACATGTCACTTGACTTGAATAAAATTAATCTAAATAATATGTTAAATCTGCAAAATGTGAGAAACAAGAAGTGTAGCACTAAGTTCTTACTAAATTTGTACATTGCAGCCTTAGGTTTGTTGATTAGAGCTTGCTATCGCATTTTAGATCATACAGTATATTAGGGGTGTAACGATTCACCAAATCCACGGTTCGGTTCAGACCTCGATTTTTGAGCCACGGTTCGGTTCATACCGCGGTTTTCCCCGTTTCCCCATTTTGCAGAGGAACAGGGAGAGATGTTATCTGATAAAATCTTACATTACGGAGCGTCAGTGAACGCACCACTGCAGATGTCACTCACTAACATTAGTTTCGGTTTAGACCCACATGCGGCGCACTTGAAAACTGAATCACGGGTGAGTTTATGAAATGTACTGCAGATGGAGAAAGTCAGCAGAGACATACAGGGAGAGAGAGACAGAAAGAGGCAGAGCAAGCGGGAGTGTTTGCCGTGAGTGACCAGAGGTCCAAGCTAGGTGTGTGTGCTGTGTGTGAGTGTGGGGAGAAGAGAAAGGGAGCAGATTAAAGTAGTAAATAAACACTAAAATAAGGTGGGAAATGACCCAGAATAACCTGATGTCAATACAAATACGATTTAGGCGTACACCGCTACCACCCCACGCAGGGGCGCCACCAGGAATTTTGGGCCCCATGACAAAAAAATCTAATTGGGCCCCCTCTGCGCAGCTGTTGTCACCACATCTCTAGGACCTTCAACTGTCCTATCAAAAGCTTTACATAACTCTAATTAAAGGCTTGCAACTGTCTTGCTTCTTGTAGTTCAATACTAGTACTAGCACAATATTTACTGCTGGTGATTTGTACATGCATGCAAGTCTGCATACAGTATGCAGTTCACTATTTGATGCAAGATTAAAAGGAACCATAAAAAAAGTGCTAAAGGCCATCTTTTACAGTCTCAATGTATTTTAATTATAAAATTTCAAAATGGAAAATTCTCTTAACGAAATTAATTAATTATTATTATTAATTATTATTATTATAATAAAGTCTGTATCTATAGATGTCATTCCATAATTCAATCTAAATGAACGTATCAAACTGGATTATTTTAATATTGTCTGTATCATGCAGGCTCAGGTAAACTACTCACTGTTTCCAACTGTCCAGCATCCAGTACAGACAGTAGGTTGTTGTTTTTTTATTTTATTTCATAATGATCATTATGTGAGAAAAGAATTGTTATTAATTTGTTGAATTTCTGTCATTAATAAATATTTCATTTTCTTTTTTGTAATGGTAAAAAGAGCAAGAGAGACAGAGAAATCCCCACAGACTCCCTGCAATGATGCTAACTGGCCTGTCATTGAACACAATGTTGCTCAGCTTCTTCACTGGGACAGGGAGGGGTACAGTGATGGGGAGACTGGGGTGCTGCTGACTCATCTGTTGTTAAGTCTGCTAAAAGGGGCAGGGACAATGATTTAATATGAATATGTTGCTAAACGTTTCCCTGAACTGATTAAATGGTGATTAAATGTAGACTAACACTAGTCTGTAGCTGGATATCTTATTTCACTATGGACATTAAGCCAACAGGTTAATACCACTCACAGACTATAGGCTCCTTTCTTGGTGAAACACTGGGTTACAGATTGACATCCTTTCCTTTGTCTTTCCTCTCTCTCTTTTCTCTCTTTCCTTTTTTGAAAACCAGATTTTGATTGACTAGTTAACATTGTGATCACTGTAGTTCTGGCTCATCTACTGACTGCAACTAAACACCGTTGATAAGGCAGGACCAAACCATTTCATGCAGATACAGAGGGGTGGTCGGTCAATATGGATGTTTACTTTTTGGTCAATGGGGATATTTAACTTTTACTGCCAAAAACAAGTAAAAACAAAGAGATCATTAGTTTTATTATTATCTTTAAAATATATATACTGAATGATGATGGTTTAATCATTTTATAACAGTTTTTACCTATTTTTTGGGGCCCCTGTCAGTCATGGGCCCTTGGAATTGTCCTAACTTTTCCCCCCTATACGGCGCCCCTGACCCCACGGGCCACCGCCACAGTTACACTGTCTTAACGAGAGCTCAACAGTCCAGGGAGAGGGTGTGTCGTGGTTCTGTCTCTCGGGTCCGCGACACGAGACCGTGGACTTTTGTGTCGCGATTTCAGTCTCGGTTTCAGAGCCGTTACAGCCCTACAGGATATCCTTCTGCACTCTTGTGAGTTGTGCATCTGAACGACTGTGACATGACAAGATAAATAAGGAACTCCTTACACACACTGTCTGAAGAACCTTTTATTGATAAACTGATAACTTTTAAAAGTGCTGTTTGTCAGCTGGCACTAGCCTCACACACTCCTAAGAGTGCCGGTAGCAATGAACTTTCATGTCTGAGAGCATTTTGCTTGAACAAACAGAAGCAATAATCTGTCACTGTGCCTTTAACAATAATAGACAACCACTGGAACTAATGCCAACTCTAGGGAGACTCCTGTCTTTCTCACAGAAACGAATGAAAGCATGCATACACTCTCACAGGCACACACACCTATATATGCACCAAATACACAAGGTTTACAGGCCTCTGGCATCTGTTATGAAGCTGAAAAATTGGGAGAATTATAAGGAAAACAGTGGCGATCATTCAGTGAGGAATTGGTTTCAGCAAATAAGCGAAAAAATGTCTTCAATTAATCTACCACAGGTTACGTTAATTGGGGGAAGCAAGTGTGACTTAGTTCATTTTTTTCTTGCAAAAATTAGAACTAGAAATGGTATTCAACATATTTTAATGTTGCCTATTTACAGATAGTTTGTCCAAACAAGTACACTCAAGTAACAGTTACAATGCAGACTAACGTGACTACCATGTGATCAAGAAGCCAAGCATCTATAGTTACAGTTATACAGTTATAACAGAATTAGATAAACACTCTTAATACAGGTTGATCATAATTTTGAGGTTCGGATAATTAATGTAAAACATAATAATGTAACTTTGATTATATGATATTCCTGCAGCTTTTTATTTAAAACTTATGTTTCCTTGGAAAGACAGTTGAATGTTTTTTTTTATTGGTCACTAAAATGCATATGAACAAACCTAAGAACATTTGTTCATATATCGCTTCTGCATGATGCCCATTGTCGCCTTGAAAACTCTCCCAATACAGGCTCACACACCTTCTGCACAAACACCAGTACAGTACACACTTGGGAAGCCTTCATCAATAATTTACACACAATTACTGAACAAGGTTTATAACACATGGATATCAAATATTAATAGGCTTCTGTTGCACATGGTGGTTGCTCTACAAACCTCTGCATGTATACTTGAAAATTATATCATGTTTCTTCCCGTAGATCTTGTCGCATTAAAAGTATTTTACAGGTATAAAGGACAAACTACGGAAAGCATACAAAACACAAAAAAAAAAGATTTTTCGTCCCTGGCTAGAATGCGTCTTTACCACTAGACTCCCAGGATTATGAGCTTTAAACATCAGGCTTCTTTCACAAGAACAGATTGCCAGCTACAAAACACTTTCATGACTTATGTTCACAGTGGCAGTAGGCACATTACCATCCCCCAATTCTGCAGCCTTCTGACTGGTACTTCCCCTAACTGACCAACACTTCTGCCTGCTTGGTTTGTTGTGGTTGCAACGTAAAAGTCTGAAGGTTTCATGACGGAAGGTCTTGTCTAATAGGAAATACATCAAGGGATCAGTTGAACCTCTCAGTGCAGCCAGAAGCAACAGGCAGTTCTTGAGCTAGAGGAAGAGGAAAATAAACTTGTCACCATTGCCCTATGTTGCCACACAAGCTGCTACAAATCAGTAAAGTAGTAAAGAACAATCTTTTTTGGCATTCAGGTAAAATGTTGTCACCTCGATCAAGGTGGAGAGTGGGTGACAGTGGTTGGGACCAGGTGAATATGTCAGCTGACGTTCATCATGTGCCAGAGAAATGAAAATGGGTTTGAAGATGTGGTATGGCAGCAAACAAACTGAAAGAACAACCTGTAAGGAGAAGGTTAAAAAAAAGACTTTCATATCATCCCAAGCCCATTACAGATACAAAAAAATGCATCTTTAAAGGTTTTATTTAGAGTATCGTATAACTTATATCCACCTGGATGACCACGATTTTTCGGAATGTCCTACCCAGCAAGCTCTGGGAAGTGGTGACGTTTGTGCTGCGACGTGAGCGTCCTATATGTCTCAACACTGTCATGTAGGAAAGCAGCAGCAGCAGGTAAAACACAAAGAACAGCGTTATAACAGGCACAACCAAAGCTGCAGACAGTTTGCCCCCTATTTCCACCGTAGGGTTGTAGCACACCTCTACACGTCCTCCTTTCTCAGCCTCTCGGTCCCTGCTGGCTGCTGAAGCGTTGGCGCTCAAAGCTTCGTTCACTGAGTAGTAAACTGTCACTGGCACGATACCACCTACCGCCAGCACCCACACTGTGGCACACACCCTGCTGGCAAAGGACGACCTTCTGAGAGAGGTGAAGAAGCTCTGTGGCAGTAGCGTTTTGAAGGCGCTCGGCCTGGAGGCATGGGTGTTTTGGATGAGGGCTGCAAAGCGACTGAGGGCCACGCAAGTGAGCATCATGAGGCTTATGTAGATGTTAATGTGGAGCACTGGAGTGATACCGTGCAGGACCAGTTGACACAGGATGCCACTCAGTGTCCAGACTGAGCCCCAGGCAAAGTAGGCTGCAAGGAAGGGGGTGGTGAGGCACAGCATCAGATTGGAGATACTCAGGTGGGACAGATAAATGTGGGTGGAAGAGATGGTGGAGATGCACCGGAGGAACACCCACAAAGACAGCATGTTGCCTGGGAGAGCTGTGAGGAAGTGGAGTGTGTAGACAGAGGGGAGGAAGAAGAGTGTGGCAGCGGTGGGGCAGAGGGAGAGAACAGAGGAGGAGAAGGAAATGTTATCTGGTGGAAAAGTGTACGCTGTATCGTCCATTTGATCTGTAAGAACACAAAAGTGATGTACAAGTGAGAGAGGACAGAGAAACACATTCACTGCAATCCTTAGTGCAGATGTTTTTTTGTTTAGTTGTTCACATTATTTTTTGAACATGGCCCATGTCTGATTCCATTGTGAACAGATCACAGTCATGGAGTGAGCTATGTGACAAGTGTCAATCTAGAGTTATGTAAATATTAGAGTAAATATTACATTAATTCTGCTATTTCTGTTCACACTGAGGTGGCATTGCAATTGATTGTGTCTTGATGTGTCTGACCACAAATGAAAGTGGCCTAAATCAGAATAGAAAAGATCAGATGTGATTTGTGACGTTCACAATGTCATGACAAAAAAAACTGATCTTAGTCACATATACAGTGGGTACGGAAAGTATTCAGACCCCTTTAAATTTTTCACTCTTTGTTTCATTGCAGCCATTTGCTAAAATCAAAAAAGTTCATTTTATTTCTCATTAATGTACACTCAGCACCCCATCTTGACAGAAAAAAACAAATGTAGAAATGTTTGCAAATTTATTAAAAAAGAAAAACTGAAATATCACATGGTCATAAGTATTCAGACCCTTTGCTCAGTATTGAGTAGAAGCACCCTTTTGAGCTAGTACAGCCATGAGTCTTCTTGGGAATGATGCAACAAGTTTTTCACACCTGGATTTGGGGATCCTCTGCCATTCTTCCTTGCAGATCCTCTCCAGTTCTGTCAGGTTGGATGGTGAACGTTGGTGGACAGCCATTTTCAGATCTCTCCAGAGATGCTCAATTGGGTTTAGGTCAGGGCTCTGGCTGGGCCAGTCAAGAATGGTCACAGAGTTGTTCTGAAGCCACTCCTTTGTTATTTTAGCTGTGTGCTTAGGGTTATTGTCTTGTTGGAAGGTGAACCTTCGGCCCAGTCTGAGGTCCTGAGCACTCTGGAAGAGGTTTTCTTCCAGGATATCTCTGTACTTGGCCGCATTCATCTTTCCTTCAATTGCAACCAGTCGTCCTGTCCCTGCAGCTGAAAAACATCCCCATAGCCTGATGCTGCCACCACCATGTTTCACTGTTGGGATTGTATTGGGCAGGTGATGAGCAGTGCCTTGTTTTCTCCACACATACCGCTTAGAATTAACGCCAAAAAGTTCAATCTTGGTCTCATCAGACCAGAGAATTTTATTTCTCATAGTCTGGGAGTCCTTCATGTGTTTTTTGGCAAACTCTATGCGGGCTTTCATATGTCTTGCACTGAGGAGAGGCTTCCGTCGGGCCACTCTGCCATAAAGCCCCGACTGGTGCAGGGCTGCAGTGATAGTTGACTTTGTGGAACTTTCTCCCATCTCCCTACTGCATCTCTGGAGCTCAGCCACAGTGATCTTTGGGTTCTTCTACCTCTCTCACCAAGGCTCTTCTCCCACAATTGCTCAGTTTGGCTGGACGGCCAGGTCTAGGAAGAGTTCTGGTCGTCCCAAACTTCTTCCATTTAAGGATTATGGAGGCCACTGTGCTCTTAGGAACCTTGAGTGCTGCAGAAATTCTTTTGTAACCTTGGTCAGATCTGTGCCTTGCCACAATTCTGTCTCTGAGCTCCTTGGGCAGTTCCTTCGACCTCATGATTCTCATTTGCTCTGACATGCACTGTGAGCTGTAAGGTCTTATATAGACAGGTGTGTGCCTTTCCTAAACAAGTCCAATCAGTTTAATTAAACACAGCTGGACTCCAATGAAGGAGCAGGACCATCTCAAGGAGGATTAGAAGAAATGGACAGCATGTGAGTTAAATATGAGTGTCACAGCAAAGGGTCTGAATACTTATGACCATGTGATATTTCAGTTTTTCTTTTTTAATAAATTTGCAAATATTTCTACATTTCTGTTTTTTTCTGTCAAGATGGGGTGCTGAGTGTACATTAATGAGAAATAAAATGAACTTTTTTGATTTTAGCAAATGGCTGCAATGAAACAAAGAGTGAAAATTTTAAAGGGGTCTGAATACTTTCCGTACCCACTGTAATCAAACAAAGATTTGGGCACTTGGGCCTGCAGTGTGAAAGCCTGCATGTAAGTTCCCACAGAACAACTCAAAAACACTCATTCAGTAATTTTAGTCCCCTCCAGTCAGAAAGTGTTTCTCCTTGTTCCTACAGTGTGCTGTCTGAATGCTGTCTGTGCAGAGTTTGACACTAGAAGGATGTTTTCACATTCATCTGCTGAAAGTGGAAAGTTTCTCTGTGCTCATTGAAAATCTGATTTTAAGGGGCGGGGCCTACCAGCAGGATTTGTGACATCACAAATAGTCAGGAAGTCAGTCCTGGTCCAGTATCAACTTGTACAGTGTGATGTAGAAACTTGAATCCACCAGTGCACATCCACTGAGAATGAACTTTACAGTGAAGTAGGAGACATCTTGTGTCCAGCAGGAAAACTGGAGATTACTGTTTAAGGATTTTAGCGGGTTGTCCCCTAATTGGAAGGTCTATACACAGTTAGCATATAGTTCATACTGTATACAATTAGTGTGAAGCTGGGACACTGTGTGAGTATCTTCATCATTTCCTGTATGTCCTCAGCAGCATATTTTGAAATCAAGTATTACATTTCACATTGATGCTGATATATTTGAGTTTACTTATTTTATGTGCCCAAAACATTGGCTACAAGTAGGATACTTTAACTAACTATGTTCATGTTATCAGGCTGGTGCTCCTTTAAAAAATCTTTAAGATTAAGCAACTGTGCCACAGCATTCAGGCGACTTCCTGTCATCAGTTGTTTTTTTCAAATTTCTGTATCATTTTTATAAATATTATTTTCAATATTATGAAAAGCACAAGAACCACAAATTGCTCCATATATACATACACCTGCAGAATTGCCTCTTTGCACTAGTTTGACCACTTCATCCAAGATCTTTTTACTTCATCCCAATCTATATCTTTATATACTATAAATAGGATTTTCTTTACAGGAGGAATAATATGGCAGATGTTGGGTAAATCTGATTGGCTGTTCATGTCTGAGCACACATGTCATTAATCATGTGATTTTTTTGAGGACTGCTCTCAAAAGTTACACATGTATGGGTTTAGTCCACATACTTTTGACCATGTAGTGCCTTTACTGAAGTTAGATGGAACTGCCATTGTTAATCATATGTTTTCAGCATTAGAACCAATTTCCTTAGGTTGAAAATGTATGTATGATTTTATGATATTTTAACAACAATGCTTCAACATCTTATATTCATCTTAATAAATTGTTAGGTCAACACCATAAAAAGGATATTATTATTTCACTGAAGTCATGATAATTAAGATGGAAAATGAGAGTATGCATCCAAATTTGCCGTACACACAGATCAGTTCATGTTCATGTTATACATACCTCTGACAGGAGCTCTGATGAGTTTATTAAAAGCTGTATGTAACAGCTGCCTCTATACGAAGCTTGTCTGTACCTTACTTCTTCTTATTAAATGAGATATGGAACCGCTCTTCAGAACTGCTTACTTGTTTGTGGGAGTGGTGGTGTTCTCACACATTCTATATTTGTATCTTTGTACTTCCTGACTTACCATGCATGCAAAATTAAATACTTATGTTTGTATGACTTCAGAATCTGTAAAGAGGCTAAGAAGTTGTGGAATTCTTGTGTATTTCTACACGAAATATTGTGGTGCATGTTGACAGCAGGGCATTTCCGTACTTTATTATTATGTGAGCAGTTTAAGACACATATATGCAATCCTCCTTTTCACAGTTTGATTTTATTTTTAAATGCATATTAAGCAATGTATTCAAATGTGCAAACTGCTGTTCCTCACAAATGGAATTTGTAGCTTTAGTCTCACTCTTTCAACCTGAAGACACTCTTCTTCATTTCCTCTGTCTCCTTCCCCCTGGTCTTATCTACACAGGAGTTATACCAAGTGATCTAGTTAATTTCTCATTTGTTAACACTGTTTCTATTCCGCCTTGGGGTGGCGCTGCTGCTCTAGGTGTAGTTGCCAAGGAAAGAGAGTTAGGTGTCTTGTCAAGGGCATAAACTTCTCTCTTTACTCTCATCAGGGTCAGATCTAGAGAAATATTCACAGGGTGTCCAGAGGGTGGCATGGAGACTTTAAGGGGAAATATTTGCTGATTTAATCTCAATCAATCACATATATCAATATTTGCTTGGAAAAGCCCCCAAATGAAGATACTTGAGCTCAACTAGTTTTTAAATCTAAAATGCAACCATAATAGATCATGAAATTATGAATGATAATTTAATGATCTGTGTGCCAAAAAGTGCCAAATTGAATTTAAATATCTAAATCAACTGCTAAACTAATAGAAGTGACTGATGAAGATGATGATGACGACGACGAGAAAAGCCACAACAATAGGGGACGATGATGATAGTAATGATAATCGTAATAACAGTAACTGTAATAATAGTAATAATAATAACAATAATATCAGTAATATTAGCAGTGGGGGTAAAGCAGGACCATGGCAGCAGGCACCACCAGCTTACTCTTAAACGTTGAGAGGGTGTCTGCCTCCCGAACCACAACTGGAAGCTGGTTCCACAGGAGAGGAGCTTGGTAACTGAAGGCTCTGGCTCCTGTTCTACTTTTAGATACTATAGGAACCACAAGTAGCCCAGCATTCATAGAACGTAGTGTTCTAGAGGGGTAATAGGGTACTATGAGCTCTTTAAGATATGAAGGGGCCTGACCATGAAGAGCTTTGTAGGTGAGGAGGAGGATTTTAAATTCTATTCTGAATTTTCACAAGGAGCAAATGTGGAGAAGCTAATACAGGAGAAATATGATCTCTTTTCCTAGTTCCTGTCAGTACTCGTGCTGCCGCGTTCTGAATTAATTGGAGCATCTTGATAGGCTGATAATAAGGAGTTGCAGTAATCCAGCCTAGAAATAACAAATACATGGATTAATTTTTCTGCATCCGTCTGTGACAGGATGTCTTTAATTTTTGCAATGTTACGTAAATGAAAGAAGGCAGTCCTGGAGGTTTGCTTTATGTGGGAATTAAATGTCCTGATCAAAGATAACTCCAAGATTCCTGATGGTGGTGCTGGAGGCCAAGGTAATACCATATAGAGTAACTATATCTGTAGACAGTCTCAGGTTTTCAAAACTTAATTTTTTCTGAGTTTAACATCAGAAAATTGCAGGACATCCAGGTTTTTATGTCCTTAAGACATGCTTGTAATTTAGATAAATGATTAATTTCATCAGGCTTAAATGATAGATATAACTGGCTATCATCTGCATAACAATGAAAGTTAATGGAGTGATTCCTAATAATGTTGCCTAAGGGAAGCATATATAAAGTGAATAGAATTGGTCTAAGCACCGAACCTTGTGGAACTCCATTACTAACCTTAGTGTTTATGGAGGATTCATCATTAACATGTACAAACTGAGAATGATATGATAAAAAGGACTTAAACCAGCTTAGTGCGGTTCCTTTGATGCCAATTAACCACAGAAATATATCAAATATAAAATGACAAATCTGATCTTTGGTGATCCCAATTATATAATTGTGGTTGCTGCTCTGTATGTTTTTCAGCTATCACTGGTTACAACACAATACAGTGGCAGATGAATATAAATGAACTATTGCTTGACCCCACAAAAAAAACCTCACAAAGGTTAGACTTTCTTCTACAACTTAAACGATAAATCGATTAGGCAGTTGAGAAACGTTATTTATCATGAAAAACCAACATTCTCAGGATCCTGCTTTTGCCTTGTGAGTGTTTGTAGCAGTTCTCCCTTTTACTTCATTGTAAATTAAACATTTTTTAATTTTGGACAAAACAAGCAATGTGAAGCTCTAGGAATTTAGGAGCGACATTTTTAAACACACTAATGTTCATAAATGTCGTTTTATGGATGTTGGTCTGTTGTTTGGTCTGTACAGTTGTTAAGAAATATCTCAACAACTATTACGCATTAACACATGTTCTCCAGGGGATGAATACTAATATCTTTGTTGATCTTCAGACTTTTTAATGTAGCACCATTATCGGGTCAAAATTTCAATTTATACAATACTTGTACAATATCTGTAAAACAAACTAACCATCAGGCTCACTTGTACTTGCTTTGAATTCTAATTAGCAAATGTTAGCATGCCAACAGGCTACACTTCGTAAACATGGTCAACATTATACCTGCTAAACATCTATATGTTGCAGTAATTCTATACCATTTTCTGACATTCTGTGGACTCAAATCAGAAAAGAACATTCAACACATTGTTCCTAATGAATGTAATCAGTATTAGTTTAATTGTGCATACAAAGAGTAATGTTTTCTCTGTTAAAACAAAATGTCTTCACTCACTGCCCAAAAACAAAGCTTGGCGTAAAATACCTTGTACAATACTATGAAGTCATATCACCAGAAAACTGTTTTATTAGATTTAAGTCTTTGTTGCTGTTGTGTCAGTTGTTGAGCAGACTTTGCTCATGCTTTTTTTTTAAACACATGGGCTACCGCTAGTGCCTTGTAGACATGGTCTAAACTTGTTGTCCCAGGAGATTCCACACCAATTGGGAAAAAATAGAACAGATTTTATGTTTGCTTTCATGTATGAGTGTCCTGAGATAACTTCTGTTATGAATTGGCGCTATACAAATAAAATTGAATTGAATTGAATACTTTGCTTGCTTACCCAGTTATGCCAAGAAATAAACACCCATCAGCCATAATATTGTGAGCACTGAGAAATGAAGTGAATAACACTGATTATCTGGTTATCATGGCTCCTGTCACTGGGTAGGATATCCTCAAAGTTGATGTGTTTAGAAGCAGGAAAAATGGGCAGCGTCAGGATTTGAGCGACTTTGACAAGGGCCACATTGTGATGACTAGACGACTGGGTCAGAGCATCTCCAAACTGCAGCTCTTGTGGGGTGTTCCCGGTCTGCAGAGGTCAGTACCTATCAAAAGTGCTCCAAGGAAGGAAAAGATGCGGAGACAGGGTCATGGGTGGCCAAGGCTCATTGATACATGTTGGGAGCGAAAGCTGGCCCGTGTGGTCCGATCCAACAGACGAGCTACTGTAGCTCAAACTGCTGAAACAGTTAATGCTGGTTCTGATAGAACGTGTCTGGAAACACATGCATCGCAGGTTGTTGGAATGGATTCTGCATAACATTATGTGCCTAGTCGGTCAGAATGTGGCTGATCCGTGTACATGTACCAAAACCCTAGGTCTTCTGCAGCCTTGTCTATATAGCTACTAAAGCATGAAGCCATATTAAAAACATGTTTTAAATGCAGTAACAATGCAAGGTGCATCTCTGTCTTTGTGGCCTCCATCCAATCCTGCGGATGCTACCATATGTAACAAACACAACATGTTGGTGTTATCCTCTTACTCCAATCTCACCACATAGCTTAATATAGGGCTGTTGTTTAAAATAAAGGGAAGTGGTTTGCAGTATGACAAAAATAACAGGAAGTTTTTGTAAAATTACACAATTAGTATACAGAGAGTTTCTGCGGGTCATAAAAAAGAATTATCTAAAATGTAGGCCTTAAAATGTGTTAAATATGAGCTTGACAGGTCTTAAACATTGATTGGATTATGAAGTTATCATTGATTTTATAAAACTGACATAGAATTTGAAGCCTGCCAAGCCTATTGCAAGAAAACACTCAAATTAGGAACTTTTGGAATAAAGCCATCAGAGGGGAAGTCAGAAAAACAGAAAGCCGCCTTAGAAAGCCAGTCCCAGTGCGACCCATTCAACATTAACTCCTGCAATTTCATTCATAATGGCCTTAAAAAGTTCCTAAAAAGTCTTAAATTGAAGTTGTTGAAACCTGCAGAAACCCTGATACAAGTTTAGCTAACATCATAAATATTGTTAATGCTCTCTGACAGTATAATCAAACTGGTATGTTTTTTCAGTGCTGATAAAACAATGTAGAATTCAGGGTACTCCAGTAAAATTAATTCCAGCATCAATTTCCGGAAAAGTGGAAACTTTCACCCATAGTCAACTCGGGCAACAGCGGCAAATAGATGTAGGTGGCAGTCAACCTCCCCCTCCTTGCCTCTGCTACTGCCTTGATTACTTTGGAACAATGGTCTGAGAACCTTTACAGCCCATCTGGGTTGGGTTCAATGGCTATGGTATCCTTCTGAGTGCTGATTAAGCAGACGTTTGTCTGTCCTCTGTCAGTCCTTCCATTCTTAGCGTCCAAATCAACAGTGGAGCTGCTCCCGCTGACTCCAGTAACATCTCGCACACAAAACACGTTGCTCACCAAGCGCAGCACCTCCTTCCTCACTGAGGAGGATAACAGGAAGTACATAACTGGATCCAGGCAGCTGTTAACGGCAGAAAACAGCAAAGCCACCTCATTGGCTTTGTCAGCCACACCCTGCCAGAAACATGAGGTTTGTGTGATCTGGGTTTTTATGTAGAACACCCTGACCATGTGGTAGGGTACAAAACAGACAGTGAAGAGAAAGAGGATGAAGAAGGACTTCTTGGCGGTTCGAGCGTAGCGGGGCGCATTGGGCAGACCTGGTTTCTCTTGCGATGTTCTCAGAAGCTTGAGGGCGATCTTTCCATAAGACACCACTAGAAAGATGTATACGAGCCAGAAGACAACCACCACAAAGATGTTGATGTAGGCTTTCCACTTTGCATCATGGAGCAGCTTGTAGTGGAAACACCTGCAGATGACAAACATGTTATGTCAGCTCTAACTGCTCATATCACACATGCTGGGATTTTTTACCAAACCAGTAAGACCTAATAAACGTATAAGAAAGTTTGATTACGGGCGTCACCAACCTTTTCAAGTGTGAGTGATTCTTTGACATCAGGAGCGCCAAAGTCAAAGCAGAGGCCACAATCCAGATGACTGCACAGAGAGCAGTGCTCCACCTTGTGGACCGCAGTCTGTGCTGCATCCCTGCACCACGATGGATCTTCAGGTAGCGATCCACGCTGATCAACCCCAGCAGAGTGACACTAATATACATGTTCATGTAGAAAAGATTGCCCACTACTTTACATAAGGTAGCATTAAGGTTCCAGATGTTACCCTGGCTGTGATAGAGTATCCTGAATGGCAGACATACCACCAACAGCAGGTCTGCAAAAGCTACATTTATGAGAAACACCCGCACAGAGTTCTTCTTGGAGTGAACACAGAAGAAAACCCACAGAGCCACCAGGTTCCCAAATAGACCCAGGATGAAGATTATAGAGTAGAGTACCGCCAACAGGCTTTGATATGCGCCAAGGTCCACGCAAATTTGTTGGGGGTCAGGAGTTGTGGTCAAGTTCATTACACTGGTCATTGTGGGGATAAGAAAAAGGGAGCTGTTTGCAGTCTGGAAGATGGTTGTGGCACACGTGGTGGAGATATTTTTTGTCATGGTGGATTTTGTGATCCTCTGCCCTGCAAATGGGAAGGAAACAAAGGTGAAGTATTTTGGATTAACTGTAGTGTGTTTTTTTTTTTTTTTGGGAACGTTTTGGACTCATTAGTGCAGGTTTGTGTGACAGCCGAGGTCCAGCTGTATGGATTAGCCCTGAATCAGCAGTAATCTTTCCCTCAATAATCACGTATAACACCAGCTGACCACCATATTAACAGAAATTGGAAAGCCAGAGAAAGAACAACACTTACAACACTGTACAGCTAAACAGCTCTTAACTCTATCATACCATCTATTTAACATGCCCAACCACTTGAACAACCATTCGGGCAGTCAGTTCACTGCAGTTCATATCAAGAGATCAGGACTGGGTTGCACCAGCAGTTTGTAAGTTCTCTCCCAAGTTAGGGTGTAAAGTTGACACTAGTCTTAGTAACTAACTCCTAATTAGTTTGTAACTAAATCAGCCTCTAAAATTGGTTTCACCATGATTTATTGGGTCATAACCTATGTAGTTTGGACATAGTCATAACTACAGTGTTAACTAAGGAATTAATAAGGGAATCTATAAAGAATCGGACTATCGAGCAGAAACTAATTAAGCCAAGTGGCCAACCAACAATCAGAGATATCATCATTATGGTTACCAAGTGCATTCGTTTTTTGGCTGTCATGAGCCACTTGGCATTGTAGCACATTGTCATAAGCTAGATCAATATTTAAATTTCATATCAATAAACTAGGTTTCTACTGGGTTCATGTGTTGCAAAATGGCTGCAATGTGCGTGGCAGAAAAATCTGCTGTTTTACCATCAGTGAGTACAATTCTTTATTTTATGAGTTACACTACCCTAGGGACATGTCTAACTATTTAGATTAGATTGAGATTAGTTCCTTAAAGTTATATGGTAACTTATCTCTGTGGTGCAACCACTTTTATTTTAGTTATGCATAAATCATAACTTAGTAATAATTTACAATATAACTAGACTAGGTTCGAACTTAAACACAGCTGGTGCAACAGCCTGCAGTAACTGAAACAGTAAGAAAAGGAAAAGACAGCATGCAGTCTTTATCTTGCAGCCAGTGTAGCAAAGATGTTGCTAATATGGAGTGGAACTTGTCAAAGTACTCACCTAGTCATTGAAGTCCATTAAAAAACATTTACATTCCTCTTGTACACACTCTCCGGACTGAAGGATAGAAGCTTACCTGTGGTTTTTGCCGTTCTTTTCCTCTGAGTAACTCTAGTATACTCCCTCGAGTTTAATATGGAGGAAGGACCATACAGAATTTGCTGTCCTGCAAAGACTCATAAAGTTCAAGATCCCTTCCTTCTGTTATTGTGTATTCAACTCTCTGCTGTAGTCTGTCTTTCACTGACCAAATATTATATGTTCATAAATAGCACTGTGTAGAGTGTGCTTATTTCTTTTGTTTCCTCTCTATGAGAGGCATGCCCTCCCCAGCTGTGCTGTCGAAAGTAAAGAAATGCTGAAGTGCAGAATGTGGTGGTGTTTCAGAGAGAAAACTTCAAGCTGTGGTCAACCCCCTCTTTCCTTGCAACCACTACGCAATACTCAGGCTGAGATAGAGAGAAAGACAGGGCTGCGCTTAGTGCAGACCTTCTAAATACACACATGAGGGCAAACAGCAGGACCACAGAGCATGCACCACTTGTATATATACAATATGCTTTTCACTTTGGTCTTTGATTATAATATTGAGGTATCTGCTGAGTGTAGCCAACTGTGAACGAAAAAGGTTCCCAAAATACCACTGTATGCCCTCACAGTAATTAAAGCAGTGGCTTCAGAGTAAAGCACGCTGTGGTTTAAATTGCCACCCAAGAGACATTAGCTGCTGTCAACCTCTCGAGCTAAATTTGTAGGCAAGGGTCAAGGGAATCATACCTGCTCTTGAATGTTAATCATGCCATCACATTATTAAACCTTAGGTTGGAGCAGAGGCATTATTAACAGTCAGTGACTCGCAAGAAAAACCTGTTTGAAAATGTGTTTGTGTCCAACCACGGTGGTTTGGACCAATCAGTGTCCTATGAGAAATTACTGGCAGCTACAACATGAGCTACAGGTGTGGTTTAACACTTGGAGTGTGTGATGTCAGTAAGAGTTTGTCTATGTTATGTGGTTCACTAATCTGATTGGTTGTAGGCATGGAAATCAAGTAGCGGTTCCTGGTGAGAACCAGTTCAAAAATGTCAGATCTATTGGAATTGTATTCCTCCAAGCATTTCATCCATTTTAGATGATGACAGACAGACAGTTGCTACAGTTAGCTCTCAGGCTCATACTCAGAGATGATAAAACAGTTTCATTGTTTGCAATAAGGGAATCTATAAAGAGTCAGACTGACAAGCCGAATCGTATCAGTAAAATCTTGTAAAGTCTTCTAGTCTTCCGACCACTCAAAACGCTTTTACACCACATGCCATATTCGCCCTTTCACACACATTCACTCAGTGATGGCAAAGTCCATTGAACAGAAACGCATTCATACACATTCATACACCGATGCACAGCATCGGGAGCAATTTGGGGTTCAGTATCTTGATCAAGGATACTTTGACATGTGGCAGGAGTAGCCGGGGATCGAACCAACAACCTTCCGATTAAGGATGACCCCCTCTGCGCCATAGCCGCCTTGTCAATCACCATCAACATCTTTCCCCCAAAAAAACAAAATTTTATTAAATTGATTCATTTCTCCTTGAGCAATTGGTGTATTGTTTTATCCTGATGTGTTGGGTGGTTAAAATCTTGGTTAGAAACCAAACTTAAAAAATTGTATGAGTACAAAATGGTACCCCCAACAAACTGACATTCCACTGAAGATAATGAAGTAAAACCAAAAATGGAGATCACTGGTTCTCTGATCCTCCTACGGTGTTTGTTATTTGTGTGTGGTCGTGGTGGGTGATGGTTTGGGTGTGTCTAGCACATGTGATTTTTGTTATTTATAGGAGGGTGTCACTCTTTAATTAGCAAAATACGACCATTAAATCATGAGTTTCCCTACTGTCTTCTCTCTTTCTCAGCCTCACTGTGTGCTGCTGGCGTCCAAAGAGAACTCGGCTCCAGTGAAGTTGGGGGGGTTTGGAGTGGCCATCCAGCTTGGAGAGTCGGGACTGGTGGCAGGAGGTACAGTAAACACAACCGTACACACTAGAACCATGAATTACTTACTGTGATACTGTGCTCATTTTCAAAAGAGAATAAAACAGATTTTGGACATAGTGTCTAAAGCTCCAAGTAGAAGAATGGGAATGAAATATTCACTGGGTTCCTTGGTAATTGTACTCATTGTTCTGGACATTTTAACCATCCAGAAATGGGAGGATAGTCTTAGGGGTGCACGATAGTTATCGGGCTGATAACAGGAAATTATTACGTAATTCCGATAAGTCCGATATCACAACGAATAGCCCCGATAACATATATCATTTTGTCAGCATGGCAGTGCCCCGCTCTCACTATGAGACCTGAATGGCCTGCAGTGAATGCTGTGTTCAAGTGACGTTGGCATAATCAGAAAAACTCTTTCTGACTGGGAAAATTCAAGAATACCCCCTCATGTCGGAAAAAAACTCGTTAACTCGGTCATAATTTTGGTAGTTGCTGACTTGAATTGATATCCACAGTATTTTTCAACATGTTGCACATAAACAATAGAAACACGAACTTAACAAGGCCGAAAGAAAGACTACCAAATGTGGGAACTACCAAATGTGGGATGTATGGAATGCACTTTTTCAGTTTGTTTGCACGGACAAGTCTAACTTGTGTCAGTGCATTATGCACATTTTATTTATTGTTATTGAGGAATGCACTTTTTCAGATTGTGTTTACATAGAAATGTTTAAATCTAACTTGTGTCAGTGCATCAATTTTCCATATATATTTATTTTTTTGAACTTCTGGAATACACTTTTTCAGTTCGTAATCCCGCTGCATGTATTTGCAAGGGGTCTTTTTTTTTGAGAGGCTTGCCAATAGTTTTTCATTGGAAAAAATAAATATCAGCATTTAAATTTAAACATTTAAAAATAAAATTAAAAAAATAAATTTCATATATATTATGTGTGTGTTATCGGTTATCAGTATCGGCCTTTGGGAGCTGAAAGTTATCGGTTATCGGTATCGGTTTTAAAGTTTTAAATCATGCATCCCTAGATAGTCTGTAATATACATGGACATTCATACATACACAAGGACAAAGCCAACAATCTCCCAGGGGGGTGCAGAGGGAGAGGCATGAAGCAAAGATACTGTATGACTTCTACTTCCCAAGGATATCATTATCTCTGATGTTCACCGTGAATAAACATTTTATTTAAAAATTTAATAAAACAAATACTGGTGGATGGATGATGTATAACCTTAAGTTACTTACAAATTAATTCTAAAGTCTAAACTCAGTCCTCTTCGTCCTTTTCATGCCTCTCCTGTTGCTGCCTGAACCCACTGTGTCTTCGTCCCCAGAGACATAGTAAATCACTTGACCGTTAAATGGTTGCCACGTTCTGGTTTGGTCGCTCATTCCACCACCATTTTGCTAGTAGTGTTTAAACTCCCCCTGTCTTCAAGCTCCCAGTCCAAGTAGAGTCAGCTAATAGGACAACTAACTAGACAGTGGCAGCAACTAGTACAATTAGCATATCACAGTGCACCAGCAGGTGACTCCTGTGTTACAAGAGATAAGGTCCCTGTTGCATCAATCCCCTGATACTTTCATCCCGGTGACGAGGTGCAGCTCATGAACAGAGATTAATGTTTGTTTTTTTCTGAGACTATCGGACTAATGGAAAGTGCATCGACTAAGACTCTTCACATCGACTAACAATTAAGTCGACTATTAGCGGGCAGCCCTAGTAAATTTAATATGTTTTTACTCTGTTGTTAAAACGGCATTACATTTGGTGAAGAGCATCTTTTGACTTGTGTAGAACAAGAAACTCAAAGTTAGGACTTGTCAGTCTTGACTTTGGAATTGATTTGTTACTTGTTAGTCTAGTTTTGTAAGGGATGGCAACAGTCGACTGCACACAAAAAGAACAGAAATTGAAGTTTAAGTTTTAAACCTGGATGTGAAAAACTGTCAACTTTTATCAAGAAGTAGGAAACAAACCCAGACTAAAGGTTTGTTTCCTCTTTTGCGTAAGAAAGAGGAAACAAACAGCAAATAATGTACACGTTATTTGTAGGAGAACACTCGCAAGTTATCATGATTAGGATTATCTAGGAGTAGATACACACAAGAGTATTGTCACACGTTTCAGAGTAGGAAGCACAATCTGAGAACACTTCTTTTTTTCTAGTTCAGAGACCATAAAAATAGAAATGAATAGTCCCATTAAAGTAATTGTGTGTGTGATTTTGCTTGCATGTGCTTCCTTTTAGATATTCATGTCAATTGTACAGTCATTACCTGAGTCCATAAGTTATGCTCTCCTGTCTTCAGGTCGGGTGGGGACCCCACACTTCATGGCCCCGGAGGTGGTGAAGAGAGAGCCGTACGGTAAACCAGTGGACGTGTGGGGCTGTGGAGTCATCCTCTTTATCCTCCTCTCAGGGTGTCTGCCTTTCTACGGCACCAAGGAGCGTCTGTTTGAAGCCATCTGCAAGGGCAAATACAAGGTCAGGAAAATCTCCACAGCAGTTGAGTGCAAAAACACTTCCAAATATGCCCCCCCCCCCCTAAAAGGAACAACCCACACTTTCATTGGATTTCCATGTTATTTCTATAATACTTTACAGCTCTTTTAATTTTAACGAGTCTTCCATTTAGCTGAACAGTAGAAGAACTAATTTTCTGATTCACAGCTAAATTCAAATAATACGCATTTGGAAGAAGTCTTAAACAAAAGCTCCTTAAGTACTAGTGTGTAGGATTTAGTTGCATCTAACTGTGCATTCCTATTCTTATCTCCACTTGTTTTTATTTGTTTAAAGTATGCATAAGTAAATAAACAAAGTGTGTTTATGTCTGTGTGTGCAGATGAATCCCCGACAGTGGGGCCACATCTCAGAGAGCGCTAAGGATCTGGTGAGGCGCATGCTGATGCTGGACCCTGCTGAGAGAATCACCGTCTACGAGGCCCTTAACCACCCCTGGCTCAAGGTAATGCAGAGCATTCAGGAGCACTATTAGTTCATGTTTGTGTTGTTTATTCTTTAGTGGACTGTTTCCTGCTCCATCTTCACCCTCTGGTTACTACATACCCACCAACCGCCGTTTGCGTTGTTTTATATAATCTGTTTTAAAAATCAGTCTTGAACTGTGCGTTCCTATTCTTATCTCCACTTGTTTTGTAACCACCTTTTGCAAGAAAGAAGAAAAAAAAAAGTTAATGTTTTGTAATTTACTATGTTTACCATGCAAAAATCCACTCAAAAATCAAAAGAATGTATTTTCTGCTGTGGAAAAAGGTAAGCATGAGTTGTCTCTAAGACGTGCATTCAAAGTTTTGACTTTTGTGAAACTTTGAGCATGTTTTTGAGACGAGAAGAATAGTAAAACCGCCCAGCCTAAAGCCATCACGTAATGAGCACTGGCACAGTGGTGTTATTGCTTGTCGTGTGTTGTCAGCAGAAGCTTTTATTGTATCTTCTTCTGTGGACGGTGATGGAGGGGTACAACTATTTGACAATTCGACTGAGAGACTAGCAATTCATCTGGGATATCGTTCAAATAATCAGATTTTCGGAGCACCCCTGCTTAGAATGCTACATTTTAGTTCTTTACTCGTGTATCAAGTCCTGATCTGTCTTTGCTATAATTGTAGAAAGCTGAAGTTTAGACAAATCAACTTCTATTTGCAAGATTCAGTTGAAGCCTCTAATTATACACCACAACAATCTGAATGCAGCACCCCAGCACACACATTATACTCACATTGCCATATCAAAGAAACCCATGTACCATGTGCAGTACATAAACCCCAGTTCTTCTTTCAGTCTTAAATATAATTTCTCAACAGTACCCTTTGGCCACAGTGCTCTTTTTATATCCAGAAACTTATTGCAACATCGTCACCACAAGGCAAAACATCTACAGCATCTTCATGACAACAACACGGAAACAGTGCAATAAGACGATATTTCACGTTCTGCTTTATCAATTTAAATGCTTTTTTGACTTTCCATTGTGAGTCTGACAAAGCTGCGGTTGTGCAATGCCAAATTGGAGGAGTATTCTTTTAGTTAGAGGACTTCAGAGAGAAAGATCAAAAACCGAATGATCAAAACTGATACAGCAGAGGCGGATGACTTTTGTCCCTGGTATTGTTCAAACTGTTACAAGACCGGATCCTACATTTTCCATAATGCAAATGCAATCTTTCTACATCGTAATTTGCAGTACAGGGTTTCTGTTATATATTTGTAGTCTCCGAGCCCAAGCTGAAATGACTCGACCTGACAAAGCTCCCTCCAGAGCCACAAAACATGATATAATTGTTTCTGTAGGGATGGGCCTTCTGAGTCATTTCCATATTTGCATTAAACCTACTAGTTTTTAACGGCTAATAAAACAGTCTCAGTTTAATACTGATGCTTCAATATGACCTAAACAGACAGGACCATCACTATATAGTTATTCTTAAAGCTGCAGTAGGAAACTTTTATAAATAATTACTTTTTGTTATATTTGCTGAAACTTTCACTATATTGTATAACAACGTGGTAATATGTGCCCAATGGAGGTTTTTGTAGAAAACCTCCATAAAAAAGAAAGAAGAAAGAAAGGAAATTCAAAAGAAATCATTAACGGAATCTACAAAGAATCAGGCTGATGAGCAGAATCCATAATGGTATTGGTATCAATAAAATGTTATCAGTTCCCGTCCCTAGTTTGGTCTATGATGTATGACTGAAAACGTTATTACATCATTTTGGCTATAAAAAATTGTGACCACTCTATACGTTGAAAGAATACTGACATCCAAAGTGTCCAAAGTACTCGTGCTCATTCCTAGTTTCACAGGTTGAGTAGCACTCCTCGTGTTGTGAAATGATGGTCATGTGTACCCCTTTAAGCCTTTGGTTAAGTCATTTTCTTCTCTGTCTTGGAATTCCAAGGAGAGGGACCGGTATGCCTACAAGATCCACCTGCCAGAGACTGTGGAACAGCTGAGAAAGTTCAACTCCAGGAGGAAGCTCAAGGTTTGCACATAATAACTGGCAGCACACATTATCATATTTCACAACATTTGAGGCTTGTTGCCATGACACATTACTGTGTGTGAGATAAATAGTTAACACACGTGGATGCTGCTCCTGCTGCTGCTGTGTTTTCAGGGAGCTGTTCTGGCTGCAGTGTCCAGTCACAAGTTCAATTCCTTCTATGGTGACCCCCCTGAGGAACTTCATGACTTCTCCGATGACCCTACCTCCTCAGGTACACAAAGACACATGCTCATAGATTAACTTTAGTCACCCTTTCATCACTGACACACTTCCTTCCTCAAATGTCCTTTCTCTGGTTCTGCTTTCTGTGTATAGGACACATACAAAGCACATTCAAAAAAAAAAAAGGAAATAAAGCCTTGTGTTCTTCTCTTATTATTCAGGTTAATATATGCTGTGAAATCCAAACACTGTTGTTGTTAATGCTTTTAGTGCCAGTATGCTGACACTAACACTAGCAGACACATTTCTGAGCTCACAGTCTGTTAGCAGCAGTTAGCAGTTAGCTAATAGCTACAAGTAAATATCCCTCAGTAACCTCGGTAAATTCCTGAGAGTTGAGGCAGAGCAGCCAGAGGACATCTGAGGAAAAAACTAAAATATAACTTTCCCTTACAATCAAAAAAAACCTCTTCCGGATACAGAAACCTGAAGGGGTAGTCCTGAATCTGGAGCGGTAGTCCATAACTTAGACAGACTGAGCGGGTCCCTGTGGGTGCACTCAGCTGTGCTGTCTGGAGCTGAAATCTAGATAAAGACGAGCCAACGTCGGATATTCACGTAAAGTAGAAAAGGAAGTTGGAAACGTGAATTCTCAGCTTTTTTGCTCACAGAGATTACTTTTATATACATTTACCTTCTAACATATATGACAGAAACTAAAGAATAGCATAAACGGTCCCCTTCAATATTTGTACTATTATTATTATTATTAGTACTATCCTCTAGTGATTCAATTGCTGTTTGGTTTTTTTTAAGTTATTTTTTTGGCCTTTTGTTTTTGATAGACAGCTGTGGAGTGACAGGGGGGGTGGGGGGGGGGAGGGGGGATGACACACAGCAAGGGGCCGTAGGTCAGATTCGAACCCGGGCCGTTGCAGCAACTCCATATATGGGTCACCAGCTCTACCGACTGAGCTAACCGGGCGCCCCTATTCAATTGCTGTTTTTAACAATGATATTAACAACTGTGTTCATTTCAAACTGTCAATGTGTTTATTTGTGTGTCTGTTTCTATTAATGCTTCCCAACTGCTAGGACTGTTAGCAGCAGAACGTAGGTATCCGTTGGTTCTATGTGTGTTGTGATGATAGTTATAGTTAATAATTTAGACAGCAGAAAATGTTTCAGTCTTTGAGTGCATGTGCACGTTATCGACATATATGAAGATGGACAGCATGACAGCTCCCCAATAATGAATCCAAAACATCTTGATCGCCCCCTGGTGGTTGGTTGCAGAATAGGTCATAAACCCCACCACTTCCAAGTATATGTCAAATATATATTTCCCAGAGATGGTTTCTGCCATTTTAGGTATCCTTGATATTTTAGCGCTGATGTGTGTTCAAGCATTCATTTTAATTAGTTATTTGAAGCTATAAAAACGGGGCTTCAAATCATGACACACAGCTGAGCGCTGCACGTGAGTGGGTGTATCGGCGGGACCTCGATACCGCGATAACCCTGATCACTACTGCACAGACTCCAATTAACATCAACAGCTTAAGGTATTTTGGCTTCATTGGGAGGAGTGGAGAGGCGTCTTTCATCTTTATATGTCGATGGTACATGCTCACCACAAAAGCCTTCAGAGAACCTTGAATTGACTAATGGACCATTGTTCTGGTGTGTGTGTGTGTGTGTGTCCATGTGCATGTGTGTGTTGCAGGGGCTGTGTCTCAGGTGTTGGACAGTTTAGAGGAGATCCACGCTTTGACAGACTGCAGTGAAAAGGATCTAGATTTCCTCCACAGTGTTTTCCAGGACCAGCATCTACACACACTGCTTGACGTAGGTGCCATACACAAACACTAACACATGTTAGCACACTGGAATATATCCACCTTTATGAGTCATTCATTTTATTAATAACTAGTGAATGATTTAATTACACACTTTATGAAAGCTTCAGAAAGCCTTCATCACGTTTAATAACAGGAAGTGGTGTGTTTTATGTTTCCAGTAGTAGCAACTGCAGCTAGCATCTTTCTCTCTTTCTTGGCTGTCCTAAAATTAAATGAGCTTGTGTGTGTGTGTGTGTGTGTGTGTGTGTGTGTGTGTGTGTGTGTGTGTGTGTGTGTGTGTGTGTGTGTGTGTGTGTGTGTGTGTGTGTGTGTGTGTGTGTGTGTGTGTGTTGTATTATGTTAGAGGCTCTCCCAGTTGGTAAAGGCAACTCAGTTGAAGTGGGTTGCAGGAGTCTTGAGGATCTGCCAACTGTGTGTGGGTGTGGGTGGGTGGGTGTGTGTGTGGTGTCAGTGGGAGCCTGGGGCTGCAGATGTCTCCTTTTCAGCCTCAGTTTCACACCCCTGCCCTGCTCCAAGAGAAGGGGGAGCGCAGAAAAAGACAGAAGAGTGCAGCCTCAGACCGTGAAGGAACAATGGCTCCTATTGTCAGGCCTCAGTGCCATTCACAAGGAGCACAGCCTCCATCACTGTCTGTGCGGAGGAAAGTAGCCTCCACACTGCTGAAACACACAGAGGAAGCCAGAGATCCCGTAGACACTGAGCGGATGGAGCAGTCTGGCTCAGATAACATGTGTCTCGTTTGCACGCTGTTGGCTGTGTTTTTCTGACAAACCGCTTACCGTCTCCTGGGTGAGTGTGTTTTTCTTTCTGATGTTTTTGCAGGAAGAGCGTTTTGTCAAGAGGTGCCTCAAGCTAATTTGAAGTCAGCCCGGCATCCCCCTGTGGTTGTTTTTGGCATTTGACATGTATAATGAGGCGCTTTAGTCAAGTGAATTTCTATTTCTTTTTTCTCGGTTTCCAAAGCTCCTTAGGCTTCCCCTTAGCTAATAAGTTGCCCTTAAGGTGTTTGTCTTTTTGAGAGAGTTTGTTAATGCAGATGCATGCTCGAGACATGTGTTCATCCCAGAACCACCGTTTTTTGTTCTGGAGGTGTCCAGTTTTCACATATGGGGAGAGATGGGACATCTTCGTCCTAACAGAAATATACACATATTTTCATTCACATATACTCCCACAATAGACCTTTTTCACAGCAGCCATTTTAACATGAAATTGCAGGGTAAACACAGATGTTACCAATGACACTAATGGAATGACAAAGCATACAGCAAAAATAAGGTAAATTAGACTTTAAAGGGATAGTTCAAGTATTTTGAAGTGGGGCTATATGAAGTACTGATCCATAGCTAGTGCATTACCTACAAACGCCCCCAGTTTAGAGAAGCAGAAAGGACAACCAGCACAGAAGCAGAGCAATGTACTGTTATGAACTTATTTTAGCCACATAAAAATCAAAAATCATTAGTACGCTATAATAATTTGACCTCACCGTCAGACAGCCTTTTTCTTTGGTACTAACCAAAGCCTACCCCAGTACCTCCCCACTATAGATGATAGGTCATAATTTATAAAAAGAAAAACAAAGATTGCGTAATATTTCCAAGTTTCAAGCAGCTGAAATTGATGGAAATGTACAATTATTTTTTTTCTTTGAGTAACATTAAAAGCACTCTATAGGTAAAATGTTTTATTATTATAAATCTAGTACATTCTAAATGCATTATTACTGTTATCTTCAAACAAATATATTTTCTATTTTACCACCCATTTTGCACTGCCTAAATAATTTCTCTGTCTTAATAGTATCTTTCCATCTGAGGAATCTTATTTCCAGCCAGGTATCAATTGTAGTGGGATCGGCCTGTAGCCATTTATAACTGATTGTTTGTTTTTGCTGCTGCTGTGAATGTTTTCTATCTAATTAATCTGGGGGTCTAAAAAACAAACCACATTTGAAAACTTTCTTTTAGCTAAGAGAAAACTAATTTTAATTTTTACATGAATGGGCTTTTTCACCCAAAACCTTATTTCACATCAACACATTGAATGCATATAGCTGTACATTTCGAAAAACACAGCAATGAAATGCAAATCAGTTTCTGCCGTATCCCATGAGCTTCTGCAGCGAGTGGAACTGGCCCAGGCCACATAATAACAGGTGGTTGTACAGTATATGGGGGCGACATTGTAACCCCTATCTCTGTTAAGAGGCGGTTTCTAGTATTAGATGGGAATCAGTGCATTTGACCCAGTGGATGCTGTGGCTGGTTTTGGGCTGATGTCAGGTACTCTTGCAGTCTTCTTCTTGCCTTCTTACCGATTTAGTTTCGTCTTTGTGGGCGTCCTCTTTTTTGGATTTAGAAGCAGAGATGTGTCAAAATCAACCATCTTCTGGGGCATTCTGGTAGCTCATGTAGTAGAGCTGGCGCCCCATGTCCTTGCTACAGCGACAATGGGTTTGATTAAAGGCAATAAAAATGAAGCCTCTTCCACCATAACATCACAAACTCTGAAGCTGTCCTCAGTACAGGGTTGTCATGAATCCAGAATTTCAAACTTCGATGCAATACTAGAAGGGTGCGAAGGTGAAAAATACACAGAATCTGAACCTGTCTCAGTCTCACTTTTTTCATTCTTCACACAATAACTATTGGTGTGTACAACCCAGTGCAACAATGCAAATATGTTCCAGCACACTTATAAAAAGTGTGTGCGCAATTCAAATCTCACCTCTCTCAGGCTCTTGGCCTCGCCTTTGAGCGCGGCTGCTTGGTCTGCTATAAACACTTTTTTCAGCAACAACATATATAAACAGACTGTAAAAAGAAAGAAGGTACAAGAAGAAGAAAGTAAAAAAATCCTTGTTTCTGGGAAACTTTTTTTTTTTTTCTAACTGTGTCTTAATAAGATATTCCAGCTAGTATTGAGCTCTCTTGAAGCAGTAACCAGTAATATCCCAGCAGAGGAACAAGATTATTTTACTTATTTTAAGAGGAAGACCACTGGCACAACTTCTCAGTTTAAGAGAAAGTGGTCTTGTCCCAGTGTTGGAAATGAAGTAGCTGTTTAGTTTTTCATTGTTTGAATAAGAACGATAAAAATAAGAATGATTCTGGTTCTTCTTCTTACAGTCTTTCAGTGGTTAGATTTTTATGCTAGTTTTAAGAATTCTAGCCAAGTAAAACTGGCTTACCCCACTGGCAGATTAATTAGCTCAATACAAGAAAATGTGATTATATTTAAAAATATGTGGCTTGTTTCTAGAAGGCCTGTTATGTGTGTATGTAGATTAACCCTAACCCTAACCCTGCTGCAAAAACAGAAGAGAACTGAACTATCTGATACAAAAGCACGGTTTGTGACACTCTGTGTGTGAGTGTGTGAGTGTGTGAGTGTGTGTGTGTGTGTGTGTGTGTGTGTGTGTGTGTGTGTGTGTATTATGCAAGACTCCATGCTTGTGCACTCCACAGCAGGTTAACCAAAAAAACACAGCAGACAACTTGCTCTTCAAACATCGTTTTTGACTATGATAATAGTTGTTTTGGATGAGTCTGCATTATTTGTTTAAAAGAGGCGTCTTCTGCTTTGATTGGAGCCCCATGCCTTTGTTGGGACGGTTTCAGGGCCATTTTGTCTACAAACATACAATATCTTAAATCCACCCACACTCGTCTCTGACTAGCTCCATACAAGCCTGTCTAGTCAGTGCAGTTTATTAGTCAGCTGGGACTTTTATAAACAGAGCTCTTGTGTGTGTTGTCCTTCAATCATAACAGTTCCTTTTTGTTAAAAGTTCATGTTAAAAAAAAAGGAAAAAGTGGTATTGATGCTCTTAAGACCAACTAAATCAAAGAAAGAGAGACAGAGCTAAGGACACATCAAAGAAAAACTGCTTTTTCACTTAAAACACCAAACTTTCAACCATATAATATGTTCCTGCAGTAAGAGATGACTTATTTAAACTGCAGTGGGTTACTTTTATAATAATAACCTTTTGTCTATAATCTGTGAAACAAGGCAAGAATCCATCAGGCCTGAAGGAAAAGAACCAATTAGAGCCGAGAAAAGGGACAAAGCTTTGTCCCAGAAAGATAAATAAACTGCGCATCTTGTGGCTCCAGCATTACTGTCTTACACTGAAAACTGGTTAAATAAACTGATGTTCCTGGATTAGATTCTTTCTAACCTTAGAATTTAGACTTCTTCTGTTAAATGACAAAAGTGGTCGGTAGAGACATGTTTATATCTCCAAGTCAGGTGTTGAAAAAAACATTTTGTAAATATCCATTTCAAAAATGTTCAAATGTTTGAATGAAACCCATCCTTACATTTTACAGAGGTTTACAATATTAATAAAAGCAAGAATAAGGAAAAATAATGTGTCAATATCTATCTATCAGGTTCTTATCGATCCTGGTGGAGCCTCCTGCCACGGTCCTGCTCTTCCGACCACTCAAAGCGCTTTTACACTACGTACACACACATTCACTCAGTGATGGCAAAGCCCATCAAACAGTAAATAACATTCATACACACTCACACAGTGATGCACAGCATCGGGAGCAATTTGGGGTTCAGTATCTTGCTCAAGGATACTTCGACATGTGGCACCAGGAGCTGGGGATCGAACACACAACCTTCTGATTAAGGAACGACCCGCTTTACCTCTGAACCACAGCCGTCCCCAGATTGCCATCGCCAATACTGTTGTTGCTGTGCACCTGTCTGTCTGTTTGTCTCTTTGTCTGTTTCTGTCTTCTGTCTGTCTGTCTCTCTCTCTCTCTCTCTCTCTCTCTCTCTGTCTTCTTTCTCTCTCTCTCTGTCTCTCTCTCTCTCTGTCTTCTTTCTTTCTCTCTCTCTCTCTCTCTCTCTCTCTCTCACCCCAACTGGTCGAGGCAGACGACCACCCACCTAGAGCCGGAGGATCTGTCCTAGGTTTCTGCCTTTTAACAGGCAGTTTTTCCTTGCCCTTGTCGCCAAGGTCTTGCTCATGGTGGTACTGTTGGGTCTCTGTAAATAATGTTATAAAGAGTTCGGTCTAGACCTGCTCTATTTGAAAAGTGTCCTGAGATAACTTCTGTTATGAATTGGCGCTATACAAATAAAATTGAATTGAATTGAATTGAATCTCAGATGTGCAGCCATATCCAGCTTTGAGGAGAGTCATTGATCATGTTGACCTCTTTGTGGAGGTTTTTGTGTTGCTCTGCTCAGTTTCACTGACTGACTGACTCATCTTGATCTTTTGTTTCAGCTCTACGATAAGATCAACACCAAGTCGTCTCCACAGATCAGGAACCCCCCCAGTGATGCCGTTCAGAGGGCCAAAGAGGTGAATAAACACACACAAACATACACTCTTTCTCTCCTCCACATTCACATACTCTAACTTTGCACATTTGACCCTTCCTAAGCCCCGCCCCTTTTTGCTCTGAGCTCCAATAACAACACAGAGCCAACCTTGGTCATCTTTTTCCTTTCCTGTACTTAGATATGCTATGTGCTAGGCTAATCTATGTTGATTCTAGTTTAGTATAGTCACATCATAAGTTAACTTGCTAATGTTAAATGCTAGCTAAGCTACATCTGAAAGGTAATGTTAGCAAAATACTAGCTAACATGCTATTTCATTTCCATAAGATAAAATGAAATAATCCTTATTATCCCACATCAACATCAATCATTAGCTAGCTAGTTACATTGAAAAGCAAATGTTACCAAAGTGCTAGGACAGCGGAGGACAGCGGAGGACAAGGTTTATGAAATAAAATGAATGTGTGTATATTATTGTATGTCATTTATTAATTATTAGCATCTCATTGTCCAGATTGTCCATGTTTTTTTTTTCTTGTGTCCTTCCTTAACATTTTACACCTACTGTTGCCGATATTCTCTGCCGGTCTCCCGGTACCGTCCTGCTCTCATCCACTAATATGACCTCCAGTGTGCCGTCTACTGTCTGCCGGACTACATGTGAATGCATAACATTAGGTGGCTAGCTAACGTTTCGCTAACATTAGCTAACATAAGATGTGACTACATGTGTGTCATTTTTTTCTTTTATTATCTGTGGTTGTCTTTTCAACATAGATTAGCCTAGCACATATCATATCTCAGTACAGGAAAGGAGGAAGCTGACTGAGGTTGTGACCGAGCAACAGGCTTATGTGTACTCCATGTTTGTTGTGTTCCTCTTCACGTGATGTGTGATAAGGAATTGAATATACTGTACAGATGACAGACTCACTGACTGCTGGCCTCTCTCTAGAACACCTTAACCTCACACTTCTGTCAGTGCTCTGGCTGTATTAATCCTTCTGGCCTCTTGCTCACCAAAGCTCTAACTCGCTGTGTATCATTCTGCTCACCTGCTCTGCTCATTTAAAGCAGCGTCCTAGGTGTGGGGTTTGGGTACAACCAGAGGCCCTCAGCGTGTGTCCAGGGTGGCCTCAGCAAAGTGGGAATAATTCAACTATAATTTAAAACCTTAGAGCTAATATTAATTTTAAAAAATTATAAGAAAATATTGTAATATTTAAAGGAAAATGTTTAAACATTTAAAGAAAGAGTTCTCTCTCTAGGACTGTTGACATTTGTCACGTCTTGCTGAAAACTGTTAATATTGGATCAGTGTAATTCAGAGCTGTCATGAGAAAAAATTCAATTATTTGAAGGTTTAAAAGGTCATTCATGCCATTTGAGCAAGTTTTCTTGGGGACCACAAGAACATCACAAATTTTCCAATTTTTAAATTGATGGGAAAAATCAGTTTGGTTCGGTTTTTGAAATATTGACCTAAAGGTTTTTGATTTTTGACTTGCAGTGTCCACAGTCCAATAAGGTTGAAGCTGGATTATACATTATGCAAGCAGTCATTGATTTATATTTCAGCATCAGATTCACACATTGATAGCACTACAGCAGCTCTTTGATTCTTTCTTTCGATTTTATTTTTTTATTTGATTCCAGTGTGAACAGGTGAGTGCCCTGAAATGACTTGCATGATGAACGTAGATCTATAGTGACGTAAAAGTCAAGTGAATCCTGATATTCAGTGTTCACACTGAGGTCACATTGCAAAAAATCAGTTACTGAAAAGAAGATTACGGAGCTTTTTTTATTTGCTCCACGTTGTCTTCACTATGAACAGACTCCACCAGCTTTAGAAACTTCAGAATCAGAAACGTGTTTATTGCCAAGTAAGTTTACACATACAAGGAATTTGTCTTGGTGCATTAGGGTTAGGGTGCATAAAAATCACAAAAAAGTACTTTTTAAATATAAATTAAGATAGAAAGATCTAAAGTAAGTAAAGTAAGTAAAAATGTATTGCATATATACAGGGTGGGTTTAGGAGTCAGTGTCAGTGGGGGATCCGGGCCTTGTTAATGAGGCCAGCTGCGGACGGGAAGAAACTGTTTTTGTGGTGTGAGGTTTTGGTCCTGATGGTCCGCAGCCTCCTACCAGAGGGAAGTGTTACAAAGAGTTTGTGTCCAGGGTGGGAGGGGTCAGCCACAATCTTGCCTGCACGCCTCAGGGTCCTGTTGGCGTACAGGTCCTGGAGGGATGGCAAATTGCAGCCGAGCACCTTCTCAGTAGATCTGCTTGGTATTATGGGATGGTGGGTGGCGCGTATGCAAGAATAGACTGGGTAAAAGGTGGCCAGTTTCAAGCAAGCAGATGCAGACACTGCCACACACTTCTAGTGCGTTATAAGTGATGATTGAGAGTGATTATGTTTACATGATTCTATGCATTGTTTTTTCATTTTCAGTAAAATGTACATTAAGTATTTAATTCAATTCAATTCACATTTGTTTGTATAGTGCCAATTCATAACAGAAGTTATCTCAGGACACTTTTCAAATAGAGCAGGTCTAGACCGAACTCCTTATAACATTATTTACAGGGTATCAAAAGTAAAAGAACTCAATTCAAGCTGGACCCTACAAATATTTTATTTCATTTATTTAAATAATAATTTCTAATATTTCCCTCTGAAATGTACTGAAGTTAAAGTGGCTTGAAAAGGAAAGTACTTTGATGGCGTTGGAGTGAAACTAGAGCACCTGGAGGAAGCCCTCACAAACACAGGCAGAACAACCTCAAAGACCTTTTTGCTTCGAGGCGCTGTGCTGCTCAGTTTGGTTTACAGCTGCACAGAAATGATATTGACTCAAGAGAGATTGAATTATTGAATTATTTATGTTCAGTTATTGAGTCCTCTGTGAGCTTCCTCTCAAACTTCAGTGACCTCCTGAGGATTATTTGCTGATGATCCAACTCCCTGTGACTCTGGCCCATTGTCGGAGCAGCTGACACCACAGCCCACAGGCCTGTTCACACAGAGCTGTTTTAATAAAGATCTCTGGCTGACGTGTTTGACCTTCCTCATTAGTGGACACACCCCAATACTGTATTTGTGCTCTAATAGCGTGGTTTTGCTTTATTACAGAGAGTTGCCTTATGGTCTCCAGAGTCTGACCCTGGCTATGATGAATTCATATACACTCTGTTAGTTTATGTGTTTTACCTCTCAGTGTACTGTAGCAGGATGCAGACTGGAGCGGGTGCTTAACAAGGACTGTGAAAGAAGAGGGAGTGTGTGAAGGGAAACGTGGATCAGTGGTGTGCATTGTGAGCGTATCTGCATGCCCTTGTGTCGCACCATGTTTGTGTTGTGTGCTTTGTTGAGGGAGCAATTAGAAAGTCTGAACGGTGAGGGAGTGGGTGAGGGCAGGCGTCTTAAATCCCAGCACTGTTAAGACAGGGAAAGCCATTTAGGGCAGCTGCGCTCTGTTTTATGTGGCTTTGGTTGAATGTCAGAGAGACCTGGCTAATTAACACAGCTCTGGTACACTGTGTCCGAGAAGTTCCGAGTCTGCTTAAAGAGTCTGGTTCACATTTTCCTGCTTAAAGCTGTCTAGATGGATCAAGAGTTGTGGATGGAGCCACAACAGATGCAATGCTGTCTGTGTGGGAGTGAAACAGCGTTTAAGTCCCGTAGTTGCAGAATCTTTTCATCTTGTGTGTGGATTATTAGTTTTCTGGCTGACTGTATGGTGAGCCAAGCCTTAAGACACCTCCGCATTAGAAACGCACTACACTCTGTTCATAACCAGGCAGGGGCCTCGCTGTACTTTTCAAGCATCTCAGAGTAGAAAGTTTGTCCTGGCCAGTTTGAAATTCAAGCAATGATGCATGTTTGGTCCTGTTTCAAACGTAGGAATGAAAGGGTTTGTCAGCTTTTTTATGTAGGAAAGTAATCATATCAGGATTTAGGAGAGCTCAGGTTATTCTTCCCCTCTCAGGAGTTCCCAGCAGACGGCAAATGATTCAACAAATGAACAAGCATTTTGGGAGTTGTGGGAATATAGAAAGTTTGGTGTTAATTAAACTAATTAAGAAGTTTCTTCAAGGATAATGATTGGATTAAAACTCTTTGACCTGGATGGCTTTCCATATGGAAAGTGACGTCCACTGTACAGAAAATGAGTATATTGTTTATTTGAAATAGTTGTGTTAAAGCTGCAGTTGGTAACTTTTATAAAATAACTTTTTGACATACTCACTGAAACTTTCACTATATCCTGACAGTAGTGCATGAGACAGATAATCTGTGAAAAAATCTGGTTGCTCTGGCTCCTCCTAGTGCTTCTCCTGGTTTCTTTCTCTCTTATTGGTTGTTTTTGTCCAGACCCAGTGTATTCTATCAGGAACACTAGGAGTTCTGAGTACTGATTTTTTCACAGATTATAGTGATACAGGCAGAGGGCCAATAATAGTAGACTATTGGATCATGACAATAGAATAATAACTATGCCAAAACATCCCCTGCAGTAAATTACTATTGTAAGATAAGTACATGTATCTATAGTCCTACATAGGAATGTGGATTAAACTCATGCTGGTTTGTACCAATGTCAAATAATCTAGAGTCAGTTTTATGAATATTTTGAATACTCATTATTAATTTGAAACACTAAAGATGTCATTGATGATTTTTGCTGATTAGTGTTTCATACATAGTTTAAGTAGGTTTGGGTATTTTTAATCCTAGAATCATAAAGAAAAGCAAGTTAATCGTTTACTATGTAGCTACTTTGGTACTTCCTGTGTTTGACCATTACCCAGCTAATTTTGTTATTGTCAGTCCAACTTTAAACAAGGGTAATTCTGAGCTACTTGAGGAATACTGGTCAAGGGCTGCTTCAGCACAGTTTCACCTCAAATGAACTCCCCCTGAACCTGAACTACCCCTCGTCCTCCTCCTCCTCCTCCTCCTCCTCTGCCTCCTCCTCTGCTTTACCTCTATCTGTACTGGACTCTTGTGGCTTTCTGGCCCAGTGATAAGGTGCTTCAAACTTCCACAAAGCTTTGTCCTGACCGCACTAATATACTTTTTTGCTGAATAAATTCTGTCAGTGTTGGAACTAATCTTGGGAGAGAGGTTACCTGCTTTGGCTGTAGATACTAATCCCACAAACTGCCCTAATTCACAGCCCGTTGGCTGGCATTGATTAAAGGCAGGGCTGGAGTTTCACTTCCCCCAGACCTCTGTCATCACTGACCTTTAAACTGTCACCTGTGAGCTCTCTAAAAAGGACAGTCGACAGCTTGTATAACGCTTCTTCCTGTGTCTTCTCCACTTAAGAGTTCCTCCCAAGATGAAGCAAGTGGCGCTTTGAAACATCTGGAATATGTAAGCCTCAAGACCTCAACACACCACTGCCATGTTCACAATACTAATGAGTAGAGCTTAAGGCAGAATTGGAGTGGACTGAGGGCGAGTGAAGGATAATATCCATGAAGGTCACTGCTGTGGAGATGCTGCCTATTCCTGTATTTTGAAAATCTACTGGTTCTCAACAGAACATAACATTTGTTTGTTTTGTTGTTGTTTAGATAAGCAAACTTTTTGGCGTCTAAATTTATTTCATATATACACACAATAAAGAGTATAAGTGACTCTAATTGCAGCTACAAAAACTAAGGACCAACACCGGGATAAAATAAAACCCATAGACCTGTGTAGTATAATAGATACAGTTGTTCTACATAATTCACCTTTTGGAGAACTGAAATGATCAATGTAGCAAAAAAACATCTGCTAATCACAAATACAAGCAGGATGGAGCTCTGACCCTCATTATGATATATTAAGGTAGGGCTGTGTATTGGCAAGAATCTAGTGATATGATGTGTATTAGGATATGATTACAATTTCAGTATATTGCAATACAATGCAAGACAATATAGTGCCATTTTTATCAAATATTTTAGGAGAACTGTTATAGTATAAAGAACTCGCCATCATATGTATACAATCTGTGTAAAGAAAAGTTCATGTTGTATGCAGTCAGAACAGTGGGATCTGCATTTATGTTAATCACAGTCCTTCGTAACATCATTGCACTACTTTTTGTGCAATCTGAGCGTCAAATGGCTGTAGAAAAATTACAACACCACTTTCTAGCGGACAGGGTTTTAAACAACACAATCGAATAACTGCCACAGATCTTTGCATGTAAGCTTTTTTTTTTTTTTTTTTTTTTTTTCTTATACCCCTATTTAGGAATAAGCACTATATTTAGCTATTCCATTATTTAACAGTGTTAACATTTCATTAAAGCATGTTTTACTATTTTCTGCAGTCAAAAAACCTGGCAATGAATTCCTTGCTATTATTGTTCAATAATTTACTTTTCCAGTTGTACATGGGGGCAATAAAAACCCTCAGATGAGAGTCTTATAAAATAATGATATCTAAAAAGAGCAAGACGTTTCTATAGAGTATTTCTGGAGATTTAGTAACATTGATATTTTGTATAAAAAAATACAGGCTGCTTTGTCCTGTACTACTTGCCTACCACCATACCATACTGAACAATCACCTTCATTTGAACATTTGAATGAGAACATTTGAATGAGAACATTTGAATGAGAACATTTGAACGGGAAGATTCATTAGACCTATTGTGTGTGTATCAGCTACTAGTGTATTGTAGGGAGGTGCATCTCTATCCCTGAGGCTGCATCTTGATGCATTGTCAACAATCCCATATGTTAAAGACACATGAAGAAAATACGAATGCAATACTACTTCCTATTGCGATTCCGTGCCATGTGACAGAATTTGATTCAGCACAACGTGATACAATGTGATGCAAAAGAATATGGTGCTATGCAGTTTAATATGGTACAGATAGATTTTATTTCTTTGGTTCTTTTTTAACAAGTTGAGACAGTTTATAGAGGAGGGATCAACCTAAATATTAAATTATTGGTCACATTCCTAAATAATGAAGGCATACGGCCTATACTAATAATTATGTATAGATAGATTTTTACTAGTGCAGATGTTAGAAATGGTGATGATGATGCATCCTGAGTTAATTCCAAATTGTATCCAATGCAGCCTATTAAAGGTCCAGTGTGTAACATTTAGGAGGATCAATTGGCAGAAATGGAATATAATATTCATCTTTTCATTTGTGTAAAATCTTTGTAAAAGTCTGCCATGTTGGACCACCATGTTTCTACAATAATCAAGAAGGGACAAACCAAACACTGGCTCTAGATGGGGCTGTTATTGATTTTCGTGCATTTCGTGGATACCGTAGTTTCTCCCCTGCCCTTGGAAGAGTTTGAATCGAGTGAGTTGCTATCTGCAACTATACCACTAGTTGCCACCAAATCCTACACACTGGTGCTAAATTGTTGTGGATGTGGTAAATCTTATCATCCCTATAGTATATAAACTATTAAATTAGGTAGTCTCATTGAGATCAATATCTCTTTTGCAAAGTAGACCTGAGTAACTAACGAAAGGACATCCAGCATCATAGACAATCACTGACATCACTAAATGGATTCAATTCAATTCAGTTCAATTCAATTTTATTTGTATAGCGCCAATTCATAACAGAAGTTATCTCAGGACACTTTTCAAATAGAGACCGAACTCCTTATAACATTATTTACAGAGACCCAACAGTACCACCATGAGCAAGCACTTGGCGACAAGGGCAAGGAAAAACTGCCTGTTAGAAGGCAGAAACCTAGGACAGATCCTTCGGCTCTAGGTGGGTGGTCGTCTGTCTCGACCAGTTGGGGTGAGAGAGAGAGAGAGAGAGAGGAGAGAGAGAGAGAGATACAGACAGACAGACAGACAGACAGACAGACGCACAGCAACAACAGTAGATTCGAGGTGGAAAGATCAAAATGGGCCAGTGGGATGGGACATTAATGTTTCAAAGTCCTCTGTAATTTATGAATCATTCCATTTATATGGTGCAAAGAAGTGGAAGGAGGGGGAACAAGAGCAGATCTGCTCTGGTGAGCAGTTGTGATATACTGAAGCAGCTTTTGCCAAGCACAGTGAAAATCTGCATCAAGTTGTTTTAAGTTTGAGCGAGCAGTGTGAGAATAAAGGATATCTCCAAAGCTGAGCACAGACATGATAGTTGACTCTACAGTCCTCCTCCTGTCCTGACACAAACATGCTTCATTAGTTTCTGTGCCAGCTGCTCCACATGCTGTTCAGAGGTTAGACTTCCGTCAAGCCAAATTCCCAGGTTAGATTGGACGATTTCAATTCAGTACCATCATGTATGTAAGGCAGGGAGATGCACACTGGAATTATGGATTCTTGAGAATAAAACGGACATTGTCTTGTCAGCAGTACGAGCTTGAGATTGTAACATATGCTTTTGATATGTCAGTGAGTGTAAGCGTACTTAAAGACGAGAGTGCTTCATAACTCCATAATGCAGGTTTCAGTAGTACTCACACCCCGTCAGAGGCCTCACCTCTACAATGCCACATTCACCAGTCAGGCGCAACATAACTGGAGCTGACATCAAACCAAGTTATGTCAAAAGGGCATGAGGAGGGGCAGAGCCTTGACCAGGTTCCTCCACTCGCTGATTGGTGTCCAGAGTTGGTCTTACATTGGCTGCGGAGATGTAGGGGGCGGCGTCAGGGAAAGTTTGAGGGGGGGCTGTGAGGTTGTCGGGTCGCTCTCCATACATCGTCCGAGGTGCAGGAAGGTGCGATTTGGATGCAAAGAACACTACTGTGGCTTAAAAAACTTTTTCTCTGCGTCTTCAGGTTCTGGAAGAAATCTCCTGCTACCCAGAGAACCACGAAGCTAAAGAACTCAGACGGATACTGACCCAGCCGCATTTCATGGTGAGTCAAAACACATGCACAACTCAGACCCCAATGTCTGGTGTACCTCTCAGGCGGGTTGCAGAAGGCCACTTCAGACACTGCAGGCCTTGTAACCTTTTTAGATGCTCTAACTTATTCTTCCTTCAATCTAAAGAGAAAGACATAGGTATGAGTCAAAGGCAGGCTTTTTTAGCTTCTGTTGCTTAACCCAAGGAGCTATAAATGTGACAAACAGATAAACATGGTCACAGTGTTTTTGTTTTTTGCCATTTTAATGTAGTTCTTAAATTGAAGTGCCTCTGAACACACTTAAAACAACATGCAAGAGCAATTCCGCTGGGCTAGAAGGGTGTTCTAACGATCTGAGCAGCCAGGGTTAATACAGTCAAGGGAAAGTCACTTGTAGGGCTGTCAGCAGCCTCTCCTGCTAATCCTATCACATTAATGCGTCTGATTTACGTCTCGGATCAATCACCTGCTTAATATCAGATAGACAGACTGACAGAAAGGGGAGGGAGTGGGATGGAACACGGGAAGAGGTATAGGAGAGACGACTATCGAAATGAAATGATAAGGAGTGAGAAAAGATCAGTAATTAAGATGAATGGAAGGGTAAGGGTAAGAGAGGAGGGGAGGTGTGGATGGAGGTCAATAAGGCGTGTCTGATGCGATGTGCTGTGTCGGCTCAGAGGCCCGGCTCCTTCATAGCGCTACAAGAGCGTAAACTGATGTAGGGAGGGAGAGGCACCATCGTGTTCTACATTCCAAAGAGTTCAAGTCAGGGCGAAGTGCAGACAACACCAGACAGGCCATGTGAGGATTTAGTGTTTTGTTTGAGTGTATATGTGGATTTTAATAGTTTTCAGGAACAGATGTCCCCACAGCACATTTTCCAGTCCTCACTAGTTAAATTCTGGGAAATATGACTATTCACAGTGCCTGAAATGGGCTGGTACTCACCAGTACTGAGTAACAACACTTCTGATTTTTGTCCACATGAGTACCCTTACTTGCCACCTCTGGTGAGCTTGGCCATTCCCCCCTATTGAGGTCGACATGGTCTAGACCTCAGTATTTTTTCCAAGGAGTATACAATCAAATGTAAAAATAACAACTGTGATGCATTCCCCCCCAAACCCCCCTACCACGTTCAGTATATGGTAAATGGTAAATGGACCTGTACTTGTATAGCTCCTTTCTAGTCTTCCGACCACTCAAAGCGATTTTACACTACATGCCACATTCACCCTTTCACACACATTCACTCAGTGATGGCAAAGTCCATCGAACAGAAACTAGCTCATTCATGCACATTCACACACTGATGACGCAGCATCGCAATTGGGGGTTCAGTATCTAGCTTAAGGATACTTCGACATGTGGGAGGAGCCAGGGATCGAACCAACCATATACAAAACTAGGGTTAGGGTTATGTTGTGTTTAAGGTTAGGGTTGTGCTGAATTACTCCTGGCACTTTTTTTGTACTGGCATGTTTTTGGCCCAATTCAGGGATTGGTTATTCACCTCTTTCTGAGAGTGAGATGTAAACATCATTACCAGTTTTATGTCTGTGCGTTATCTACAGACATAAAGCCAAAAAGCGATTAGCTTAGCTTAGCAGAAAACACTATATGGGGAAACCACTAGCACCTCTAAAACTCTCTAAAACCTGAACCTATTGCTGATTCAGAGTTGGTTCAACCAAAGAACTGGTTTGCTTTTCCACAAACTAGACAGCCACCATAGAGCCATGTTATTGTCTCACTGTATATGTCTTCAGCATTAGCTATTGTTACCAAGGTTATGCTAGCTAGCCAGCTGTTTACCCAAGCAAGCATAGCTACTGGTTTCTAACATCAATATTACTAACCTCGATCGTAACATTGAAGTTACGATCATACAAAGGTAAAATTGACGCTATGAGCGAAACATTGAGAAGTTAGTAGCTATGCTTGCTTAGGTAATGTTAGATGACCAAGGCAGCTAGCTAGCCGTTACATCCATAACATTGATGTGAACCGGTTCTGTTGTCAAAATGTAAAGAACTGGTTGCAGAGTAGGCGCTGGCTCCGAACCAGCCTTCAAACGGTCCTGCTGAAAAAGGGGTATTTCTTACACAATGTATCTTAATTGCTTAATTTGAACAAATGAGTAAAAATGATAAATTGGGTTTTTTTAGAAAGTTTTGTCACCATATCTTGACCAGGGGCAATAAGTGTTGTCTTCACTGCTGTTGATCTTCTCATTTGACTCATTTGAAAGCAAATAAATGTATTTCAGGAGGTAGAGCAAGTCGTCCACTAATCAGATGGTTGGCAGTTTGATCCCCAGCTCCTCCCTATGCAAGTGTCCTTGGGATGTATAAGTGCAGTCCAATTACCGATAAGTATTTCTGCCAATAGATCCTGCTATATGTTATAGGGGCGGGAATCTTTCAGCACCTCACGATTCGATTCGATTAAGATTCAGAGGTCAGCGATCCGATTCTAAACCGATTATCAATGCATCTCGAATTTTTTAATGTACATTTTCGTGCGTGATTTTAAAATATATATATATATATATATATATATATATACATCTGAGTTTGCTACTCAGAGTTTGCTAATCACTTCCTACTACTTTTATGATATTCATTAAAGACAATCAACAGATGAATTACCTTCTCTATATTTTATTAGAGAAAAAGCTTTTCTTGGCACAAATATGACTTTCTATGAACAATGCAGCTTGCATTTTAACACAATATGGAAGTATGTAAAAAAAAAAAGATATATTTTACTTTTCTTTCTAATCTTTCTTTTCTATGTCATTAAAGAAAAAGCTGCTCTTAGTCAATTATAAGAATAAGACTTCAAACACAAAATCCTCCTGTGCCAGCTGGGCCACTGCCTGCTCAATTGTCCTCTGGCTGCCATCACGAACGGGTCGCTTTCCCCCCAACTCTGAGTGGTGTCGAGAAATGTGGTTTCGCAGATTGGTTGTATTTCCGAAGTATTTAATTTGACTTCTACACAGCTTACAACAGTGTAGGTGTTGTCCATCTTCCCGTCGACCTCATAGAACCCAAAATGCTGCCATATCGCAGCTTTTAAAGAAGCTTGTGCAGGCCGTATAGGTTTGTCGCTCGCAGCCATTTAGTCGCCACTAAACTTTGGATGTAAACAACTCGCACATGTGTCATGTGTTTGGTGCGCATGCGTGTTGGCAGAGAACCGGCAGGCAGAAAGGAGAGTTTTCTATAGCGTTCTGCAGCACGCAAACTAATTATAACTAATTTTTTTAATTCCAATTATTAACTTATCTGCATCGAGACGGAATCGTTCTAGAGAGACTCGCGATGCATCGAAGAATCGATTATTTTTCCCCTAATATGTTACACAGTGGACTTTTAAAAGTTAAGATTGAAACAGTCTTGCCACAAGATCCACTTATATAGTAGTAAATTATTAAGATATTTTCACAGTAGACAGTCTAGCTGTTTCCCATTTCTTCCAGTCTTTATGTTATGCTAAGCTGAGCTAACCACCTGCTAGCCCTAGCTCTGCTTATCCTACAGACATGAGAGTGGGATCGATCTTCTAATTTTTCTAAGCTTTTGGAAAGAAAGGGCGTAAGTATATTTCTCAAAGGATTAGAAATTTCAGATTAGGTTTTAAGATATTTGAATTGTTTGAAAACCTTCTGCTCCAATTTGTGTCACTGTGTGTCTTCAGTCTGTTCTGTCCAAATAAAAACTTTTTATTTTACATATTATTACTGTATTAACAACAGGATCTGTGGCACTTTACTGCATTTTATCTTTCATTTGATTACTGCTGGTGTCAACAGGCCAGGAAGCACAGGCATCTTCTGGCTGGTAATACATTTTATTTCATTGCGGTTTTGGCTACTATCGGGTGTTTTGAAGAGTTTCTTCTTTTCAGAGAATTCGACCGGGGCATCTGTTAATCTTAAAATCTCCACCCTGGCTGTTTCTCGCTCTGGGTCTATTATCTTTCTCTGTCTCTCTCTCTTATCTTTTATTTCACTTTTTTTTTTTTGGTTTCTCACACTCACTCGAACACACCCACATAGTATAGAAGAATTAGTGAATTAGTTAACCCCTTAACCATGTCCTCATTAGGGCACAGTCACACACATACACACACATACACAAACTCATGCAACCATAACTTCCTCCATGTCTTGGAACATGAAGTTTCTGTTGTGTGTGATGTGGTTTGACGAAGTTAGAGACGCTGCCATTGCCTTTATGTCTCTGCCTTTCTGATCTCCTCTCCTTCTGTGTGTGTGCGTGTGTGTGTGCGTGTGTGTGTGCGTGTGCGTGTGCTGTGTGTGTGTGTGTGTGTGTGTGTGTGTGTGTGTGTGTGTTTGCGTGAGGGAACACAGTGACAGGTTTCCCCTTTGTTAAGGTTTCATTGCTGTCTTCTGAAGTTCAGACCGGTTTGTTAAAGTGCCACTCAAGGGGCTCTGTGGCTGTCAGAAGAGTAGAGTGGGTGTGAGGCACCAGCCGCCTCTGCAGCTACACAAGACATGCCGCTTTAGCTCAGATAGACAGACTACAGACCAAAAGCACCTGTGGAAAAGGGGGAATACCTTAAACCATGGCAGGGAGAGAGAGTCAGACAATCCCTCCTGCTCCTCAGTGGTCTGACTGCAGAATGAAGTCTAACAGGTGCTTCTTGCTCGCTGTGTGGCTTGATTTCCATAAAATACTGTCCATGTACCTTGGTGTTATCCTCGAGTGAGATGATATTTTTGGGGTTCAGGATACCATCCATTTTGAGTCAAATGTAAGAATCAGTGCAGTCACAAAACAAGTGTTAAGGGTCCAAATTAATATATATATATATATATATATATAGCTTGATATTTTAGCCTCTCGCCAGCCTTAACTTTTATCTTCATGTTCATGTTGTCTTTTGGGTGGCTTAACACAATAAATATTTCGCCACATCTCTAATAACATGTAACACAGAAAATTCTTAATAGAGCTGCACAATTAATGCACTATTATTGACGTTGCAATATGGCAAAGTGCAGTATCCAAATTGGTAAAAAGGTAAAATGTGTGATAAACAGCATTATAATCAAGTACTGTAGTTCTGCAGAGATACTCCAGACTACGAATCTTGTTCTCGAGACGTTGTTTGGTACAGGCCGCAGCAAATGTTTTGTTTTGTTTTTGGGTTGTTTTTTTTTTCAGTGAAAATTTAAATATATATATAAAAAAAAAGATAATTCCCAATAATTGTGAATCATATCGTAGCAAATTCGTGTCCAAATAATCAGATAATCTGTGAAACAATCAGGTTCCTCTGGCTCCTCCTAGTGCTCTTAATGGTATTTGCAAGAATCCACCGGACCTGGATGAAAACAACCAATCAGAGCTGATAACTTCATCACATGTAATGACTACTCATCATGCCCATTTAGGAACAGTTACATATTTTCCCGAGGTGTACACAATTTTTTGGTTAGAGAATGAATGTTTTATTTCTGTTTTCGTGACAGCTGTACACTTAAAAAAGGAAATGCTGCAGTTTTTCTGGTTTAGCTTTATTTCCTGGAGGGTCTATCACTGCATGCTCTTGTGTCTTTAACACCAAACTGTAGCCAAGGCACCCGGTTCCCACTGGACTGTGTTGTTTTCCATATTAGTAGGGATGACGATATGGATTTTTTTTCAGCTGCTACGATAACTGATAATGATCACATTTATTGTATTTTAAAAAGAAGTTCATAACCTATAGGTGTTTTTTTTAGTTGGGATTGTATTGCCCTTAAATGATAATGACAGCTGAAGAGTGACAGGAAAGGGGGGCAGAGAGAGGGGATGACATCCAGCAAAGGGCCACAAATGGCTGCCGCAGCAAGGACTCCGTACATGTACAGTACATGCATAACCTTCAGTTTTTATACACCTGATGGTAAGAAAGGTTGAGATGTAGAGAGCAAAGATGGATGATTTAATATTGTTAACGCAACAAAAACAAACAGTTCTTTTTTCTAGTTTGTTAAAACACTTCACAAACATACTTTAGCTTTCATACAACAAGCATATCAATTATTTTGCATAGGTATTCAAAATAAATTATTATTATTATTATTATTATGGACTACTAATTTATCAGCTATAATTTAATGATCCCAATAATTCATAATAAAATAAATTATCGGCCAAATATTTGCAATAATTTGCCCAGATAATTATTGTGCATCCCGAATATAAAATCTGATCCAGGCCTCACTCTGACTCTGCATTTGTATGTGTCCACAGGCCTTGTTGCAAGCCCACGACGTGGTGGCCCACGAGGTTTACAGTGACGAGGCTCTGAGGGTGACCCCCCCGCCCACCTCGCCTTACCTGAACGGAGACTCCCCAGAGAGCACCAACGGAGACATGGACCTGGAGAACGTCACCAGAGTCCGCCTGGTCCAGTTCCAGAAGAACACGGACGAACCAATGGTACACAGCTGAACACATCTCCTATATACTTACTCACACATTCTGACAGAAATGACACCAGAGCTTAGTGCTAAGACTTTATGCATTGCATCATACACACAGATCATACTGCATGTGTTTGTGTGTTAACTCATGCAGGGTATCACGCTGAAGATGAATGACTCAAACCACTGCATCGTTGCAAGGATAATGCACGGGGGAATGATCCACAGACAAGGTACGCTTCCTCCTTCTCACAACTGACATTTATACCTACACCTTTATAAATTGCTTGCTATAGGCTGTATGACTCACTATTTACTCATCACCCAACTGAACACCTTGTAAAATGAGTAAAATAGTCTAATTTGTCTCCACAGAAGAAAAGCAGTTATTATATCTTATGAATGGTATTTACTATAAGCACAGCTTTATCTTTTATGACTAGTGTTACTCAAAAAAAGTACACATTCCTCATTACTTAAAAAAATAACTTAATTATTCCTCATAGAATATACTGTGTTACACTACTTTTCTTCTACATTTCTTCTGCCTGAAGGCCATTGCACACTAGGTTCACAATTTTTGTCTGAAACTGTTGCACGTTTAGAAGATCACCCAGGCTAAACAGCCTCTCCACGGATGTACTAGAGTGTGCTGAATTTCATGGATCTTGTAGAGAAACAGTTCAGGATCTCCATCTCTGACCCCGACTTTGGTTTTGGAAGCTGTAAAGAAGTCACTCATGTGTTAGGAACAGTAATGTGTTACTTTTTAATGCGTTACACGACTGGTTCTTAAACTATGGTACATGTACCACTGGTGGTAAGTTCTATTTTAAGTAAGTAATAAAACATATAACACTATTAAAATACTACAAAATGTCGAATGAGGTAAACTATGAGGTCACTGAAATGTAATTTAAATTAAGTTTTGCATTTCCTGTAATATTTTGTTTGAATATGCACATATCTGTGATTAGTTACAAGTTAAACTGTGATGGTAAGATAGTGAGCGTAGCTCCAAACCAGGGGTGTTTCCAGTCTTTTACTTAATTTTTCAGTTTCAGCAACTTATACAATCATATACATGCACATTCACATTTAGTCTGCTGTATTCCATTTATAATCTGCTTAATACAGCATAAGAGTATATTTTTCAGGTTAAACTATGTGCAAGTTACATAGTTTAAAAAGAGTAACACACAAACATAATAAGTAATTAAAGCTGCAAGCAGCGTTGGGCGGGACCTCGCACTCCACACAACTCGGGGCGTGGTTCAGCCGCGTCACGTGCCGTCGTAACGTGTGGACTGCAACATGAAATTTTCACATCACCCCACAAGCCCTCATCGCCTGAAGCTGAGGGAGAGCACTCTACGTTGCCACACGATTCAGACAGTGCAAAAGGCTTTCATAGGCTTTTCATAGGCTTTCATAGGCTTTCATAGAGACACTCTTCACTGCCAAAAGTGGAAATTCAGTGCCATGGACACAGTTTGAAGCACAGAAAATATTTGATTAACTTATGATCACCAATGTGTCTAGATTACAGTGATCAAATTTGAAGTCAATCCGATAAAATCTGTATGCGTTAGTTAAAATAGAAGCCCTGAAATGCCGGAAATGGCATCACAGTGGCCGACTTTGACGGCAAGCCACGGACACGCCGTTCAACGTACAGTCACAAAAAGCATGGCTTTCAGTCAGCAACATTTTTTGACTGTACTGACCAAATTTGAAGTTGAGCCAATAAAACCTGTAGGAGGAGTTAATTAAAATAGAACCCTGAAAAGCCAGAAATGGCATCACAGTTTGACATTCGATTCAAAACGGCAAACTTTGAAAGCACGCCACGGACACGCCCTTCAACGTACAGTTGCAAATAGCATTCATTCAGCATGTTCATTCAGCAACATTTTTTGACTGTACTGACCAATTTTGAAGCAGATCCGAGAAATTCCCTAGGAGGAGTTTGTTCAAATACAAGGCGAAAATTCATCAAAAATGACCACTTAAGTCAAAATGGCCAACTTTGACGGGACGCCACAGACATGCCCTTCAACTTACATGCACAAATAGCACAACTTTTAATCAGCACCACTTTTTGACCTTACTGACAAATTTTGAAGCAGATGCGATAAATTCCCTAGGAGGAGTTTGTTCAAATACAACGCGAAAAGTTCGCCAAAAATCAAAATCAAAATGGCCGACTTCCTGTGGGGTTTCGGGTATGGGTCCAAGAGGCTTTTTTGTACGTCCCGGCATGTTACACGTGCCTACCGAGTTTCGTACATATCGGTGAAACGTGGTGCCGGGCTGCTTTTTTTTAATCCTGTAGGGGGCGTTACAAACACGACAAACACGATTTTTGGTATGTGAGCTTCAGGCACCACTCTACACGTGCCCTGTGAATTTCATATTCATAACTATTACGGTCTCCGCACAGTGATTTATCATGCTAAAAGAGCACCACCTAGTGGCGTATTTTTTTGTCCTTTTTAAGTGAGCCTCAGGGAGCCATGGGGAAGCATCGTACCAAGTTTCATTTTAATCACACGTGCCTTTGCAGAGATATAAACTTATATATATAAACTTTTTGGACATTTTGCGCTCTAGAGAAAAAAAAGATTCTTGGCGGAAGTGGGTGGGGCTAACATGGGGAGATTCAGCTCTATTCACTGAACGCGTGGATATAAGGTTTTTGAATGTGCTACAAACTATGCAGAAGTTATTAGCCTAAACGCATTTTTTATGATAGTAGTGCCACCTAGTGGCCAACCTGAAAGTGACGCATAGAATATCCCCATTTTCACCAGGCCTGACAACTTTGCCAAATAAAATTGACTTTTCGTATATGTTCAGGGGGGCAAAAATGCAGTCAAAGGGGGCTAAAAATAATAGGTAAGAAGAAAAAATCAAGCAAAAACAATAGGGACCTCCAGCGGTCGCTGGCTCGGTCCCTAATTAACTAATAAGCCGCAATGATGAATGAATTAAAATGAAATAAAATGAAAAAATAACATGACTTTTACTGCATTAGTATAGTCATAGCAGGTCCCCATCTGTTAGCAAATATATCTTTTTGAAGCCTCAAGGCATAAGTTATTTGTTCCATATGGTAGATTTCCCAGACCTTCTTGATCCACCTATTGTATGTTGGAGAATCGGGTTTTAACCATTTAACTATAATACATTTAAGAGCTGCAATCAGTAATATTTGTAAAAGGTATTTTTTCCGTCATCCAATTATGTAATTTGGTATTAGTCCTAGCATTACCATCTTGGGATCTTTTATAAAAATGTTCTGAAATACTTAACCAAGTGCCTCAAAAACATCATCCCAAATTTTTTTCAGTTTAGGGCATGTCCAAAGTCTATGGGTATGGTTACCAATTTGTGTCCCACAACTATTTATTAGCATTTATCTGAATACATGGGCCCCATTTTGGATGTGGTCGCTGGTGTTCTAAAGAATCTTATTATTACCTTCCATCTGAATTCCCGCCATGTAGAGTTAGTTACTTGACTGTACGTATTTTCTCCCACTTGTCTTGCTGTATGACTGTGCTCATTTCATTTTACCATTTTTCTTTAATCTGAAGAGTTTCATTAGGATTCATATCTAAAAATATTTTGTAAAAATGGCCGATAATTTCTTTATTTCCGCAACCAATTTGTAATTTTATCAGGAATTCTTCAATCAGGGTGGGCTCTAGCATTTTAATCCACTCTCTACCCAAGCGTAAGTATCTAAGAAAGGCAGAGTCTGTATGTGCTTTTCTCAATGTCTAGCCACCTTGTACCTGTGGAGTCTTGCAGCCATACTGTTAGGGGTCTCAACTGTGCAGCCCAGAAATACAACCTGAAGTTTGGGAGTTTGAGGCCTCCACGTGATTTAGATAGCTGGAGTATTTTTAGTCTGACCCTAGGACGCCTTGATTACCTCATCTTGGCTAGTTTATCAAATGTATATTTAGGAATATCTACAGGCAGCATCTGAAATAGATAGTTATTTAGGTAGGACATTCATTTGTATGCTCTCGATGCGGCCTGCCATAGAGGAAGCGTTGATCATCTGTCCAACTCCTTACTAATATTTTGTATCATGGTTCTGTAATATTTTCCAGACTGTTCTGACTGGGGGGCACAAGTAGGGCTCTGACTTATGTAGGGTGGCATAAAGTATGTGTCTCAGCTTTCCAATCATTCCCAAATTATAAAATTCCTACACTGTTTATGGACCCCAGTCTGCAGAAATATTCAAATACACTTTTTTTTTTCACACTTGAAAGCCTGGAAACACTAATAGGAATAATCAATTTCTAAACAGTTGACTATTTTGTGTATACTGATTCACCTCTTATATCAAGCGGTAGCTGTCTGGTTGTGCCAATAATTCTTAAATTTAATTTAAGAAAAATAGGATTGCTGTAGATCGCATGAAATGTGTCCTAATTAGTGAAAATCTGTAGGAACAGGAACCTTCCAGATATTTTTCTGCTAGTCTTCTAAAGACTAAATGGACAGGTCAGAATTTAAAAAAATGAAACTCCTCCATCAGTTTCACTTTAAAAGCAGACCAAAACAAACAGCGTGATAAGTGTTGGTGCTTGCATCCATTTTACCAGACCTTTCAACAGCTGCTCTTCTAGTTGAAGGCAACACTCAGTCAGCTGTTTTATTGTCACTGTAGCATACCTCTAATTAATCCCCAGTTGATTTATCATGTGTTAATTGGAAAGCCACCTCGATTACAAAGCATGCTTCTCTCTACTATTGTTGTGATGGGAAAAAGAGCAGCGGGGGCTAATGGAATATAGTGTGTCTGTGTAATGAGGACAGAGGTTTGATTGCATGTTTGTCTTTTTTTATCTTTTCTGTCTCTCTCTCTCAGGAACGTTGCATGTAGGAGATGAGATCAGAGAGATCAACAGCATCAGTGTGGCCAACCAGACTGTGGAGCAGCTGCAGAAGATGCTGGTGAGTGTGTGTGTGTGTGTGTGTGTGTGTGTGTGTATAACATGCCTACATTACTGTTAATGAGCAAAAGATCACATGCACCTGAAGATAATATCAAACTCACAATATCTCTTTGTGTGTGTGTGTGTGTGTGTGTGTGTGTGTGTGTGTGTGTGTGTGTGTGGGTGCGTGCGTGCGTGTCTGTGTCTGTGTCTGCAGAGGGAGATGCGAGGCAGCATCACATTCAAAATAGTGCCAAGCTACAGGACACAGGGCTCTTCGTGTGAGGTAACACCTCCTCCCCCTCCTCCTCTTCCTCCCCTCCTTACTGCTGATCTGATTACTAACTGCTCGCCTGGTTACTGAGCGTGTGTGTGCCTGTAACTCAAGTATGCTGTGTGTACGGGGCGTGCTGTGTGTGTATGTTCTGCGTGTGTGTTTTGCTGGGGCTGGGTCAGATATTCAGCACACCAATTTCACAACCAAGATACCGGAACCCCCCCCTTCCTTCTCTCTCCCCCTCTGGTCCAGGAATGAGGCACACCTCTCTGTGTGATCCACAGACCACCACAACTGTATACACACTACAGGGGTGGACAGAATAACAGAAACACCTTACATTTCATATCTAGACAGTCAATGCAAGCCCACTAAAGCTCATAATGTGTGACTGGTGCATTAATCTCAGACTGCACTGTCTGAGATTTTAGGTTTATTTAATGTAGCAAAATATATTCTCAGAAATCCTGAGAGCATATGCATTATGAAAGCCTCAACAACCATCAAGTTAAAGCTGCACTAATCAACCCATAATATATATATAACATATATATGTTATATATGTGTTTCACAAAACTTTTTTCCGGGGACCTACTTTTTAAAACAAAGCATGGCAACCCAGTTGAGAGCAGATTTGTGCGTAATTGAATATTCTGGACTATTTTTACTGCTGTTTCTGCATCACCTCATGTTTTCTTGAAAAGGTAAAGCAGCCATTTTGAAAAGATATATACGTTTGATAAATCATAAATGTGTTATGTGAATGTGTTATTGAAAACACACTTTTCAATACTTTAGTTACTGTAACAGGTCGACATTTTATTTTCTCTCATCAGTAAAAAAGATACCCATTTTAAATACTTTATATATGAAACAAAATAAAGGTATTAAGGTTAACAGGTTCTTGTTTTTTTCTCTCAGTAAAACAAACAGAATGTTTTCTCTCACTTTATGAGACAGAAAATGTGCAATTAGGAAAAGTTAAGGCTCTCCTTTTTACCTCATCAGTATTACAATGTACATATTTTAAATACTTACTATAAATAAGACCAAATAAGTGCATTTAGCAGGAGGAGGAAATGCAAATGTATATGTGACCCAAATAAAATCTGCTGCGACCCACATTTGGGTCACAACCCAGTCTCTTGGAACAATCTATGGACTTTTCAAGTGAAGAGCAGAGTATAAGTACTACATAAAACTAATTTAGACACAATACCAATACCCGCATACCAAAACTAAATTGAAGTTCTAAAGCTGAGGCTCCAGTGAATCAGAAACTTTGTGGAGCTAAAAGGGCTAAACCAGTCAATCCAAGAGGCCTTTTGGGACCGAAGGTAATTCACTAATGTAATCTGGCATCTGGCCATGTAAAAGCTTGTGTGTAATTAACTACAGCAGGTTGTTTTAAAACTGATTGAAAAAGACACTGAAAACCAGTGCCAAAGATTCTAAACTTAAAATGACATGGTTGCTGTGTTTTGTCTTTATTTAGGCTGAAACTGAGTGACAGCTCACAATGCCGCTGCCACACAGCAGAGCTTTTATTTTAAAAAGACACACAGACAAAACCACAGCCCTGCTGTTGAAATTTTAGGCTGAAGACAGAGAAACATATCAGGGTTCCCACACATCCTGGAAATTTAGAGACTAGTTTTCCAGTAATGGAAACACCTGGAAATGTAGGAGCTAAACTACGTAAACCTGTTTGGGTTTGTTTGAAACTCAACTGTTGGTAGCAGCGCCATATGACACGGAGTGGAACAGACTTGCAGTGATTTTTCTGGCGTCGCAATGAACCTGATACACTTCATTATTAAAAAAGGAGGACTAAAACTGGAGTTAAAGGGCAATGCTAGGCCAACCGGTACATTATACATTGACTGAATTGTGAAGAAAAACTCCTGTCCTGGAAAGGTCCTGGAAAATGTTTTCATAGAAAGAGTGGGAACCCTAAATATAATTCCATAAATTACAAAGTTCAATTTTTCATCATCAAAAGAATGTTGAATTATCAGTTTATGCACCAAGGTGATTTCTAATTTCACTTTTTAATGATTAATTTTCTTTACTCATTTTAGTAAACTCATGATTTAGGTTGTAGAGTACATTGTTACATTTCTGCAGAAACGTCTGAATTTTCAGTTGATTTTAACAGTTAAAACTAAACCATTACAGTCATTATATATGAAATGATCTCAAAACTCATTCTATGATCATTGATTTAATAGTAATTTCAACACACACTGGCTGCTCTGTGAGCACAGAGACAAATATTTGGCTTTGGAGCTGTGACAGTCTGTGTTAGGGATGACCTCATGGTCTCGGCTGCTCAGATCTGATGTTAGTCTACTGCCGCCCTGTGGTGATGTAAGGACGTACAGGCTAGAGGGCTGCTGATGATGTTGTTGTCTCCCTTGTCTTGTTGACGCATTTCATTACGTCAACACTGTGGTGGCTCACTGTTGTGTTCTCCATCGCCTACAGTCGCTGCCCAGAAATGCGTGAGTGTGTGTGTCATTCATGAATGTTTGTGTGTGCCTGTGTGTATGTGTGCGTGCCTGTGTGTATGTGTGCGTGTGTGTGTGTGTGTGTGTGTGTGTGGCTGTGTATATGTGTGCCTGCCTGTGTGTATGTGTGTGTGCCTGTGTGTATGTGTGCGTGCCTGTGTGTATGTTTGCGTGTGTGTGTGTGTGTGTGTGTGTGTGTGTGTGTGTGTGTGTGTGTGTGTGTGTGTGTGTGTGTGTGTGTGTGTGTGTGTGTGTGTGTGTGTGTGGTGGCTGTGCGCTGCTGACCTGTGTGTCTTATTTCAGAAAGAGTCCCCCACCACCTCCAGGCAGTCCCCTGCCAATGGCCACTCCAGCATTAACAGTTCTATCTTGGTAAGGACCCCTCCCCCAGAAAAACCCCCACAGACCATTCCTTTCTCCTTTCCCCCTCCGGTGCGTCTCATTTGTTGATGTGTCACGGTATTTTTACATGTCCGTGTTGATCCGTTTGTCCGTGTAGTTGTCCACTTATCATGGCTTGTGTTATTTCTGTTTACTGTGATTGTTCCAGTAGTAGTAGAAGTAGAATTAGCAGTAGGCGGACCGCACTGTAGACCTCCCGAGCCGATCCTGTGTCATTTTCCCCGTTCCATCTGTTTGAACCGAAGACCCCCGTGTCCGATATCTCAGTTAACAAATTGGTGTGCCTCATAAAGCCTGCTGCGTGCTGTGCTTCATCGCTGACACAACACACTAGGCCTCCCGTGGTCACAGTTATACAGGGGACACACTCCAGGCTCCTGCCGTGCATTACACTAAACCCTAATCAGGTTCTGCAGTCCCTTTTGTTTCTCCTCCAAGGCTTCCAGACAGACACTGTGGTCGTGCTGTTGCTGCAGTTGCTTTGCTTGCTCTGTGCTTGCTTGTTTGCTCCACAGAAAAATCAGCTTTAACAGATGAGAATTACTCTGTTCCCTTTTCCACTTTCCTCACAAGTTAGATTGCAGATGAATGTGCATGCACGGTTTCTCAAAATAATATCATTTTATTATTATTATATACACTTTAGTATTTGTATCTTGCTTAACTGTGTCTTTCTGTCATCAACGGTTTACCCTCCACAGGACCTGCCATCCACCATTCAGCCCAAGGGTCGACAGGTGAATAACAGTCACTCACTCACTCACCTGTACTCACTAGCTCCTTATACAACGCTTGCATCCCTCCCCTTTTATACAGAAGTGTCTCTATTTCTCCCTGGTTTTCTTTTCTGCTTCACAAAACCCAAGTATAATTTGGATTGATTAAACGAGAGTTGTTTGTTTAGTCTGGCCTCTGACTGATCCGCAGGCTATCCAGACTGTCACTCACGATGAGAGTGGCTGAGGTGTGACCTCTTTATAAACTTTTTTGAACTACTAAAGGAGGAATATTGGGTTTTGGGCCGTCTACTCAATCATTTTTGCAGCTCTTCAGCTTTATGAGAGTGAAGAGAGGAGCAGACAGAATGCATCTGGATTTAAATTAAGCTTTGTTTTGGGGGTGTTTTAGGAAATAAGATTTTATTGATTTAGAGAACACAATGCTTCTCTTCAAGTCCAGGAGGGACACAGAATGGATGGAGAATATTAATGCACATGCATCAGTCTGTCTTTGTATATCTAGTTGGTAAAAGAAGCCAGAGATCCAGACCAGTTATATCACCCACAACACACACATCTTTGTGATCCTTCTCTCCTCATCTGTGCTCTTTAACAACCACACCTCCCCTCCACAGACAAACACATCAACAAATCACACTGCAGTGGTCATTTCGTGTTCTACTAAGTAGTAGAAATTGCAGGGCACAATCTAAAACAGACCCATGAATAACCTTCCAGATCTCCATGTGCATACCAGTAGGGGAGAGTGGGGTAAGATGAGCCATTTTTCATATTTAGGATCACTACATCAAGGTAATCATAGTTTTGTCGCTAACTAATATATCTGCATATATTTCAGGATGTTGTGCATCCCTTCAAACAAACAGAATGAGTGTAAAGTTAACTGTTTCAATAATATAGTATGTCCAAAAAAAGTGGTCTCGTGGCTCAATGTACCCCGTTTATGGGGTAAGTTGAGCATAGGAGCGGGGTAAATTGAGCCGTATCCCTACTCCCCCCCACCCTCCTCCCCACCCCTCCCTCACCTTCTCCCTCCCTAAATAACACTCACTTCTTCACATTCATGTGTATTTTATTTATTTGTAACAGGTACAATAGCTGTTTTTATTATTATTGCATATTACTGCTAAACAGCTGTTTTGTGAAAAAACATTTTAACATGAGAATGCCTTAAAGTGCGCTTAGGAAGAGAACATTAACAGCTGTGTTTTTGGAATATACACAGAATATGTTTTTGGATACACTTATTAAGTGTATTTTGGCTGTAGCCACCGGCTCAACTTACCCCTGGCCAAATGGCTCAACTTACCCCAGAGCTACCATTTTGACTTTATTAGTCCCCACAGCTAAAATGGTGCACTTTTATGCTAGGTTTATGAGCCTCGTGTTGTATCTCATAGATACCACAATTGATGTATAAAACAAATGTGAAATTATCTATTTTGGTCTAAACACAATTCTCATGAAACTTATGATAGACTAAATTCACTTTCAAGAGTGAAAAATGATTTTTTGGAACTAAATATCTAACCACTTTACCCATGTGGTTCTTACATTCACAGACTTCATGAAATGATGCCTTCCTCCTAAATATTTGGTCACATGATCAATGTTTTTTACCATTTCCTAGCAACAAGGGGTGGCTCAACTTACCCTTTGGCTCAACTTACCCCACTCTCCCCTATATACATTTTCGTATCCAGAAGGGACCCAAGCACAGTCAGAACCAGTCTGAAATAGACTGGTGTCTGACTCATAACCAGACCTGATTCAACATGTGGCCAACTCAGATAGACCCGAACAGTGAGAGCACACCAACATATGTCAGCAGTATGATGCTCCACCAACTAAGAATCCTTTCTCACACTCCATCTCGCCTCAAAAAACACTTCCTGCTGCAATAACAGTAACCTACCATGTGATCAGATAGAGATCCTCTTGGTTTGACTCAAGTAGGACTGCAACTAGGTATTATTTTGGCAACAAAATGCTGCAGGGATTTTTGTTTTCCAACCCACAAGTTATAATATAAACCTGGTTCCTTTCTACAAAAGCCAATGGGATTGTTCCATTGGGTTTTGGATTGTTGCAGAAAATAAGCTCTGTGGTGAACAAAGGTTAATGATGACTTTTTGTTCAGCAAGATAATCTACACACATTTATGTTTGTTTGTATATTAAATTTATATCAGTTTAGGATCTTTGAAACTTAAATGTAATCACCAAAAGTAAATAACTAATGTTAGGCTATAAACAACGTACACGCTAATAAAATCTTGGAATTAAAATCTGGAAGTTGTACAGTTTGAGATAGAATACTTTGCAAGGGCGCGAGTATAAACACAATGAGGCTGTAAAGGTGGACTAGTGAGAAGACCGTCTCTGTGTTTTAATGTCACTGACAACCTCTGTAGTCTCTTTTAGCCACTTGTTAGCAACCGCCTTTTTAAGACACGTAGAACTTCAGAATTCACAGGTGGGGTATTTACTGATGTATTTTATAACGTTGAACAAAACATAAGAAACTGTTAAGCTAAAACCCATTCATAGCAAGATGAGGGACCTGGAAGTGATAAAATTGTAGCTCTTCTCCAGGTTTCAGGACTTATTCCTTTAGCGCTTTTGGTTAATTGAAATTGTTTGGTCTATAAAATATCAGAAAATAGTGAATAGAAATATGTTGTTGTTGTTTTGTCTGGCCAACACTCCAAAACCCAGCATACTTAAAAGCAGAAAATACTCACATTTTGAGAAGCTTGTTGGAATTCTTGCTTTATAAATGACTGAAACAATTCTTTGATTATCAAAATAGTTGGCGATTTATTGTCACTGGACTAATCGTTTTAGTCCTGTTTTTAGGTATTACATATACTGACACACCTGCCCAATAGAGCGGGACCCAATATGACTGAATACGATTTGGAACCAGCCAGACTGAACCCGAGTAAGGTCTCGATTTCCAGGAACTAAGAGAGTACCTGAAGATCTCCTGGGTTTTCTTACATTGATGTTAGTGAATCAATACAAGTGGCCACTGCTGTGTCATCAACCTGACAGTGTAGCCCTTCACTACTTTCACTTAAACTTTATGAATGGTAATAATGGCACAGGCATTGTTGAACCCTGCACAGCCTAGAGATCACACCTAACCACTGATCCCCAGTCAGATATACCCATTGCAGTAAAATTTGGTTTATGGACTGCTATGAGAACAGGTGTTATGGCAAACCATTACTTCAAGCCAACTAAATTTGTCAGCATAACAATCTTCCATAACTATCATCTCATCCCATCAGTGTCTTTATGTGTATGCATCGTCCTGACACATACATCACCAGTTTCCCCTGAGATAATCCAACGTTACTCACCCGAATCATACTCTCTCACTCACAACAGAGTGGCATCAAAGGATCTTGTGATTGTACTAACAGCAGATCCTTCCAGTAGAGGGCAGTCCACACAGACCAATACCACAAGCTTGACAGCCTCAGAGCTGCAGAGCCTGAGCTCAGTCCTATTTAATTTGTCTCATACTTTACTACATGCTGACAGGAAGTAGATATTTTAAAAGTGTTACGAGGTTAAGAATACCTTTGTATACAAAAGTTATGAAAGATAACTAATAATTTGGTGATTTTTTTTTTTTTAAGTTCAAAAGTAGTAAACATAGCCTCTCTAAGAAAGTGGCTCCAAACCTTTTTCCTTCTTCCTTTTATATTATATTCAGCGCATTAACAGTAGAGGACAACTGATAAAATGTACAATGAACCCAAACAGTGAACACAATAACTGCAGGAAGTTTGTCTATGACCAGATATTTGGATGAATTCTGGGCAGATCATTTCCTGTGAATATTGTAACAGAGGTGAGTTTTCCTGATATTTGTAGGAACTCTGTATATTCTCTGTCTGTAATATGTATTTGTTCCTTTCCCTGAAGCTTGGCCATTGTTCTGTTAGTTCTTTGGTTGTTATAAGTGCGTACTTTTCTAGTGCAGGAAAATATGGAGCCACAATGGTGACTTTAAATTTTGGCATCCAAAAAAAAAGATTGGCATTGAAAATAAAACCAGTACTGAAAAAGGAAACATTGGCATTGAAACATTTGTATTGAAAACAGTTGTATTAGCATTGAAACAAGTATTGGCTCTGAAAAAAGAAACTAATTAAAATAATTAAAATCTTAAAATCTTATTATTTTATTTTATTGGGATTTTTTTGTATTTTTCAATGACAATCTTCCAATTTTTTCTTCATGTCAGTTTTTTTTCAGTGTCACTGATTTTCAGTTTCAACTTTCTGTCACTGTTTTGGCGTCGAGAGGGAGGGATCTGAGGGGAGGGGCAAGTACAAGTATCGGCATACTCAGTGGCGGACTGGCCATTGGGAGCACCGGGACATTTCCCAGTGGCCTGGACGCCGAACTGGCCCGCTCAGCGATTGCCGATGGTCGGGCCAAAGACTCGGTTCGGGTCGCGCAGTGCCAATACTCGTTTCAATGCCAATACAACTGTTTTCAATACAAATGTTTCAGTGCCAATGTTTCCTTTTTCAGTACTGGTTATATTTTCAATGCCAATTTTTTTTTTGGATGCCAAATTTTAAAATCACTGTTCTGGCTCCATATGACAAGGCTGTTTATCAGAGAGTTAAGGCTCTCTGAATATAGCTTGTGTTCAGGTCTTGTAAATTTAGATCTTTAAGAATAACAATTTCATTTAGTTTTCTTCAAAGAAATAGAGAAAATACTGAGATGTAGGCCTACTTTATAATTTTGTTTTTTTTCTTACACTCCTAAAAATTAAGAAGGTCTCGAACCCCCGTTTGGGAAGCATTGCTCTAGAATATGGAACAAAAAACACACATTTTTAAGCAAACATTAATGTATACTTACGCTTTATATCATAAATTGAACAGTGGCACAGGAAACATTGCAACAGTGCAGGGATGAATGGAAGAAGAATTTAGTGGAAATAAATAACCAGCAAATTCTGGAATCAAACATTATTTGTATACTTTTTCAGGGATGACGCAGAATTAGAAGTAATTGTAGAGTTAACAAGTTAACAGCTGATTTGCCTCTGTTGTCCTGGGCAGGTAAAAAAAAAAATACCACAGAACAGAAAATACGTAAAACAGGACAATACATAACAGTCCATCAGTGTGAGGTCATAAATAGAATCAATATGATTATAAAGACAATGCAATTATAGGTGGTGACATTTTTGTGCTGATTTACGCCAGAGCTTGAGGCCGGTTTTAAACACAGCAAAGCTTCCTGAGTGTCTAATGTTTGTGGGTATGGAATTCCACTTCCTCACTTGCTGGGTTCTACAACAGGATAATGATCTTAAACGCACCTCCAAATCCACCATGGACTACCTCAAGAGCTGAAGGTTTTGGAATGGCCCTCCCAGCCCCCTGACTTAAATATCATTGAAAAGATGACCTTAAAAGAGCTGTTCATGCAAGATGGCCCAAGAATATTGCAGAACTAGAAGCCTTTTGCAAGTCCCAATGCAAAAATCCCAATTACAAGAACTGATCGACTGATAAAGTGTTTTCAAGCTGTAATATCTGCTGGGGGGAGGGGGGTGTTACTAAATTCTGAGTGTAGATTACCCAAACCTTTGTACATGCCACAATGGGTTTTTTTTGTTCAGTTTATGATGTAAAACATAACTATGTGTGGCTGTTTGCTGAATATATTATATTTTATGTGTCTGTGTTTACATCTTTTCAATTTAAAAAAATCACCAAACCTTGGTATTTGTCAAGGGTTGCCCCAACCTTTGCACCCAACTGTACCTTCTGTCACTTCCATCAATCCCCCAGCCTATCCCCCCTCCACAAACCTTGGCCACCATACTGCTGTTAAGACTTTGCTTAGCCGTTTTGCTGCATGATGTGTGTGATGCTTTCAAATTCTAGATTGTATCCAGACCTCCAATCAAGGACAAAATGTCTGTTAAGGTAAGAGACAGCCTCTCCCCCCCCAAAAAGACAAAAAACACTGTAAATACTTCTACACCTTGTCCCAAGCACTTGTACCAGCTGACTTCCACACAGAGTGTAGATTGTAAAGCACCAAGCGGCTGTGAGGATGATGACTGCTGTTTTGAACTAATGGACACATAAACAATGCCTGTGCCATAATTACCAGTGTGCTGAGAGGCTCATTAATAGCCCAGCACTGCCTGGGTTTATCTCACTGGAGAAAGCCCTCTCTTGGAAACCACTTTTCAACCTGCCAACCGAAACACCCCCATGCTCTCACCCCTCCTGAGAGTCCACCGCTCATTACTTCAGTCACGATATGCAAAAGAAAACACACCATTCAGCCACTCTTATGTTCCTGTCTGCCTAATTTCTCTCTCTTACACCTTCTCTGCACCCCGCCCAACATTCGCATCACTCACTTCTCAGTTGACACACACACTGCCTATTTTAGAAACACCAACACCACCACCAATTTCCCAGCCGTCCCAGAGTTAGCTCACTCCTCTAACCTCTGTGCTTCTCATGCAGATCTATGTGAGGGCTCAGTTTGAATACGACCCCTCCAAAGATGAACTCATCCCCTGCAAGGAGGCCGGCATCCGCTTCCGGGTGGGTGACATCATCCAGATCATCTCCAAGGATGACCACAACTGGTGGCAGGGCAAGCTGGAGAACACAAAAAATGGCACGGCAGGCCTCATCCCGTCGCCGGAGCTGCAGGAGTGGTGAGAAGGAAAAACACACACAGGCAAACAGAGGCACTGTTCCTCCACATCTGCAGTCCTTCAGTTCAACGGTAAATCTGATGCCGTGTGTGTGTGTGTTTGTGGTAGGCGAGTAGCATGTATAGCCATGGAGAAGACCAAGCAGGAGCAGCAGGCCAGCTGTACCTGGTTTGGCAAGAAGAAGAAGCAGTACAAAGACAAGTATTTGGCAAAGCACAACGCAGGTACATTCATACACACGTTCACAATCTCATGCATGTGCACACTCAACATCACTCCCTACACGCATGCATGCATGCATTTTACATATGTTTACACTTCAAAGAGTGTGTGTGCTTGTGAGCCTGGTGTCTGTCAGTCTGTCTGTTTGTGTAGGTGGAACTTGTATGTAACAGGATCTTGTAGCATTCATCTTCAGTAGCACAGCCACGGCCAGGAATGACCAGAGTGGCAGAAATCTTATATGAGCACAGGGGCGATTCAGGAAAATGTGGGCAGCTCATTGATACGGACACCAGGTCCAAATCTCAAGAGGAGAGGGGAGGAGAAAAAAAGCAGCTCCCAGACTCTGCTCCTGTAGGGGAGTACAGTGTGGGACTGGGGGAAAAAAACAAAAAAAGAAGAGAATTTGATCTTTTTCAACTCAAAAAAAGACAATGTTCCTGAATTATTTCTGTCCATTGAAGGACTGTAGGAGACTCTTTACTCAGCCACTTCCTGGTTATTACTTATACTTTTTTGCTACCCACTAGTAGTTTTTTTCTTATAAATATCTATCCTGCTTTTGCAGCCCTGTTGGCAAGTTTCCCAAATTTTCCTATGATTAATCAGATCTCTGTAACCATATCTACCCAGTAAGGAAGAAATATTAGGACACGCCCAAAAAATATGAAAATGAGCAGCAGACATATGACTACACATTCTCCAACACTGCCCATGTTCAGGTCTGTTGCTTTGTGACCTTTTTATTCTAGGAATTATATTTTAATTTTAATAACTTTAGTTATGTTAGCTTCTTTTTCCCGTTGTGGAACATTGTGGAAAGACCCCTCTCCAGTTGTAAAGATGACTAAAGCCTGGTTTATTCCTAGTTCCTAGTATTACCTGTATATGCCCAATGAATATCTTTATCAGACTCACTCCTTTCTCTCCAGTATTTTTGATATATTTGTCAAAGTTATGTCTCTTCTGAAGATATCTGAAGAAATCATGTTTAGGTTGCTGTTAGATTTGGTGCTGAACAGATTTTGTCAAGGTGCAATAAGTTGTGTCTGTAGAAACATATGTTGTGTTAATGTGTTGAATATTCACAGTTCGTATAATCTGTAAGTGTTTGAAGATCCAGTCATCACTAACGCGTATGTCATGTCGTATGTCAAGAGAGCCGATAAAAAGAAATGTAATGGTCAAAGTTTTCATATTGACATTTAGGGTGTGTTGATTCACAACATCAACTCATGCAGTAACATGCAAGAAAACATTCCGCCTTAAATGGTGCCGGTAGCTGATCAGATTCAGTGATTTTTTTTCTCCGGTCTATAGCTCGCAAATGTTAACTAGTAAAGACGAAAAGGGGGCAAAACATCCTTTTATATGTAATTCACGCTTCTGAAGGGTTCTTTATTTGTGATGTAGAAATAGAGCAGGTCTAGACCGAACTCTTTATAACATTATTTACAGAGACCCAACAGTACCACCATGAGCAAGACCTTGGCGACAAGGGCAAGGAAAAACTGCCTGTTAAAAGGCAGAAACCTAGGACAGATCCTTCGGCTCTAGGTGGGTGGTCGTCTGTCTCGACCAGTTGGGGTTAGAGAGAGAGAGAGAGACAGAGAGAGAGAGAGAACAGAGGTAACGACAGAAGGACGGAGACAGACAAAGGTGCAGCAACAACTACACTAATAGTAATGACTGATGATGATGAACATGAAGAAGATGATGACGATGACGACCAACGATTGGGGACAATGAGCAGTGATTATAGTAATAATAGTAACTGTAGTAATAATATTATTAATAATAATAATAATATTAATAACAATAATATCAGTGATATTAGCAATGGCAATCTAGCAGGACCATGGCAGGAGGCTCCACCAGGATCGATAAGAACCTGCGAGACGAGAAAGCACAAGAACTCCGGGGAAGAAGTGAACTTAGTAACATGCATTAATGGAACATGAATGAGTGCAGAAAGAGAGAGAGAGGAGCTCAGTGCATCATGGGAAATCCCCCAATAGTCCAGGCCTATAGCAGCATAACTAAGGGATGGTTCAGGACTCACCTGATCCAGCCCTAACTATAAGCTTTATCAAAGAGGAATGTCTTAAGCCTACTCTTGAATGTGTTGAGGGTGTCTGCCTCCCGAACCACAACTGGAAGCTGGTTCCACAGGAGAGGAGCTTGGTGACTGAAGGCTCTGGCTCCTGTTCTACTTTTAGAGACTATAGGAACCACAAGTAGCCCAGCATTCAGAGAACGTAGTGTTCTAGAGGGGTAATAGGGTACTATGAGCTCTTTAAGATATGAAGGGGCCTGACCATGAAGATTTTAAATTCTATTCTGAATTCAACAATTTCATAGCATTGGCTCCCACACTGCAAAAAGAGCCATTCTAGAAACAAGCCATATAGTCTTAAATATAATCACATTTTCTTGTACTGAGTAAAACAAAAACAATGTTGCTTAGCTAGAAATACAATGAGGATGAGAATGTAGCCACTGAAAGACTGTAATGGGCCTTAAAGTAGAAAACATACCAAAAATGTAAGCAAGTTGTGCTTATTACAAGCAATGGAAACTCAGTTCTTTAAAATTGTTAAAATAAGTATTTTGGCCACTTTATTGAGCTGAATTTGTACCTTAATTTAAGATGAATAATTAGCAAATATAATCTTACAATAAGACACAATTTCTTCAAACAGCAAAATAAAAATCAGTGACTTTGACACCAAAAATGCTAAAGGCAGAACGAAACACTTCATTTCCAACCACTTTCTCTTGAACTGAGAAGTTGTGCCAGTGGTCTTCCTCTTAAAATAAGTAAAATAATCTTGTTCCTCTGCTGGGATATTACTGGTTACTGCTTCAATGGAGCTCAATATTAGCTGGAATATCTTATTAAGACACAGTTAGATATTAAAACCAGATTACTTTCCTAATGCAAAACATGCTTGATGATATTTATTTTCATGGCAACGTCTTCAAATGCCCAACCAATGTTGTTTTGTCCAACCAACATTCTGGAAACCCCAAATATTCACTTTACTGTCGTAAAAGAAGATCAGAAAATATTTTGCATTTGAGAGGCTGGATCTAATTCATCTTCTTAGAAAAATGTTCACTTTTATATTTAATAAATTATCTATACTTTGTTGATTGACTGACTGATCTGTGAATCAGTTAGTGGTTTCACCTCTAGCCACAGTATCAACAGAAAAAAGAATTAGTGAATAGAAAACAAAGAGAATAAACATAATTTTGTGTAACAGAAATATATATTTTGTTTACTTTTATTCTTTTATCTTAGAATGACAAGACTGTGTTTCTTTGTATGCAGTTATTATAAAAAAGCTGAATAAGAGAGAGGCAGTTGAGAGTAGGAGCGGTGTGAAGAGTGCAGGGTGGAGATGAAACGTGGTAGCTTTGGGGTGTCAGGTGTCTCTAGCGTGTACCCAGAGCTTTACACCTCCTGTACAGTGTGTGCAGAGAGCAGCAGGTGTCTGTGACTGCATATCTGTCCCTACATGTGCACTTGGCAGCATACATTGTCTATATCAGGACCCAACCACCCTCTATATGTTACACTTCTTTTCAAATTAGCACAGTGAGCGGTAGCAGGGCTTTACGTTGCAGCTGGGAACAGTTCCAGCTGTGTGCTTAGACTGGTCTTCACATGAGGAGGGATGGAGGGAGAGACCCACCAAATCCTGCAGCTTAGCACCTATAGGGCAAAACCAAACTGTTCGGACACAGACCTTAGCAGCTAAGAGTAATAGATGATGTGATGGGTAGAGTGTAATAGTACTTATTGGATATTGTTAAATGTCACATCTGTGCATGTGGTTTCTCAGAAGATTATGGAATTGGAAAGATGAGACATCCTTCTGTCCCAATAATGTGACAGAGAAGAGATTGAAGGACCGTGTCAGTGTGTATGTGTGTATAGTGTGTTTGAGTGTGTGTGCATCTGTCAGTGTCCCTTTAAAAGGAATTGCTGTAACATTCTATAGCATGCAATACAATATAATAGTTGTAGTCATAAAAGCATGAATGCATGGGATCCACCTGCATTAGTGTTCAAACTGAAGTAGTCAATATTATGACTCCACCATGACTTCACTCGTCCTCCATTTTACTGACATAGATTTATAAATGACACAGACAGTTCATATTTAACATTTTAAACCCATGCTCTCATCTTGTGTCCATTAATTGTAGGGTTGAATGCAGGGCTTTATTTCCCAGGAATTCTCATAAAAATCTGTTCCGTTCTCCTGAGAAAAAAAAATCATCTGAAAATTCTGCACGATTTCTAGCTTATCTTTGTAGGCAGATATTGTTAAACACTGATGCACTGAGCAGTGTGGTAGAATTTGCTCACTTACAAATGGGTTAAAACACGTTTATATTCCTTGGACTATGGTCTTAAGTATTGTTATGAACAGCACTAGTATTGTACAATACTTTTTAACAGTAATTCAGGTTTCATATTGGCATTGTTAGACAGCTGTAGTAATAACCTCAGGTCATGAGCTCCCATTATGGTACAGATATGCTGAAAAACAGGGGATCAGACAATTCTGCATGATTGTTGTTGTTTTTTCCATCTCAAAGTTAAAATATTACTTTACTAACACATTTGAAGAATAATATCAAATTAAGAAATATGTAATAAACACAATTCATTAATATCATTAGTTACCTGCGGTTTCAAGCTACAGTAGATAACTCTTATTAAAATAAGTTTTTGTCATACTCACTGACACTTTCACTATATCCTGACAGTAGTACATGAGACAGATAATCTGTGAAAAAATCAAGTTCCTCCTAGTGCTCCTAATGGCATTTGTAAAACCCGAGAATCAGAGCTGGTAAATATAGTTGGGACCCAAACAACCCAAAGTGTCAGTTTTTGACGACCTGGCAATGAGACTCAACAATCAGTTATATTTTTCACAGATTACCTGTCTCATATACTATTGTCGGGAGTTTAAGCAAAAATAACAAAAAGTTATTTTTATAAAAGTTACCTACTGCAGCTTTAAAGTCAAACTTAAATTTTTTAATTTTTGGGAAGAAATCCAGGTGTTCCCAGGAAAGTAGTGCTATATTCCTGGGAAATCATCATTTAAAAACCCACCTTCAGCCCTAACTGACCACAGCTGCAGACACTGCATGTTATCACATCACATTTCACACAGTGAAATATCACAGCGACAACAACCATACATTGTGTGTTTTCATCTCCACAGCTACCCCGCTGTTGTTTCTTGCTGTTTGTGTGTAACATTTTGTAATTCTGCTGTTGTAACCAAACCATGTTATGACCCCTCCTGTTCATCTCTCTGGCTTTCTCCTACTGAACGGCCTCTCTGCATGTAAGTAACAATCAGTGACAGCGTCCAGCTCTTCTCTTTTACTCTCTTCCACTGCCTCACTCTCTCTCTTTCTGTTTGTTTTGTTAACCCTGTAGATGGAATCAGCTGACACTGCCAGCGTTTCAGTTTTGTTTCTGTTGATACAGTCAGGAAACAACAGAAGGATGAGACAAAATTGAAACCATGTAGCTTAGTTTGTGTGCTGTGATGTTCCTGTTCTGATTAGTGTTTGGTCATGTGTGCTCATTAGCAGACCCACACACAGCCATGTAAATCTCTGCTATTAACTAACATATTGAGTCCATACTGTAAACAATTATTCATGTCAGTCTGAGCAGCAGCTGGTCTGTAGCCACCTGTTGCACTGGGGGAGAACCCTGGGACTTGTGGGTATTGTATTTTGCTTGTCAGAGCTCTGAGATGGAGCTGCATGGAGGGTCATGTTACAGGGCTGAGAACACATTGTACAGTGAACAGCTCCACTGTAACATACGGTACACTCTGCACAACCCGCAGTTCCCATGTTTTGTCACACAGATAAATGTTTGGAAAGTGCTCCCCAGATTTAACTTAAAGTAGTGGTTTTATAGAAACACTAAAGTGAACCTGTCTTTTGCTATGTTACTGAAGTTGGCAGAAAAAGATAAATGATCTGTTCACCTACTTTAAGAAAGTTGCTTTCAAAGTGACTGATTTAGAAGAAATAGTTCCACTAATACCTTTTTTTCTGACATCTTAAATGATTAGCAGATTAATTGTGTTCCCAGCAAAAATATTTAGTCAAAGGCAAACATAGTCAAATTGGAAGTTAGCTAGCTAATTTTAGGAGCATGCTAGCTAACTAGCTAGTTTATCTACATCAATTGTTAGCTAGCTGGTTATAACTGAAAGAAAAACACTAGCTAACTAGTTACACCAATCCTTAGTTAATTAGTTAGCTAAGGTTTTGCTAACGTTAGCTGCGTTTATCTTTTAACCATCTTCAAACTTTTTCAACATAGATTATCCTAGCACATAGCATATCCAAGTACAGGAAAAGGAAGAAGGTGACTGAGGTTCTCACTGAGTAAATGGTAAATAGACCTGTACTTGTATAGCACCTTTCTAGTCTTCCAACCACTCAAAGCGCTTTTACACTACGTACACACACATTCACACAGTGATGGCAAAGCCCATCAAACAGAAACTAATCATTCATACACATTCACACACCGGAGAAATTTGGGGTTCAGCATCTTGCTCAAGGATACTTCGACACAAGGCGAGGAGCCTGGGATCGAACCAACAACCTTCAGATTAGTGGATGACCCACTTGTCTCTGAGCCACAGCCGCTGAGGCTTGCTCAACTTTTATTGGAGCACAGAGCAAAGCAGGGGCGGAATTGAGGGAGGGTCCATTAGATTTACAGCAACTTTTCTGCAGTCCTGCTAGACTTTTGGAAATCACAAAAATATTCATCACTTCAACAATCAAGTGGAGCCTTTGTGCTTTTTGCTTTATTATATTGGCAGTCTCATGATTTCTCACTGGATGAATTACTGCCTGGTCAGATTTATTTAAACTCAAAAAGAACATAAAGAATCATCATCATTTTACAGATCGTCTCAGCTGTCCAGATGTCATTTCCACTCACTGTTTTGGCATTAGGCTTTTTGCCAGTGAGATTCTGAATCTTCACCACATAGTTAGCAGATGTGTTTCAGACTATTTAGTATGACAAGCCCTCTAACTGTTTGTCCCAGCACACTCCACATACTCTTTGTCTGTCTTCTCTCACCTCCAGTGTTCGACCAACTAGATCTTGTCACATATGAAGAGGTTGTGAAGCTTCCTGCCTTCAAGAGGAAAACACTAGTTTTGTTAGGTGAGTAGCAGCAAGAAATAATGATGTCTGCTTTCATTAACTGACCTCTCTGACTGACTGTCTGTATCTCTGTCAGGTGCCCATGGAGTGGGCCGAAGACACATCAAGAACACACTCATAACCAAACACCCGGACAGATTTGCCTACCCCATCCCACGTAAGACACACAATCACCACACACAAGTCCTCCACAGAAACACAACGGCACCACTATATATGTCAGTGAATGTAAATGTGTCTCCTGCTGTCCCGCAGACACAACCAGACCTCCAAAGAAGGATGAGGAGAACGGGAAGAACTATTACTTTGTCTCCCATGACCAGATGATGCAGGACATCAGCAACAACGAGTACCTTGAGTACGGCAGCCACGAGGACGCCATGTACGGTACGCGGCTGGAGACCATCCGCAAGATCCACCAACAGGGACTCATAGCTATACTGGATGTCGAACCTCAGGTGTGTGTGTTTAGGTGTGAGTGTGCATGCATGCATATATAATATATGCATATATATTTTTTACCTCTAACAACCGTTCTCCATCAGGCCCTGAAGGTCCTGCGGACAGCAGAGTTTGCCCCATATGTCGTTTTTATCGCTGCACCAACTATTACTCCAGGCATCAATGAGGTAGGAACACACAAAAGACACACGGTTACAAAGTTAACGGTTGCAAGTTATTACATTACTCTTTATTACTGAATCAAAACAAGTCCATCTAAAAACCTGCAGCGTCATTGTGTAAAGCACTGCCATCATGCAGCATCACTCTCATTCTGCCTGCTCTTCACGCTCTCATTCCTCTGCACTCATTTATTTTTGCATGCTGCATGTGTTTGTTTATTTGGTGCCCCCTCCTCAGATGCCCAGGTGGTGTCGAACGTTGCCAGTAAGTAAAACCTTATAGGATAGTGACTGCGTAGTGTTATTTTTAATTATGTGTATGTGTATTCCTTGCCATATGCTGTCTGTGTGCTTCTAGATAGTTAGTCCTTGTTTGCCCATTCACTTCTTCCCTTGCTGAGTAAAGGCCCCACAAACTGTGCTGTAACAATATCCATGTCACACTGTGGCTCTAATATGATAGACTGTAAAAAGATGTATTATAGGAGCACTGGCACTTGTTTTTTGTCTTTTTTTCCACCTTATTCAAAAGTAAGATATGCTGGCGATTCACTTTTTAGCCAGAAACAGGGATTTGGAGTCTTTGTCAAAAAGATCTCCTGAAGCATGGTTTAAAGGTCACAGAATATTTGACACTTTTTATAACAGATGTCTGAGCTGTGTGAGGTGTGAAATAAGTCAAATATTTAACATTCTGTTCATGTATACAAAGTGAAGTACATTTTGGAAAGTTCCCATAGTAAATCTTGGTCTAATCTTGTAGAACCCCACATCTCGCTCCCACAGTGGCTTCAGGGCTCATAAGCGGAAGTACAGCAGCAGTACAGCAGCAGTACAGAGCATATTATCTTTGAGATTATTCCTTTGAGAGATTGGGCCAAGACCATGGCACTTCAACATTCTGACAGTTTTCAAGTGGATTCCCTCTTTCCTTAAAAGAGATTCTGTAAAGTAACAAATTTAGAGATATTTTAAAAAACCTTTAGGAAGGATATTAAAATCAGTTCTTATTTTGCAATAGGCCAGCAAGATCTGATAGGCTCTTTGAAGTCCACTCCATCACACTATGTGCACTGGAAGATCAGGATTCAGTGCCAGAGGAGACCGGACAGAAATAAAAGAGGGAGTCTGGTCAATATTGTTGATAAAAGGGAGGGAGCCTTGTAGGATATCATGCTAGAGACTCAAAGTCACTCCACAAAGAATTCTTCTTAGTCAAGGGCAAATTTGTCATAATTCTGGTCTAGACCTGCTCTATTTGAAAAGTCAAACTCAAAGTCAGCTTTATTGTCAATTACTTCACATGCACCAGACATACAAAGGAATCATCATAAAGTGCACAGGTACAAACAGACAAAACATTTCCTAAAACTAAAAGTAAACATTCAATTTCACAGCAGGTATGACATTTACTAATGCTAAAAAGATTTAAAAAGATAGACAATAAAATATAAAATATACAATAATATAAAATATACAATATACTAGATTGGTAATGGCAGCAAAAAACATTAATAGTGCAAAAATAACAGTCAGTGAAAACAGTAAATGGTAAATAGAAAAATAGCAGCCAATTTCAGTCTGTATCCTGTGGTAGTGACAGTACTAGTGCAATAGACACTTTGGGGGGGGGGGAATCAGCTTTCTGACAGCTTGGTGGAAGCTTTAAGTGAGTCTGGTGTAGCGGGCACGGAGGCTCCTATACCTTCTTCCAGACGGCAGGAGGGTGAACAGACTGTGTGCAGGGTGGCTGGCGTCGCTCACAATCGAGATAGCTTTCGGGTGAGGCGGGTGTGGAAGGGAAGGGAGTGGGGCACCAATGATCTTACCAGCTGTGTTAACTATGCGTTGCAGTGCTTTTCTGCTGTATTCAGTGCAGCTCCCGCCCCACGCAGTGATACATGGAAGGAGCTTTCAGTGTGCCCCGGTAGAATGTGCACATGATGGGTGGGGAGGTTTTCCCCCCTTTAGGTTGGGGAGAAAAAAAAGGGGGGGTGGGTTTTTTTTTTCCGTGATGCAGAGTTGGTCGTCCAGGAGAGGTCCTCATTGATGTGCACCCCCAGGAATTTGGTGCTGCTCACTCTCTCCACAGCAGCACCGTCAATGGTCAGTGGTGGGTGTTCGGTGTGGCCCCTCCGGAAGTCAACAACAATCTCCTTGGTTTTGCTGACATTCAGCAGGAGGTTGTTGTCTCTGCACCACGTGGTCAAAAGGTTGACCTCCTTCTTGTAGTGGGTCTCATTGTTCTTGGTGATGAGACCCACCAGAGTAGTATCGTCCGCAAACTTCACCATGTGATTGGTGCTGTAGGTTGGTGTGCAGTCGTGAGTCAGCAGGGTAAAGAGAAGGGGACTGAGCACACAGCCTTGGGGGGCCCCTGTACTGAGTGTGATGCTGCTCGAGGTGTTGTTGCCGACTCGTATCCCTTGTGGCCTCTCACTGAGGAAGTCCAGCAGCCAGTTGCAAAGGGAGGTGTTGAGCCCTAGCTGGTCCAGTTTGCAGATGAGTTGTTGTGGGATTATGGTGTTGAATGCTGAACTAAAGTCTATGAAAAGCATTCTCACATATGAGTCTGTTGTGTCTAGGTGGGTGAGGGCTGGGTGGAGAGCAGAGCAGATTGCATCCTCTGTGGAACGTTTGGCTCTGTATGCACACTGAAAGGGGTCCAGGGTGGGGGTGGTCTTGATGTGAGACATGACTAAAGCACTATGATGGGGGTCAGTGCCACAGGGCGATAGTCATTGAAGCAGGATGGAGCAGGTTTCTTTGGTACAGGTATGATGATGGTGGCCTTGAAATGTGATGGAACATAACCTTTGTTATGGTAAATGGACCTGTACTTGTATAGCGCCTTTCTAGTCTTCTGACCACTCAAAGCACTTTTACACTACATACACACACATTCACTCAGTGATGGCAAAGCCCATCAAACAGAAACTAATCATTCATACACATTCACACACCGATGCACGGCATCGGGAGCAATTTGGGGTTCAGTATCTTGCTCAAGGATACTTCGACATGTGGCAGGAGGAGCCGGGGATCGATCCAACAACCTTCCGATTAGGGGACGACCCGCTCTGCCTCTGAGCCACACCCGCCCTTGTGAATTGATGCTATACAAATACAATTAAACTGAATTGAATTTAAACTAATTTTGAGTTGAGGTGACCAATAACAGAGTTGTAGATTGGGCAGGGATAGACCTCCCAGTTCCTTTGCATTTAAGCATTTAGGGGGCGGCTGTGGCTCAGAGGCAGGGCAGGTCGTCCACTATTCGGAAGGTTGTTGGTTTGATCCCCGGCTCCTCTGTGTGAATGTGTGTGAAACAGCGAATGTGGCTGTAGTCTAAAAGCGCTTTAAGAGGTCCGAGGACTAGAAAGGTGCTATACAAGTAAATCAAGTAAGTAATCAAATATTAGCAAATCGCAAGCTAACTGGCTTGCTAATTTACATCATTCGTTCGTTAGCTAGCATTTTGCCAACATTAGCCAACTTAATATGTGACTATATATATGTTGCTTTTACCTTTTAACCATCTTCAAAATGTGGTTGTCTTTTCATCATAGATTAGCCTAGCACATAGCATATGTACAGGAAAGGAGGAAGTTGACAGAGGCTTGCTCAACTTGTATTGGAGCACAGAGCAAAAAGGGGCGGGACTTAAGAAGGGTCAATTGGGCACCAGTGGATTTGTCTGGGTTCCCCCACGACCAAATGTTTCACCATGTTTTTCTTGGGTCTTGGGTAGCTCAGTTGCTAACTATTCTAACTAACTTTTCTCTCAGCCCTGTATATGTTCTCATCTCTCCATCACTGCCTTCCATCAGTGTGTAACACCCTCTGTTACTCCTCCTCCTCCAGGACGAATCTCTCCAGCGGCTGCAGAAGGAGTCCGAGATCCTGCAGAAGACCTACACCCACTACTTCGACCAGACCATTATCAACAACGAGATCGATGAGACCATCAGGCACCTGGAGCAGGCCATCGACCTGGTGTGCACCACCAGCCAGTGGGTTCCTGTGTCCTGGGTCTACTGACCTGCAGTCCCCGACCACCTCCACTTCCTTCTCCCTTCCCAACAACGACACCTCAGCCTAACTCCATCATTCTCTCTTCAAAATAAGAATAAATAAAAAAACTATTGAAACAAGGCAATGGGAAACCTCTCTCTACACTGCACTTGATTGATAACCCCCCTCAGCGAACTGAACTGAAAGCGAGCGCAGGATTCTTTCCTCTTGAACGCTGCACAAAATGATTGGACTCTTGCCCTGACAGACGACCTAGTCATAGTGTTGTATAAAAACAGAGTAAACAAAAGTGAATATTGTCATGTCTGTACTAGCTAGGAGGCAACATTTTTGTAGATGTTTGTTTTAAAGAGACAGTACTGCGTCCCGTCCTGCCATGATAATGCACTGCTGGTCTCCAACACAACCTTCCCATCACATAGACCTGTTGGGTGTGTACTGAACCATCTGTAGACAGACACTGTCAGTGGGTATTCTGTGGATCAGCAGACTGAAGTAAAAGCACACAAACACACTGCAGTGTTTATAGATCACATCACCACTCCTCATTCTGTGTTCATTTTTTTTTTTTTCTGAGCTGTAAGGCTGCGTTCGCATCTTATTGTTACCCTTCGGTACAGTTACAGTATCACCACGCACACACATGCACCTTTCCACCCACCAGGTACTGTCTCTTCTAAATAAATCCATAAATGTTTTAGAGATTTGAATGAGGTTATCATGCATGTGGACATTTGTAAGCTTCCATGCTGTCAGTCAGTCAGTGTTCCCAGTGTCCCTTCATAAACCTCCAAGAAAAAAAAGAAGACACAAACATACATATTAAAAAACATTCCATCTGTTTGGAAGACTGCACTCAGCCAAGGGAAGCAAGAGGGGGCAAGAAAAAAAACTAACCACGATGGAGCCGGACTTGACACCTATGCACATCCCTTGCATTTTGGGTGACATTTCTAAACCACAGATTTCTAAAAAAAAAAAAAAAAAAAGAGAGAAAAAAAAAAATTGACCATGTAGTGAGATGTGTTTGTAAAGAAAAATCGAATAAAATTTTTCCTCTTGCTGATTTGTCATTCGCAAAAAAAAAGGAACAATTTCACCATCTTCCTCATTTGCCATTTCAGAAATGTGATGTCCAAGAGTATTAGTGTTTCAATCAAGTTTAAAAATCCACAAGAGATGAAATGCTTTTTTTTATTCTGAAACTGTGTAACTGTCTGCGAAGGAAGTGTACACTATAAATTCTGCAAAGGCCACTACTTTGCAAGTGAAGAGGAGGCAGTGTGTGCATCTATATAACCATGTATATGAATATGACATACAACTGCCCCTTGTGTAAATTACTCTGCAATGATAAAGGTTCTTCAGTATGAACAATTTTTTAAATATATTTCCTTTTATGTGTTGGAAAAGTGAACCTTGGAGTGACTCTTCTGTGTTTTCTTTTCCACTGCACACAAACATGCAAGCGTATCTGTGAGCAGGGGCAGCTTTCACAAAGCCAACTTACTTGCTTAAATGCTGATTTGAATTTGAATTTATTGAAAGATGGTCCTAAAGACACAAATACAAAACAAAATGCATAATGCACAACAAAAATGGCATTACATAACGAACATACACTACAGTGACACAGACCTCACTGCTCATGCCTAAACCTAACCGGGAACGAACACCAGCCAATCAGAGGCAGAGTAGGGCGGGCCTTCACAGAATGTTGAGGAAAAAAATTAAGTGTTAAATGTCCAGTGTTTAGGATGTAGTAGCGATGTAGCTGTAGATTACAACCCTCTCACCTCACCCTCTTATTTCAAGTGTGTAGGAGAAACTATGATGGCCGCCTTCTAGAGTTTGGTTGTAACCAGTCAAGTGATTAGTACATTAAACAATGGTGGATTCTATATGGACATTAAATACAACATTAATGGGCCTAAGATAAGTGTCAGAGGTGTTCTGATATACTGATCCCGAAGCTGGTTATTAACTGTTCCGCTACAAGCAGAACTGGGCAGTTTTTCAACTCATAGTCACAAGCAGAAATATCAGAATCATGAGCAGAGGACTTAAAGGTCCATTCTGTAACACTGAGGAGGATCTATTGTCAGATATGGAATATAATATTCATAGGTATGTTTTCATTAGTGTATAATCACCTGAATATAGGAATCCTTATGTTTTTGTTACCTTAAAATTACCTTAAACACCATGGGCCCTTCAAGTTTTTTCTGTGGTCAGAGAATACATTTCCTTGTATTCCGTTCCTACTGTATCCAATCAGGAGAGAGAACTCCAGAAAAAGGCAATCCTTAAGGGCAGGCAGCAGAATGTCAGTGTGGTGGGAGGGGGAGGGGGGACTGCTAATTGCAAGAACAGACAGGAAGTGAGTCAAAATGCTCCCTTGACTTACAGCATCTTTAAATTGATTAACTGGGAAACTAATCTGCAAAATAATCGACAGTGAAAAATAAATAGCAACCCTCAAAATTAAGAAATAATAAAAAACTATTAATTAATCTTATTAGATTTATCTCCCAGGTAATAAAGCCAGGTGTCATTTGTAATGAACAGGTAGTGACTCTGCTGATCTATAACAATCACACAGATTATCTGTGCAGTATTGTTACCATGATGTACTATCCCAGTTCAAAGTGAGTAAGTTTTTCATATCAGGCAATGTGATCTCTCTCTCTCTCTCTCTCTCTCTCTCTCTCTCTCTCTCTCTCTCTCTCTCTCTCTCTCTCTCTCTCTCTCTCTCTCTCTCTCTCTCTCTCTCACCCCAACTGGTCGAGACAGACAACCACCCACCTAGAGCCGGAGGATCTGTCCTAGGTTTCTGCCTTTTAACAGGCAGTTTTTCCTTGCCCTTGTCGCCAAGTGCTTGCTCATGGTGGTACTGTTGGGTCTCTGTAAATAATGTTTTAAAGAGTTCGGTCTAGACCTGCTCTAAAAGTGTCCTGAGATAACTTCTGTTATGAATTGGCGCTATACAAATAAATTGAATTGAATTGAATTAAATTGATACAGGCTCCAGAGATTGGAGATATACTACAATAGTGTCAAATTCTGCAAAAAAAGATTAAAAAAAGAGTTTGGTTTGAAAGGAAAACACTACAGAGCAAGGCAGAGAGGCTGTATAAGCAGTGAGGGACAAGACATGGTGGCAAGACGCTGCAAACTGTGGGAAAAATAGGCATGGATTATAGATTATTGCATGGATTATTGAGGGCAAACAAGGTCATTAAGTGATTTGAAAGCTGCACACAAACTCCCTGCTAAAAAATTACATAAAAGACGCACAACAAACAAACTATTATTAGATCACGATTTTCACATGAATGTATCAGGAGAATCTGTATAAACATGACAGAGCATAAAACTGCCAAGAGCATTTTTTTTATTTTTTGTTAAAATAAGTTTCAAATAGCTCCATGTTCAGACAGCAACCACTGATATAGAGAGTTCAGTCAGTAACATGGTTCCCGCAGTCCCTCCTTTCACAGAATACAGAGAGGTATCTCCACTTTATCCAGGGCAGGCAGCAGAATGTTCCCTTCCCTCCAGGAAGTTGCAATGTTGTTTTGCACTATGTGCAACGTTGTGGTAGAGCACAAATGAAAGTCACCAATTGACCAACACTCTTACACAGTAAAACACATCTGTAGAGTGGCAGTTATTGCAATTTTAGTGCAAAAACGTTGCAAGTTGCATCGCAGTTTTTTTTTTTTTTTTTTTTTTTAAGTTGTCATAAAATCAGGCATTTCAGGCTGCAACTTTCCCCCAAAAAAGCCTATGAAATCCTGGAGGGACTGAAAATCTTCTGAAAAGAGAGCCACTTTTCTCAGTCTCATATATTTCTCAAATTGAATACATACATGGAGTCCAGCATGCGAGTCCTCAGGATTATGTACATGTTTCAGGTGAATGAGCGCTCAGCTGACCTCTCAGTCAAGTGCTGCATTTTGTGATTTCAATCAATCCAAATGAGTGATTAGAATCAAGCACAGCCTGAATACTGTGTTTTACTGTTACGTAATCCCATAGCATTAATATGTGAGCGCTGACTGAGGACAGCTGTGTTTGTTTTGCTTTTAATCGAGTATGGATTTGAATGCCTGGAATGAAAATGGATACGTCACCTCAGCGGGAGGTTTCAGGCTAATGTGGCTGTTACTGTCAGCACTGGGAGTGCTGGAAACATGCTCCTACAAAGGAAATATTAGAAAATGAAAGATGCATATATGCATACATATTTCTCAGTCATTTGTTATCTAAGCAGTGCTGCTTTGAAGAACAAGAACAAAAAATCACATTTCCACCAATGTGAGGAAAAATTAAGATTCTGAAAGTTATGATAAGAAACTTTCTCAAAATATTGACTTAGTATCACAAAGTCATTATTTTGAGATATAAGTAAAAAATCTTTTCATTATTTTGAGAACGTTTGACATTATAATGACTTAAAGACTTAAAATCTTTAAGGGCTTCCATAGAAATTGGATCTAGTGATGAAGTCTTTTTGAAAGTAGCATTCATATATAGAATATGAGCAGTGTTGGGAAAGTTACTTTTAAAAAGTAATAAATTAATAATACAGTTACTAGTTACTTCTTCCAAAAAGTAACTAAATTAGTTACTCAGTTACAAATTATAAAAGTAAGTAGTTACTTCAGAAAGTAACTATTGCGTTACTTTCAAGTAAATTTTTAAATGCTCAAATGTGACCCCACCTCCACCCCTCTTTAACAGAACTTAAAATACATGTGCATGTTCAATTATTTATGATAAATCTGAATATTATAATGAAATGGACACTTAATACATTATTAACAGAAACAATGTACATAAGTCTAAACTATTTTAATGTTGCTGTGGGACAAAGTGAGACTAGCCTCCAATCAAATGCCATGTATGTAGATATTATGTTTATATAGTGGATCCATACAAATAACACAATAGATGTTTTGGAACTTTTGATATTTATTGCCCCTCAACAGGCCACAACTGGGCAAAATTAAATTATGCTTGTTGAGCACTATACCAAAAATAGATAACAAATATATACACTCTTTGTCTGAATTTGTTTTTGTTTTATTTACACTACAATCGGTCTAAAAAAGTATTTTCTTCCTCGAAAAAGTAGAACAGTGTAACAATATGAGGTGTTTTCAATCTAACTGAAAAGTACAATGTATAGCAAAACTAAGGAATCCAAATATAAACAGGTAATACATAAGAAATAAAAAATACATCTCCATAAAAACAAATCTCTTTCTCTGGCCATTGACAATCTCACTTCAAGAGGCTGCAGCCAGCCAACAAATAAATCTAAATGAAATGATGCTCTTTAAGCAATATACCAAAAATGTATTCAAACAATATATACACTCTTTTTAGTGCAAATGTAATAAGATGCAACACAACTCGCCATACCTGTCTCTCGTTGACTGACTCGCTTGTGTTGTTCGTTGTTAGTCTGACTATGCGTGCTTTCGAACACCCGCCCAACTCTACCTCTGATTGGCTTACCATGAAATTTTACTCAACCTCAGCCAATCGTCAGCATGTATGCCCTTGTCTCGTGCACTGCCCACTAACCAAGGAAGAACAGTAAAGTGATCTAGTTGGTCTGATGAAAAAAACAGCTTCAATTATAGTAAACCGCCGGCAGTAACGGTAACGGCGTTATTAAGATGGGAAGAGTAATCAATTAGATTACTCGTTACTGAAAAAAGTAACGCCGTTAGTAACGCCGTTATTCCCATCACTGAATATGAGTACCTACTTTACCAGTAAAAATGTTCTCTGTTCCGGGTATACTGTAGTGTGGAAATGTCTTATGTACTAACTTTTGTACTTTTACTTACTTTATAATAATATGGGATGTCTACACTGTGGTATTATAACGTTTACCTGAGTACAAAATCTGAGTACTTCGTCCACCTCTGGTGTCCTGTAACAAAGGAAATGACTTAATATTTTTATTATTTATTATTAATAAAAATAATTATTTATTAGAGGCAGTTTGGATAATAGGAGAGTCCTGTCAGCAGTGGTTCCCAACCGTCAAAGTTTCATGGGGGGTTGCGAGGCCTTCATGATTTTAAAGGGTGTACGAAAACTTACACAGTAAGTTTATCTCTCAACATTTTGTTCATCTCTGTGAAGAAAACTAAATGAAATTGTTATTTATTATTATTTAAGATCTAAACTTTGAAGAGCTGAACACGAGCTGTATTCACAGAGCCTTCACTCTCTGATAAACAGCCTCATCCTGATTTTGAGAAGTTCAAACAACCAAAGAGCTAATAGAACAATATGAGGAAAACCGTGGATTTTTTTTTTTTTTTTTTTAAAGAAGCCCATTAAGTCTGGATGATTGTTAAAATTTTTAAATACAAATGACGGAATTGGGTTCCTAAAATATGGCACTTCCGGCAGTTATTGTGTTCACTGTTTGGGTTCATTGTACAGTTGATCAGTTGTTCTCTACTGTTATTGTCATGCATTGAATATAATATAAAATATGTCACTTAGTCTGTTTACTCAGTGATATAAAATGGCTTTCTTAAGAAAGGGGGAACCACTGGCCTAGGTATAACACATATCACAGGACCACTGCCCGTCCCCCTCCAAGAGTTGACCTTCCATGAATTAATCAACACTTTTGTTTTCTGGAAAATCATGATCGGCCTCTCAGGGCCACTAAAGAGTCTACAAACTAAGGCTACAAAATGAGAGCAAACAAGGAAAAACTGGTTTTCATGTTCCCTGTCCATTTAACATCACACATTACGGCAAGGCTGCTGACAGTTGAGCTAATCTTTAATTCACAGGTCCCATTGTTTCCAATCCCATTTCAATCCAATCCAGGAGGGAGCTGATATATAATCATACATTCTTAGAAAAGTAACAGGAAAGTAGGCTTCAATATAATTTGGTAGCAATTATTGGGGAAAGAGAGAGACCGTGCTTCATTAATGAATTCCAAGTAATTGCTAGCATAATCCAGAGAGTCTTTTATGCAGTGCAGCAAACCCAACAGGAAGTCGGCCATTTTGGATTTTGTTGCAATTTTTGGCGATTTGAAGTAACTCCTCCTAGGGAATTTATCGTATTTGGACACAGTACTCTAAACACATTCACCATTAAAAGTTGTGCTATTTACGTCATTCCGTCGAACATCGTGGATGTGGCGTGGCGTTCCGTGGCATCCAATTTTGAACCTTCGCCATGAAAGAGGGATTTGTCATAAATTCTGCGTACATGATCTGATTGCAACAAATCTTCACGTTTGATAAGAGTCCCGCCCTGAACACGTCTATGTGATAATATTCAGAAATAGTGACAGCGCCACCTAGTGGCAACAGGAAATTGATTTAGGTTAATAACTCCCCAATCGCTTGTTGCACATTCAAAAAAATGTATATCACTTCCGGTGAACAGAGCTGAATCTCCCTTTATAGGCCATTACCCCCTGGAATTTTTTTTGCGCTAGAGCGCGAAATGTCCATAAATTCCTTTTTCGTGTTCCTCCTACACGCTTTGTCTGATTCACACAAAACTTTTCACGTAGCATCAGGAAACTCAGCCAGGACTTTGTCACATGGTGTGACTTCAACCACCTGCGCTTCAACACCACCAAGACCAAGGAGATGGTGGTGGACCTCAGAAGGCCTGTGACCATCAACGGTGACCATGTGGAGTTGATACAGACTTACAAATACCTGGCAGTACACCTGGATGATAGGCTGGACTGGACTGCCTACACAGACGCCCTGTGCAGAAGAGGTCAGAGCCGGTTATACTTCCTCAGAAGGCTGGCGTCCTTCAACATGCAGGTGTTCTATCAGACTGTTGTGGCGAGCGCCCTCTTCCATGCAGTAGTGTGCTCGGGAGGCAGCATTAAGAAGAAGGATGCCTCCCATCTGGACAAACTGGTGAGGAAGGCAGGCTCTGTGTTGGGCACAGAGCTGGACAGACTGACATCTGTGGCAGAGCGACGGGCACTGAACAGGCTCCTGTCAGTCATGGACAATCCACTGCATCCACTGCACAGCACCATCTACAGGCAGAGGAGCAGCTTCAGCAACAGGCTGTCCTGCTCCACTGAAAGACTAAGGAGATCGTCCCTCCCCCACGCCATGAGGCTCTTCATCTCCACCCAGGGAAGGAAAACCATAAAACTCTAAACTCCAATATGTCTGCCCTGTATCAAACTGTACCACCTGACGCAGTGCACCCTGCATTATGTGACCACCTACTTATGCACCTTAGGCCTTTCAAGCACTGGATTTGACCATGTACCTTAGGACACTCACCCAATGCTCGTTATTTTGCAATGTATTCTATTTTATTTTATTTTATTTTATTTTATTTTATTTTATTTTATTTTATTAGTTCTTTTGCATTTGACCTCCTGTTGTTGTTGTTATTATTGTTATTATTATCAGTCAATGGATACTGCTGGAAACTGTGAATTTCCCCTTGGGGATGAATAAAGTATCTATCTAATCTAATTTAATCTTGTAAGAAGTACTTAAACAGGAATGTTTCTTTAACTTACAAAACTAAGTCAGTGTCACTTAAAATTTCTGGTAAAAGCTGCTTAATAAAGAATGTTTCTTACAAAATTTAGTTCTTAATTAGAATTTTGATGTAATTAATTTTGTTTTCGTTAGAATAACACATTACAGGTGACATAGTATAAATAGCAACAAAGTCCATAGAGGGTGGAGCTTGTGGTGGATGAATGGATCAAACACAGAACTTACACCCAGGAGAAATAATTTTCACTGACAGTTTGGTTAGATTTGGGAAAAGACCATGGTTTGGGTTAAAGGTCAACAACAGGTAATTAAGTTATGTGTTAATTTCTGTCTTACTTTTGAAATCAGTCTAAATAAATGTTAAATTTGACACCAAACACCAGAAATTGGCTTGAAAGTGGCTGCCACTTCTCTAGATCCACCCCTGCTGACACTTCGGTGCTACAAGCATCTGCCAAAATTAAGTGTTAACAGATTTTCCTACCGTGCACCTGTAAAAAATATACCAGTGCCTACATAGAAAACAGTGAGTTCACTACAGCAGCTCTTCTGTAACCCCTCTGCCATTTCAGCTATGGTCCAGATAAATTAAATACATTCTGAATCCTTTTACTTTTCTGCAGGAGTTCAGGATAAAGGCATGAGAGCTGCTGCATGGCAACCAGGGTACATACAAGGGATGACATGCAGCATCCAGCCTCCCAGTTGTCTTAGTCCCAGCCTAATCCCATATTAAAGGGCCAAAAGGCCAGTGTGCAGATTACAGGCATTCACCACTGAAACCGGTTGACTCCTCGACAGAGGATGAAAGGAGCCACTGAGGAGCGCCAAAATTCGACAGCAATTTTTTTATTTTATTTAGAAAAATATATCATGTGACAGAGCGTTTTGTCTAATAACACCACTGAACTGGATCACTGGCTGTCAGACCAAACTACTTACATTCACCAGGTAAAAAGAAAGCAGTGGAGGGTGTTGGAACAGGGATTCTCTCTCTCTCTCTCTCGAATATCAAGCACAGTTCATTTGGTAAAGTACCTGAAAGGATTTCTTTGCCTAAAGAGATCTGACATGCTTTGACACTATTCCCTCCCCCATCCACAAGCTGACATATGGCAAGCACACCCACTACACCGCCATGTATGGGGAAAGATCATATCCATAAGGGGAAAACAGTCCATGCTCGAGGCAAAAGTCCCTCCATTATGCTGTAGCGTAGCCGAGCAGCAACCACACTGAGCCGCACGCAATAAGAAGATTAATGCATTTATGGAAAAGCTGCACAACCTACATTTAGAGTTGAGTGAATAGAAGAGGACATCTGTTTAGGAGATAACTACAGGAGCTCTTATCTCCTTTAACTTTACACATAGATGTAAATGAAAATACAGAAAAAACACTAGTATCAGACTATGTAATGCTATGAATATTACGTAATATTAATTAAAATTGAGTATTAAGCAAGAAAAGGTGGAGGATCACACATACATTTCCACAAGTAATCCACAGTTTGAAATCAACCGCCGCCTCTGTAATTGTAGCAATCAATCCTGCAGCTTTGGCAGGAACCAGGAGAAGTTATGTATCAGACATTCTCTTATATAAGTAGGTCATCTATAAATATCATAGATTATTGTGTATAAACAACTCATGTGAAAAGTAATGCCGCCATGTCAGCGTCAGTCTTTCTTCTGAAGATGGCTGAGAATATGCAGTTTACCACACTTGTGCTTCAACAGAAAAAATCCCCCCCTAATTCCGGTGCCGACTCACACCAGTAACCACATGTGCAAGGAAGAGCATTCCTTGGTGCTTTCTCAGAGAAAAAAAATTCTCTCATCGGCAATTTAAAAAAGCTACCCCTTGATGTTTCCGTCTGGATACAAATTCCATTTCCACTGTTCTCATGTGCAGGAAAGACAGAAATGTATATCTGAATGGCCAATCAAACCAAAGATAAGCCACACTACAAGGAAGCAAAGGAGCAATTGGCTTGCCTGCGCCCGGTGCCTGACCCCTGCAGAGAGCTGCCCATCCTCGGGGTCCAGAAGGGTCCCATTGCGGAGGCTCTCTGTGCTGTTCCCCATCTCCTCCCTGAGCTCCTGCTGGAGCAGCTTGGAGATGAGGCTGTTGAAGCGGTTCTCCGTGGTGGACACGATCTCTGACGAGGCCGTGGTCAGATTTAGCTCTGCAGGGTCCACGCACGTGCCGTTCACCTTGGCAAAGACCACCTCACTGAGATCCAGCCCTGCCACAGAGGAAGGTGAGGCACAGGGGATGTCCCGCACCAGCTTGTAGTTTTCCATCCACTCCTTCAGCCACTCCAGGGAGCAGTCGCACACCCAGGGGTTTCTAAACAGGTAGAGGCGGCCGAGGAAGTAGATGGGCTGGAAGACGGGGAAGGGAAGGGTGGTAAGGTTGTTGCTGTTCAAGTGGAGCGTGATCAGGCTGGTCAGGTTTTCAAAAGTGCCTTCCTCGATGTATAGCACCTGGTTCCTGTCCAGGTACAGGACCTCCAACTCTACTAGGTCGCTGAACCAGGTCTTGGACACGTTGGTCAACTGGTTACCTCCAAGGTTGAGCATCTTGAGGCGAACAAGGCCCTTGAAGGCAAGCTGGGGCAGATCAGACAGCAGGTTGTCATTGAGGTAGAAGTTCTCCAGCCGCACAAGGTCCTGAAAGGCCTGGTCATGGATCACGTTGATGCGGTTCTCCTGGAGGTTCAGGTACCTGAGATAAGACAAAGAAAGTGATGTTCAGAAGACTAAGGACTTAAGGGTAATTTTTTTCAAAAGCACTTCGTAGAGCGACTAAATGAAGTGGTAAGGTGACGACCAAAATGCAGGCGAAAACAAATATTAAAGGAATACTCTCCAAACCTAGTAATCCTGCGTACACAAAAAGGGAAAAGTACAACCACCACTAGAAATGTACAACAAGAGAATAATCATGGAGGAAGGGAACAACTGAGCTGCAGCAAAGAGACTAAAAGCTACCTATCCAGGCACATTGGCACGTGGAAAGAAAACACAAGGCCAAGCAGTAAGAACAAGATGTGCAGCAGTGTCCTAAGAGGGTAGTATCTCAACGGATTGGGCTGGTGTTGTTCTACATTTTTCTTACCGTTAACAAATTCAATGAAAAAACAAAAGTGCTTCAGTTTGTCTCCCAATAGTTGTGACTTCTTAACCCAGTCTGAAGTCCATTTGTTTTTTTCTGAAGATGTTTAAAAATGGGTAAAAAATATATAATTTAATTTCTAAAAATGTTGAGAACTGCTGTTTTTAACAGATATTAGGAAACAGGAGTGAATATGCTCTGCATGAATGATTAATTATGCATAATTAATATAACTGAATTAATATAAATATAAACTGGTGAGTTTTAAAAAAACCCTGTACAGTTGTTATGAACAGGGAAATTATCTATAGAGACCAAAACTGTTTTTTGTACCAGACTGTAAACATAGTTTATTTCCACTGTAAAGTTGGGCATTTTAATATGGGGTCTAATGGAGATTGACTCACTGCTGGAGCCAGCTTCAAGTGGCTGTTAGAGGAAATGCAGTTTTTGTTACTTCCATTGTGTGTGTTAGTAAGAGTAGAGTATATATAATGAGGAGCCTAGCTGGAATTGTGGGTCAAACAATTACTTAGTAATTTGGTAAAGTCTTACCAAATTCACCTACGGAGTTGGAGTTGACACTTTTGGAGTTTCTTTTTCTATATTCAAGTTTGTAATTTGTTATCAAAGAAGCATGTCTCTAATGCAGTGCCTCATTTTCATATGAATGATTCAACTGGGAGATGTTTTTTTTTGTCCATTCATTGTCCAGCTACAGTGACACTGCAGAAACAGAGCAAACGTTCTGTTTACTTTAAGAACCCTAAAAACCCCAAATCCTCCAGTATATACAGTGTTGGGTAGTTACATGTACAGTACTTACTTAATCAGATTACAAGAATAAGTAACTATAATTAGCCCAGGTTACATTTGAAAAAATGTGTAATTAGATTATTACCTTACTTTGTCAAGGATAACTTGATTACATTTTTGATTACATCTTTAAAATATGGCAATTTTCATGATAATCAATGCTCTATGAACCCTTTGGGCTTTAAAGATGTTGATAGGGGAATGGGATCAATCTCATGTTATTCCATTGTCCAGTACATTGGAGATCAGAGTTGTCACACACATGCCTGCACAGCTTCTGAGTGGTCGACAGACTCAACCTGAGGCATCATGGGATTGCTAGTGGACAGCTAGCAAAACAATGGTTTTAAACATGAAGAAAATTGATCAATAATCACAGAAGACATTCTGTATTATTTGATTTGACCAAGTGTAAATGCTGAATATGCTAAATTCATATTATTTGCAGATTAGATTATTTTTTTATATTATATATAATTACAAAAATTGCCCTGTAATTTGTGTTCAGTTACTGACTACATTTCAAAGTAATCCGATCCAACACTGGCAGTAGTTGTATAAACGGTATTATAGTAGTAGCATATCTTTCAGCCAGCAGTGGCAGCTCCAGTCTGACATCTTTGATTTGACAGAGTTTGCATTAATTGTAATGGAAGAGCCCTTTCACAGTTAAAGTCATTCCTGTATTTTGTGACTCAACATCTGCCTGGTGTAGTTTTTTCCCCTCGATAGAGGACTCTCAATCAACTCATCTAGTGAGTTCATATTTCTATAGTCTTCGTTTTAAGCAGTTGGCAGTATCATGTTACTGATTCAGGACTTATAACTACAAGAGTAGCTTAACACTGCTAATTAAATGTTTAGGCTTACACATAGCTAGAATATTGGTAGCTATGTTAGGCAGTGCTAACCTGAGTTAGCATTACATGATCTACTTCCAGCCTGCAACTCACTTGAGACTACCCAGGCCCAGCAGGGAATTGTAGGCCACCGCCTCTATCTTGTTCCTCTCCAGGTAGATGTGAGTCAGGTTCTCCATGCCTCTGATGGCTCCGGGGACCCTCCTGAAGTTGTTTTGGAAGCAGAGCAGCTCCTTCAGTGTCGTTTGCTCAATGAAGATGCGGTCGGGGATGTTGAAGAGATTACAGTCTGACAAGTCCAGGCGCACCAGCTTCTTCAGCCCTGTGAATGTTCGTGTGTGAAGATAACTGATGTACTCGTTGTGCGCCATTTTCAGGTCCACCAAGTTGGCGAGGCCCTGCAGGACAAAGGTTCAGTTGTGTGGTCAATATGCAGATTTTAACATGTACTTTCACAAGCTGCTGTTCAATTTACAAACACCCAAACTAAACCTGAATATAACTGTCAAGAGAACAGGTTTAAAGCTGCAGTAACTTTTGGAAAAATATTTATTATGTTTACTGAAATTTTCACTATATCCTGATATAGTAACTGAGATAGATAATCTGTGAAAAAAATCAGGTTCCTCTGGCTCCCCTAGTGCTCCTAATGGTATTTACAAGAATCCACTGGGCCTGAACAAAAACAACCAATCAGAGTCAAGAAAGGTATAAAGATCCAAGCCAGTGGATTTCTGCAAATTCCATTAGGAGCACTAGGAGTGTACTACTATCAGGATATAGTGAAAATTTCAGCAAATATGACAAAAAAGTTACTACTAAAAGTAGCTGTAACTGCACTTACATTCCACATATGATTTCCTCCTTCCATAAGGTTTTTGTGGTGCATTTATTTGCACTAACATTACAGGTTAAATTCATTTCTTAACCTTTGGACCAGCGACTGAAATTTTGAATTTCCTTTGGTAGAATTTTTTTTGGGCTTTTCATAAGCACAAATCTGAAGAAATGTTCAAATCACTTCCCTGGTGCCCCCATGATTGAAAAAGCACTGCAAAAGTGCCCTCTGTGGTGCTAGCCCTAACCCTGACAAAGCTGTCTGCCACTGCCTAAAATATTTTGTTACAGAGGTGGCTTGGTCTGGGGAGGTGTTTTCAGCAGCACAGACACTACTGATGAACATTATTATATGATCCACTGTGATCCTCTCACTCTTCCACAATTGCACGTTATACACGTGATACTACTCTATAGAGTTAATAGGCCAATATCAAATTGAATATTTTATATAGTAGAGGATACTCAAGATGAAACTGACTGAAGGGCGGGACTGAGAGTAATAATTACAAAAATGTCTGCTACTTCAGCAGTAGGGACAGCACCATGGATTTATCAATACAAACAGCTAGTGATATTTCAGAGCCGTGGTCAGAGCCATACATTTTCAGTCAGATAAAGGATCAATGAGTCAGGCAGACTAAACTTACAACCCCTCTGACCCTGCACGCTCTCTTCTACCAGGGGACGGAGAGGGGGGATAGCAGGTTAACAAGGGGGACTGCATCCATCGCCTCATATTATTTGTAGTTAAAATCTAGAGAATGGTGCAGCTTTGACAGAGGTGTATGCACTCTTATTTCCACACTTTGATAGAACAAAATGTCCTGATACTTTACAGTGTACAGTACACTTTACACTCAACAGCAGGTACAGCCTTCTTTTGGAAAGTGTAGTCTACACTAAGGGGACGACTGAGGAAGGAAGGAAGGTTGCCAGTTTGATCCCCGGCTCCTCTCTTTGCATGTGTCCTTGAGCAAGACACTGAACCCTAAATTGCTGCCCATCAGTGTATCAGTGTGTATGAATGATTAGTTTCCATTCTGGTGAGCAGTTGGCACCTTGCATGGCAGCCACTGCCATCAGTGTATGAATGTGTGTGAATGGGGTGAGTGTGGCATGTAGTCTACAGCGAGTGGTTGAAAGACTAGAAAGGTGCTATATAAGTACAGTCCATTTACCATTTACACTACTGGTCACCAAATCTTCACAGGGGGTTGCAAGGCCTTCTTTATTTTAAGGGGGCCCAATATTTTTCCTTAAGAACACCTTTTCTATCATTGAGTAAATATACATTTTGAGCAGACTGAGTATTTTCTTCTTTGCTCTTTGGTTGTTTGACTGCTTTTCTAATATGTAATTTTTTTTACACCCCTTAAAATCAAGAAGGCCTTGCGACCCCCTGTGAAGCTTTGGCACCCCCTAGTGAGGGTCCAAACCACTGGTATAAGAGAACTTTTATTAATCTTAAATTAATTTTTGAAAGAAAACAAATAAAATAGTTGTTTTTAAAGTATAATCTTTAAGATCTTAACTTAAATAAGGGAACGGTGAAGAGTTGGACACAAGCTATATTCACAGAGCCTTCACTCTCACTCAACAGCCTCATCCTGCATTAGAAAAGTAAAAAAAACAAAGAGCTAATAGAACAATGTGAATGAGACAATGAATTTGTTGAAAAAGACGTCTATTATTTATGTATGACTATTAAAAAATTAAGAAAATGCATAATACAGAATTAGAGAATTGTAGAAAAAAAAGTTCCTAAAAATATCAGGAAAACAATCAGACTTTATCACAAAAAGTCAGCAGACCTTGAAGGCTCCGGGCGTGATGAAGGAGATGTTGTTGTGATCCAAACAGAGGTACTTGAGGGAGGGCAGGGTTCCGAAGGCTCTCTCTGCCAGAAACTTAAGTCTGTTCTTCTCCAGGTTGATGGCCGAGGCCTCGCAGGGAAACTCTTTAGGCAGCTCAGCCAGGCCAGAGCGGTCGCAGAGCACGCTGCAGCTCTTCTCCTGCGTGCAGGAGCAGGACGGAGGGCAGGCCCGAACGCACGCCCACCGCGCCAGCACCGCCTGGGGCAGCAGGCACAGCAAAGATACTGAAAGCAGGAAAGAGGGAGGGAAACAACACTGCGGTCAGTCTAAAATACTGCTGCTAAAAAGAACCACGAGAGCCAGACAAACAAGTGTGAGAACTGTCAATAATGTGCATGTCCATAGTAATCCATATTCTACTGCAACATCAGGGTTGATTAACCGATTAGTTGTTTGGTCCATAAAATGTCAGAAAAGTGTTTCCCAATGCCCAACTTGACGTCTTCAAATGTCTTGTTTTGTCCACAATCCAAAAGATATCCAGTTTACTGTCCCAGAGAACTAAAGAAAGCTGAAAATGTTCTGATTTGAGAAGCTGAAATCAGAGAATGTGGACATTTATTCTCAAAAAATGAATAGTTGGAGATTAATTTAATAGATTGATTTAATAGTTGAAAAGTAATTAATGAATTGACGAATCATTGCAGCTCTATGCAACATTATTTGATTACCTCTCAGTTTTAAAGAAATATACTACCAAATGAAATGGGGGTTGTTTGTTTCGAAAAGGCTGGATTTATTGGAACATTGTTTCAGTTATATGAAGTTGCAAAAATATCATCCACCCTCTCAAAGCATAAATAATTTTTTTTCTTGATATGTTTTTCTCTAACCCCAACTGGTCGAGGCAGACAACCACCCATCTAGAGCCAGGGTCTGTCCTAGGTTTCTGCCTCTTAAAAGAAGGTTTTTCCTTGCCCTTGTCTCCAAGGTCTTGCTCATGGTGGTACTGTTGGGTCTCTGTAATTAATGTTTTAAAGAGTTCGGTCTAGACCTGCTCTATTTGAAAAGTGTCCTGAGATAACTTCTGTTATGAATTGGCGCTATACAAATACAATTTAATTGAATGTTTTTATATAATTTCTGTTGTGTAGTGACAAATGTTAGTTAAAGGAATAGTGCAACATTTTAGAAATATATTAACGCTTATTCCTTGTGAGGAGTTCATTGAGAAGGTCAATACCACTCTCGTGCCTGTATTTTAAATATTAAGCTATAGCCAGCAGCCAGTTAGCTTAGCTTAGCATAAAGACTAGAAACAGGTGTAAACAGCTAGCCTTGCAAATTCCTCCAAAGCTCATTTTAGGATTAACGCATTACATTTTGTTTGTGTATGAATGACAAGTTGTGGTTCTACAGGCAGGGTTATGTTCTGGACTTTTTCTTGGCAGTGAGTTTCTTGGTGTGTTGTTGTTACTGTGGAGCTCCTGCTAAGCTAAGGCTTCATAGTGAACAGATGGATAACTATTCCTATAAAACACAATTCCTTGGTTAAAGTTCCAGTGAGTAACATTTAGGAGGATTTATTGTGAAAAATGTAAAATAATATTATTGGTGTGGTATTTGGGGTATAATCACCTCATATTCATCTACAGAGGGAGCAGGTCCTCTTCTACTCCTCTAGACACCACTGAATCCTATACACTGCTCCATTAAAGCGGCAGTAGGTAACTTTTTTAAAAACACATTTTTGTCATAGAATCAAAAATCCACTGAGTATGAATGAAAGTCTTATTCAAAGGTCGTCAAATACAAATGCTTTGGAACGATCAACTATCTTTCTTGGCTCTGATTGGTTGTTTTGTTCAGGCACTGTAGATTCTTGTAATTGCCATTAGGAGCACTAGGGGGAGTCAGAGAAACCTGATTGATTGATTTCACAGATTATCTGTCTTATATACTACTGTCAGGATATAGTGAAAGTCTCAGTGAATATGACGAAGTTACAGACTACAGCTTTAAATGCAACTTAAAAAAAAATAAAAAATACCATACCATATACCTTTAAAGTTCCCAGTCTACCAGAGTTCTCACACACACACACACACACACACACACACACACACACACACACACACACACACACACACACACACACACACACACACACACACACACACACACACACACACACACACACACACACACACACACACACACACACACACACACACACACACACAAGACACAAGCCTCTCCTATTACACTGACAGTGTAGTATATTTCGGATTTGACTGACACGTTAGCTCGATTATTCTTTTATTTCTTTTTTCTAATCATGATTGTCTCTTTGTGGTTCCTAAATGAATCATAGACCCTTTTCTACAGCAGACATTTTGATTCTAGTCATAGCAGGAAAAACCCAGCTGCTATCAGCAGTGAGACCTGTGTCTGAAGTCAAAATGTCCCATTCTTAAGCTTTTGAACAGCTGCAAAAGGGACCTTGTGATTTGGGGAGGCTGTGGCTCAGAGGCAGAGCAGGTTGTCCTCTAATCGGAAGGTTGTGGGTTCAATCCCCAGCTCCTGCTGCCACATGTCGAAATATCCTTGAGCAAGATACTGAACCCCAAATTGCTCCCGGTGTTGTGCATCAGTGTGTGAATGTGTATGAATGCATTAGTTTCTGTTTGATGGACTTTGCTGTGTGAAAGGGTGAATGTTGCATGTAGTGTTAAAGCACTTTGAGTGGTTGGAAGACTAGAAAGGCGCTATAAGTACAGGTCCATTTACCATTTGTGAACATGTTTATGTTTAGTGTTTTTAGTTTTCCCCCCTGAAGTTTAGATCAATACAAATTACACACATTCTGCAACAGAATTTGTCTAGATTTTGCCTTTGCTGTCATCGCCACAGAATTAAAGATAAAGGATGACGTAAAAGATGTAGGAGCCTCAGCTCTGAGTCACAACCAGCTCTTTCTTTACTCCATTGTCTCCAAAGGAATTTTGGAAAACAGTCTACCGAACATACCTGCATCAGTAAATGAAAACAGAAAACAACTTCCAAAGATTACATGCTTGCATTGATTTTCACAGCAACCCAAGGACACTGGTGGGGTAGTGAGCCCATGTTTAAGTCACGTTGAACGGCAGGTTGGGGGCTAAACTGCCTCTTTGCCAGCCGCTGGTGAAACGATGATGTGATTAAGAAAGAACAGCTTACAGCAGAGATTAGCCCCACACAATAGGTTATTGTCTGTGCCTGGGATTTCACCTCCATCCAGTTCACTTCGGCTGGAGTTCGGGCTCTGCCTTTTAGTCTGATCAATCAGTCAAATCAATCCCTGCAGATAAAAAGGTCTCAGACATACATTTATGAATGGTTCTTCGAAAGTAATCTTAATGTTAAGGAGCTGGGCCATTGTTAATTCTTATTAAAAGGAGCCTGTGAGAGCATTTTTACAGCTGAGGAGGAGAAAAAAACCCACAGTAGAAGAGTAAAGGGATTGAAACTGACCGGTGAAAGTGATGACAGTCATTACTGAGGTCTCTCATCTGGGACATGCCAGGATTAATGGAGGTCTGAAATGGCACAAAAAGAGCACAACAGCACTTAATGATGAACTATCATGAATTATAGAAATGTGACAAAGCCTGTTGTTGGAAGTCCTGAAGTGATCTAGTTTCAAAGGCATAGGTTTAGCTAAGTTTGACTCTAACAGGTAAAAATTGTTAACCTGTGCAAGCAGAAACTGCCAGAAATGTAAGAAAGTTAACTTGTAGAAAGGGAGTCGACATACCTGTTGATTTTTCTGGACAGTTGCATCCATGTGTACTAAAAGTCACTGTCCAAATATTCATGTCCATCCTGCCATCCCATATCAGTCTGCACCGCGCACCTTCAGCGGCACCACTGAGGCTTCTGCCTGACACAGTCCTCCAGGAGTGAGTGTGTGTGCGCGCTTGTGTTTTTACACTTCATCATCCCCCCTTTTACTGTGCGTGTTCAATCACACACATACACACCAAAAAGCCATCTCTTAATGGCAGTCAAATCCCCTGGATGGAGTGATGGAGGGAGGGATGGATGGAAATGGGCGGTTGGCAGGATTACAGAAGTAAAGCGAAGCTCTCGGATCAAACCACAGAGGCAGAGCGGTAACTTAGAAACACACAGATCACTCACACACTCTCTTCCCCTCCTTGCTTCAAGAGGCGGCTACATGATATGGTTTCCTGTTTACACCTTGAAGAAGTTCGGTTTTGTATGTCTTACTCCCAAGATACGTTTAACAAGATCTGGGGCCCTTTCATAGAATACATCAGGAAGGATAGACCACAAACTGGGACCTAAATGCAGTGCATTGTCTGTTTTTTTACTTGTTAGTTATCCATACTGAGACTTTGCCACTCCCCTCCAGCCCAGACCTCAATCTGTGCGAGTGGACTTTCTGGGACATCTGTTCAGTGAATCGACATGTGCAGGCTGTATGTTTTTCTGTTTTAATTGTCTGGTCTTTTTTGTTTTTATTGTGTGTGCCTGTATGTATAAAAATCTGCATAAATAAAATGTACAAAAAAAAAAAGAAAAATGCAGATGCTGAAATGGATTAGGGGATTAACACGCCATCAGTGATGTGATCTGATGACAGAGACGATCAATACAATTCATTAAAAGATCCCTCCAGACATCTATTAAGATATACACCGATCCTTGGAGCACTTTTTATAGGTACTGACCACTGCAGAGTGGGAACACCCCACAAGAGCTGCAGTTTTGGAGATGCTCTGACCCAGTCGTCTAGCCATTATAATTTGGCCCTTGTCAAAGTAGCTCAAATCCTTACGATGCCCATTTTTCTTGCTTCTAAACACATCAACACTTGATCTTGAATAGAAAAATAAACAAAAAATGAATTAAAATAGCTCAATACAGAGTATAAGTAAAATGCAAGATATCTATAAGATATTGATGATACATATAAGAAGATGAACACATGCAAAATCAGCCACAGGTATTTATAGTTTTAATAGGGATCAGTGGAGCGATAGTATTTCTTTAGCCCACACATTTAATAATCCAATCACTAAAATTACTCTAAAACATAATCTGATTATATGATATGGCTTTTTATGTTCCTCAAATGAGAGTGAGTATATATATATATGTATTTTTTATTTATTTTTTTCCCCCCTTGTACAAGCAAACAATTAATGGACTGCGAAAACTGGAAGATTTGTTCTTATCTTGGTGAAAGTGCTCTCAACCATCAAAATCAACAATAAGAAAACAGTGAATTGAAAACAAGAATTAAAAACAAAATAATAAAAACTGATGAAAAATACCAAACTAAAATAACTGATATGCACTGGTGGCTTCAATTTTCTACATCACACTGTACAAGTTGCATACTGAACCAGGACTGACTTCAAAATTATTTGTGATGTCACAAATCCTGCTGGTAGGCCCCGCCCCTTAAAATCAGATTTTCAATGAACACAGAGAAACTTTCCACTTTCAGCAGATGAATGTGAAAACATCCTTCTAGAGTCACACTCTGCACAGACAGCATTCAAACAGCACACTGTAGGAACAAGGAGAAACACTGATTATGACTGGAGGGGAGCTTTAAATAGGATACTGTCTGAGCTGTATGGACCATATTTTCTCCAGAAAGCTCAATGTGTTCACTACAGCTGCATTTGAAGGCCCCTAAAACATTTATTTTCAAAATGACACAGAAATTATACAACAGGGCTTTAATGGGTGTCACTGGCTCTGTGGTTATGAAACCTACTCAGCACATTAGAGACCATGTGACCGTTCAAGAGTAACATCAATAATAAAAACCTCCCAAAATTGGGGTAAACATGGTTTTCATGCAGGATGAAAGATATGTAAGCACTGTTTTGTCTTCCCGCTGCCTAAAAAGCTACCACAGATGGCCAAAGAGGAGCCCATCTGCAGAGGCATAAAATACAGGTCAGGTTTCTTTTTCTGTTCATCATTTTACCCTCATTTCACCAGAACCGGGCTCCAAAGTTCAACACACATACCACAGCATAATCTGAGCACATCTGGTTACCATGGGACTCTTCCCACACAGTGGCAACCCTCAAGATCTGAAAGATGGGAAATGCCTCTGTAGGATGTACAGTACATCATTAGACATGTAAACAGTTCAGTAGGAATAGTCTCTTCTGGAGTATGGGTAAAAAAACTGAATATTTTTTGCATGTGAACATACAGTGCATATAAAAAGTCTACACACCCCTGTTAAAATGCCAGGTTTTTGTGATGTGAAAACAATGAGACAAAGATACACCTTTTCCACCTTTAATGTGACCTATAATGTGAACAGTTCAATTGAAAAACAAACTGAAATCTTTTAGGTGGGAAAAAAATAAAAAATAAATTTAAAAAAAAGTACAATAACCTGGTTGCATAAGTGTGCACACCCTTAATCTAATACTTTGTTGAAGCACCTTTTGATTTTATTACAGCACTTTATTAAAAGCACCCTTTTTGGGTAGGAGTCAATTAGCATGACACATCTTGACTTGGCAATATTTGCCCACTCTTCGTTACAAAAGTGCTCAAATCTGTCAGATTGCGAGCATTGCCTGTGTACAGCTCTCAACCCACAGATGTTCAATGGGATTCAGGTCTGGGCTCTGGCTGGGCCCCAAAACAGCCCCAAAGCATGATGCTGCCACCACCATGCTTCACTGTGGGTATGGTATTCTATGGATGATGTGCAGTGTTGTTTTTGTGGCAAACATACCTTTTGGAATTATGGCCAAAAAGTTCAACCTTAGTTTCATCAGACCATAACAGATTTTTCCACATGCTTTAGGGAGACTTCATGTATTTTGTTTTTCAAGATTTAGCTGGGCTTTCTTTGAAAGAAAAGGCTTCCATCTCGCCACCCTACCCCATAGCCCAAACGTATGAAGAATACGGAAGATTGTTGTCACATGTAGTACACAGCCAGTACTTGCCAGAAATTCCTGCAGCTCCTTTAATGTCGCTGTAGGCCTCTTGGAAGCCGGTTTTCATCGTCTTTTCATCAATTTTGGAGGGGCGTCCAGTTCTTGGTAAGGTCACTGTTGGGCCATATTTTTCCACTTGATGATGACTGTCTTCACTGTGTTCCATGGTATATCTAATGCCTTGGAAATTCTTTTGTACCCTTCTCCTGACTGATACCTTTTAACAATGAGATCCCTCTGATGTTTTGGAAGCTCTTTGCGGACCATGGCTTTTGCTCTGAGATGCAACTGAGAAAATGTCAGGAAAGTCCTACTAGAACAGCTGAACTTTATTTGGGATTAATCAGTCATTTTAAATGATAGCAGGTGTGTACTGACTACTATTTAACATGAGTTTGAATGTGATTGGTTAATTCTGAACATAGCCACATCCGCAGTTATAAGAGGGTGTGCACACTTGTGCAACCAGGTTATTGTAAGTTTTTTATTTTATATTTTTCCACCTAAAGGATTTCAGTTTGTTTTTCAATTGTTCACATTATAGGTCACATTAAAGGTGGGAAAAGTTTGGACACGATTAATCCATGTCTCATTTTTTTACATCACAAAACCTGGCATTTTAACAGGGGTGTGTACCCACAGCAATCTGTGTATATTGTGTTTATTCTAACAGCTAGTCACGTTTATTTTGATTGTTAATTTGATTGATGTTATTCAAAATGTGTGCCACAAATGAATTTACTCCCTGAATCAACTAAAGCTACGATCACACTGCAAGCCTTCGTGCTCAATTGTGATTTTTGTTGTTTGGCTGTTCACATTATATCCTTAATGTGGCCCATAGATTCCAGTGTGAACAGGTCACGGCCCTAGAGTGACCCATGCATGTTGATCCAGAGTGATTTAAAAGTCACATTCATTCTGATATAATCGTTTACACAGGTTACATAGAAAAAACAGACCTGTATCTGATTTGGACTAGAAAATGTGATTTGTGCTGTATACTTTTAGAAAAACAAAATTCTGGTTTGGGCCACTTTGACCTGCAGCTACTTAATGCTACTCATTACCAAAAGGTCGGCACTCAATTTTGCCAGATCCACTTTGAACCAATCTGACAGCATCCAGTCAATTTGCAGGAGAGAACCTTTAAGAACCAACATTACTGAGCACCAGTTGGAAAGGATGACTATAAGATGAAGGTTTTGTTTGTTCTGTTAAAATGACATTTGGTGAAGAGTGCATTGTGAATGGACTCAAAGCTTAGTTAAGGACTGAGGGGTATTGCACAAAACCAAGATAAGGGATTAAGCCGGGATATGTTGGTTATCCTGGCTGAATTTAGCCTCAAGTCGGTTGCATGAAAGCAGGTCAAACTTATCCCGGCCAAGTTACTATGGTGATTTATTCTCTGCAGCTGGCCTGCTCCAGACCAGGCTAACAGCCAGGCTAAGGTTAATCCTAGTGATTCACCTGTAGTTCCACCGTCAATCCTGTGAGGAATTAATGTGTTTTACAGCATGTCCATGGTCTTTCTAAATATGTTGCATCATTTTAATTATCCTGCATTAAAATATTACATATATATTGTCATTTCTCATTTCATTTCAATCTGTTGGCTGTTTGTAATTGCAACAGTCTTTTTATATTGATTCAAGTGGTAGTATTATTACTCAGGACAAGTGTTATATTGCTATGCTAATGAAGACTGCTCGTCAAACTGCATAAATATGTGTTTTATTGCAGTAATTGAGATTACAAAACACAGCTGATGAAGCAAAGGTGTTTTCAATGAAATCTGTGACAAGGGCAATATAGTATGTGTGTGTGTGTGTATTACACACCACACACACACACACACACACACACACACACACACACACACATCTAGTACATAGTGTTTTTTATTATTTCCCTACTCTGTTTATTTATTTATTCTCTCTATCAACCACTTTGGTAAATGGTAAATGGACCTGTATAGCTCCTTTCTAGTCTTCCGACCACTCAAAGCGCGTTTACACTACGTGCCACATTCACCCTTTCACACACATTCACTCAGTGATGGCAAAGTCCATCGGACCGAAACTAACATTCATACACACATGAACACACCCGTGCGGCGTCGGGATGTATTTGG